CTTATTACTGTACTCCAGTTGTATCTTAACAATTGATGGCATGGCATGGTAAAATTGGCAGAATTTTTTGTTTACTTCACATAGAATAATGTGTCTTAGATTTCATGAAATGTGGTCTTAAACATAGAATAGGAAAAGCATGTAAAGATAAAGCAAATTGATAATCTTCAATAAACCTGACAAAAAACAAGAGATGGGGAAAGGATTCCCTATTTAGCAAATGGTACTGGGAAAACTGGCTAGCCATATGCAGAAAACAGAAACAAGATCCCTTCCTTATATCTTTTTTTTTTTTTGATAAAGTTCAATGTATTAATTTTTTTAATATACTTTAAGTTCTAGGGTACATGTGCACAATGTGCAGGTTTGTTACATATGTATACATAAGCCATGTTGGTGTGCTGCACACATTAACTCATCATTTACATTAGGTATGTCTCCTAATGCTATCCCTCCCCGCTCCCCCCACCCCACAACAGGCCCCAGCATGTGATGTTCCCCTTCCTGTGTCCAAGTGTTCTCATTGTTCAATTCCCACCTATGAGTGAGAACATGCAGTGTTTGCTTTTCTGTTCTTGCGATAGTTTGCTGAGAATGATGGTTTCCAGCTGCATCCATGTCCCTACAAAGGACATGAACTAATCCTTTTTAATGGCTGCATAGTATTCCATGGTGTGTATATGCCACATTTGCTTAATCCAGTCTGTCGTTGATGGACATCTGGGTTGGTTCCAAGTCTTTGCTATTGTGAATAGTGCCGCAATAAACATACGCGTGCATGTGTCTTTATAGCAGCATGATTTATAATCCTTCGGGTATATACCCAGTAATGGGATGGCTGGGTCAAATGGTATTTCTAGTTCTAGATCCTTGAGGAATCACCACACTGTCTTCCACAATGGTTGAACTAGTTTACAGTCCCACCAACAGTGTAAAAGTATTCCTATTTCTCCACATCCTCTCCAGGACCTGTTGTTTACTGACTTTTTTATGATCGCCATTCTAACTGGTGTGAGATGGTATCTCACTGTGGTTTTGATTGGCATTTCTCTGATGGCGAGTGATGATGAGCATTTTTTCATGTGTCTGTTGGCTGCATAAATGTCTTCTTTTGAGAAGAAAAGAATATGAACATGTGTCTGTTCCTATTCTTTGCCCACTTTTTGATGGGGTTGTTTGTTTTTTTCTTGTAAATTTGTTTGAGTTCTTTGTAGGTTCTGGATATTAGCCTTTTGTCAGATAAGTAGATTGTAAAAATTTTCTCCCATTCTGTAGGTTGCCTGTTCACTCTGACGGTAGTTTCTTTTGCTGTGCAGAAGCTCTTTAGTTTAATTAGATCCCATTCATCAATTTTGGCTTTTGTAAGTCAAAAGAACAAAGCTGGAGGCATCACGCGACCTGACTTCAAACTATACTACAAGGCTACAGTAACCAAAACAGCATGGTACTGGTACCAAAACAGAGATATAGACCAATGGAACAGAATGGAGCCCTCAGAAGTAATACCACACATCTACAACCATCTGATCTTTTCTCTTTTTTTTTTGAGATGGAGTCTCGCTCTGTCACCCAGCCTGGAGTGCAATGGCGTGATCTTGGCTCACTGCAAGCTCTGCCTCCCAGGCTCATGCCATTCTCCTGCCTCAGCCTCCTGGGTAGCTGGAACTACAGGCGCCTGCCACCACGCCCGGCTAATTTTTGGTATTTTTAGTAGAGACGGGGTTTCACCGTGTTAACCAGGATGGTCTCGATCTCCTGACTTCGTGATCCACCCACCTCAGCCTCCCAAAGTGCTGGGATTACAGGTGTGAGGCACTGCACCCAGCCATCATCTGATCTTTGACAAACCTGACAAAAACAAGAGATGGGGAAAGGATTCCCTATTTAATAAATGGTGCTGGGAAAACTGGCTAGCCATATGTAGAAAGCTGAAACTGGATCCCTTCCTTACACCTTATACAAAAATTAATTCAGGGTGGATTAGAGACTTAAATGTTAGACCTAAAACCATAAAAACCCTAGAAGAAAACCTAGGCAATACCATTCAGGACATAGACATGGGAAAGGACTGCATGTCTAAAACACCTTCCTTACATCTTATACAAAAATTAACTCAAAATGGATTAAAGGCTTAAATGTAAAACCTAAAACCATAAAACCCTAGAAGAAAACCTAGGCAATACCATTTAGAACATAGGCATGGGCAAAGACTTCATGACTAAAACACCAAAAGCAATTGCAACAAAAACCAAAATTGACAAATGGGATCTAATTAAGCTAAAGAGCTTCTGCACAGCAAAAGAAACTATCATCAGAGTGAACAGGCAACCTACAGAATGGGAGAAAATTTTTGCAATCTATCCATCTGACAAAGGTCTAATATCCAGAATCTACAAGGAACTTAAACAAATTTACAAGAAAAAAAAAACCATCAAGAAGTGGGCAAAAGATATGAACAGACCCTTCTCAAAAGAAGACATTTATGCAGCCAACAAACATATGAAAAAAGCTCCTCATCACTAGTCATTAGAGAAATGCAAATCAAAACCACAGTGAGATACCATCTCACAAAAGTTAGAATGGTGATCATTAAAAATCCAGGGAACAACAGATGCTGGTGAGGCTGTGGAGAAATAGGAATGCTTTTACATTGTTGGTGGGGGTGTAAATTAGTTCAACCATTGTGAAAGTGTGGCAATTCCTCAAGGATCTAGAACCAGAAATACCATTTGACCCAGCAATCCCATTACTGGGTATATACCCAAAGGATTTTAAATCATTCTACTATAAAGACACATGCACACGTATGTTTATTGCAGCACTAAATATTTACAATAGCAAAGACTTGGAAACAACCCAAATGCCCATCAATGATAGACTGGATTAAGAAAATGTGGCACATATACACCATGGAATACTATGTAGCCATAAAAAATGAGTGCATGTCCTTTGCAGGGACATGGATGAAGCTGGAAACCATCATTCTCAGCCAACTAACACAGGAACATAAAACCAAACACGACATGTTCTCATTCATAAGTGGGAGTTGAACAATGACAACACATGGACACAGGGAGGGGAACATCACACACTGAGGCCTGTTGGAGGTCTCGGGGGAAAGGGGAAGGAAAGCATTAGGATAAATACCATGTGGGGCTTAAAACCTAAATGATGGGTTGATAGGTGCAGCAAACCACCATGACACATGTATACCTATGTAACAAACCTGCATGTTCTGCACATGTAACCCAGAACTTAAAGAGAAAAAAAATAGGTGGGGTGGTTCATGCCTGTAATCTCAGCACTTTGGGAGGCCAAGGCAGGCAGATCACCTGAGATCAGGAATTCGAGACCAGCCTGGCCAACATGGAGAAACCCCATCTCTATTAAAAATACAAAATTAGCTGGGTGTGGTGGCGCATGCCTGTAATCCTAGCTACTCGAGAGGCTGAGGCAGGAGACTTGCTTGAACCCGGGAGGCAGAGGTTGTGGTGAGCCGAGATCATGCGATTGCACTCCAGCCTGGGCAACAAGAGTGAAACTCCATCTCAAAAAATAATAATAATAAATAATAATAATAATTTTAAAAAGAAATGCTAGTTAAAAAAGATAAAGCAAATTGAAATGAAAAACATGTATATATCCTTCCTAAATACTATTTAGTATTGGTTGGGAAACAGTGTTATTCTCTTTTGGTAAATAAAACTAATTCAGGATGATAATTAACCTCTTTTAGGGGCCATAAATCTCTCTATTTCATAAAAATTAATGCTGTATGGTCCTAGGAAACAATGTATAAGGCACACACATATGTACATTTGTATATGATTTAGGGATTTACAAGTCCCTATACCAAGCATCTATGGATCCTAGGTTAAGAATGCTTGACATTTATAGAACAAAGACAATTATAGAACAATTTATAGAACTTTAGATAATTATAGAACAAAGTTCTAATATTCGAATGAATCTCTGCAAACGGGTATTACAATATAAATGTAATTTAAAGCAAATGTAATCACCAACACGTACACACAGAAAAGCTAGTGTTAATACATTCTTTAAGTCCCAGGGCTGGAACCAAGATTTGGTTTGAAGAATGGTATCGCTAATCAAAATTAATGTCTCATCTAATTCAACCAAGAACTTTGGGAGAATAACTCTCCTTACCCTTATCTTAAAAACCTCTTTTGCGTGTTTATTAGCAAAAGCATAATAAGCGCCATTCATTTCAAAAAATTAAATGCTATAGACATAGTATTAAAACTAGAAATTCGGTGAAAGTGTTGATACAAGATAATCAGATTTTCTTTTCTTTTTTCTTTTTTTTGACATGGAGTCTCGCTCTGTCGCCCAGACTGGAGTGCAGTGGCACAATCTCAGCTTACTGCAACCTCCACCTCCCAGGTTCAAACGATTCTCCTGCCTCAGCCTCCCAAGTAGCTGGGACTACAGGCACCTGCCACCACACCCGGCTAATTTTTGTGCTTTATTAGTAGAGATGGGTTTTCACCATATTAGGCAGGCTGGTCTCCATCTCCTGACCTTGTGATCCACCTGTCTCGGCCTCCCAAGGTGCTGGGATTACAGGTGTGAGCCACTGCACCCAGCTGATAATCAGATTTTCTTTTGCTATCTTGCCTAACTCTGCTGTGGGGGATTGTTTGAAATCTAAATGTTGCAAGTTATTTTAAAAGGAAGATAAATTAAAATCATTTTATGTGTTGTATTAAGTACTTTTTCCCCCAGAATTCTTTAAGCAATGCAAAAGTTCAAATATGAAAACAATCATGCATAATAAGGAATTTAATATTAGATGATGATACTACCCGGAAACAGTTAATAAATGCCCAAATTAAAACAGGCCTTACCTGGTAGTGATTTGTTATTCTTTAAAATAATATTTTAAAAATATATGTAACATTTTAATTTAACCAATTAAGAATATTTAAGGTTAAATATAGTTATTTGTAGTAATCATCAATAATTGAATCCATTACCATATTTCAATGTGAGGGATGTTTCAAATAGTAAGGCTGCAATCAGCACATCTTCTTTAAGCACTTTATTCCTTAAGTTCAGTCGTGCATGGGCTTCAGATAGGAAAACGCTAAAAAAGAAAATAGTTGCCAATCAAAATATGTTGATATTATAAAAATAATATATATTTTGGCAGGAACAAACCAAGACATATGTGAACCTTAGCCACACCTAAAGCATATTCTTACTTTAAAAAAATTTTTAGTTTCTTTTTTAGTTTCTTTTCTTTAATTTTTTTTTCCTACCAACTTAAATAGACTGTTCCAGAACAAGTATCCTATTGGTTTCCATCCTGGCTTTTATTTATCATTCCACACTCCCCTCCCGAAGTTTTGTTCAGATAAATACACAGTTGGGAAAATTAATCTAACTAAATATCTTTTACAGACAAATCCTTGACTTTTTCTTTTAATCCTTCATTTATCTAAAATCCTCATAGATTTCCAAGATTTTTGTTGGCAATTTCAGCATTGGAAGGGATCTTCGAATTCAAAGTTCAAACTTTCATCAGAAAACTAAATTTCCTCTACAACATCCTGGGCTATTCGTTTACCAGTATCTTTTGGACCTCTCCTAGCATTCATGGCTTCATGAGGCAATCCGTTCCTTTATTTTTAATTTTTTAACCAACTTCCATTACTGAAAGATCTCTTTTAAGCAAATGTGATGTATCTGAATGATTGCTGAACTTGGGAATCAGAAAACCTAGGCTGAGTCTCTAGAATTTACTAGCTGTATGACTTTGTATAAATCATTTAATGTATGAGATTTTTTGAAACTCAGCTATAAAAGGGAGATAAGTAAAGGCATTTGAAAGTTTTGCAACTAACTATAACCATAACTAACTATAACCAAGATTCTATCAATCTAAGCTAAAATTAGTTTCACTGCAATTTCTACCCACAGGTCTCTTGTTCTGTCTGCTGAGACCTCTTAATATGATGCTCTCCAGATATGCAAAGATAACTTTTCGATTGCTCCGTGTTTTCTCTCCTTCAAGTTAAATATTTCTAGTTCCTTTACTATGCTATGAGACATAACTTTCAGCTCCTCACCATGATGGTTACTCTCCTCATGACCTGATTTGGTTAATACTCCTTTTCAGTACAGTACAACAGCGGTTTTGACTATCACAAAGTAGAGATGAGGCGTAACTAGCATTTTGTTGCTCTTGATATATATTCTATTAATATGACCCCAACTCTCAGTATTATTAATAGCCATATTACATTATTTACTCTTATTAAACATAAAAATAATGAAATATCAAATCCTTTTCATATTAAGCCATATTACCATTTTCTCATCAATTCACACTTATACTACAGAGTCTGGGCATCTAACAGAGGGCTTTACATTTATCCTATTAACTTTCTTCTTGTTAGATTAAGATCACAATTCAAGTTTGTGAAGTTCTCTCCAATATTGCTCATTTATAAATGTAATAATCATGTCTCTGATGTCCTCATCCAAGATCCTTCTAAAAATGTTGACCAGGACAGAATATGTATAGAGCCTTTAGAAAGTATTGTTCAGCTCCACTTCTCTAGAAAAGCAAAGATGCTTGTAATTAGGTACCTGTCTATAGAAATGGGGGAAAAATTCAAGGTTTATGACTCTTCTAGCTAGGGTTCATTTACTCTGCTGTTTCACAAACCACCCTTAGTATTTATTTCTACAATGTGAAAAAGTAGAATTACATTAAAATTAACTACTTTATTTTTGAATAAATAGCTGCATCACAGCTTCACTGTGTTGTGATGTAGCTGTACCATAGTTTAAACAGTCCCCTATTGAGAGACCATTTCTTTATTTGATATAGTATTAAAGTGTAATCTCAAAATAATTGTGAAGTAGAACCAGGAGTAAAATAATTAAATAAATAAATACATTGTTAAAACTGCAACATAAAATAAGACAGATGAAGAACTGGCAGAAAATGTCAAGTATAAATCTGTAAGATTTAGATATATTTAGTTAATTTCCCCAACTGTATATTTATCTTCATAGAGCTGAAAAAATGCTAAAGATAAGCCAAGTAGAAGTCAACTCTTTGATAAATGTTTCAAAATGGAAAACAGAATTGCATTACATAATGCTATTCCCTGAATTAAAATTTAAAATACTCAGATCAAATTATACTGTTTGCTTTTTTTTTTTTTTTTGAGACAGAGTGTCACTCTTGTTGCCCAGGTGCAATGGCGCAACCATGTCTCACTGCAACCTCTGTCTCCCAGGTACAAGCGATTCTCCTGTCTCAGCCTCCCAAGTAGCTCGGATTACAGGCATGTGCCACCACACCTGGCTCATTATTTTGTATTTAGTAGAGATGGGGTTTCATCATGTTAGTCAGGCTGGTCGTGAACTCCTGACCTCAGGTGATCCACCCCCTTTGGCCTCCCAAAGTACTGGGATAATAGGCGTGCACCACCGCGCCCGGCTTTAAAAGTTCTATTTTCTCATAATGTTCTTTTCTCTATAGTAAAAACATGTTTTGTATTTGAACTCACATAGTCTCCGTTTACATATGAAAAAATATATATATTTTTTGAGACCGTGTCTTGTTCTGTCGCCAGGCTGGAGTGCAGTGATGCAATCTTGGCCCACAGCAACCTCGGTCTCCCGGGTTCAAGTGATTCTCCTGCCTCAGCCTCACGAGTAGCTGGGACTATAGGCATGCGCCACAACCCCAAGCTAATTTTTTTTGTATTTTTTTGGTAGAGACGGGGTTTCACAGTGTTGGCCAGGCTGGGCTCAAAATCCTGACCTCAGGTGATCTGCCTGCCTTGGCATCCCAAAGTGCTGGGATTACAGGCGTGAGCCACTAGGCAAGGTTTTGTCTTTTTTTTTGTTTTTTTTTTAAATTGAGAAGGGGTCTCACTCTGTCACCCAGGCTGGAGTAAAGTGGCACATCTAGGCACTCTGCAACTTCCGCTTCATGGGCTCAAGCAATCCTCCCACCTCAGCTTCCTGAGTAGCTAGCTGGGACTACAGGCACCTGTCACCAGGCCTAGCTAGTTTTTTGTATTTTGGGTAGAGACAGGATTTCACCATGTTGCCCAGGCTGCTCTGCTTTTGTTTTTGTTTTTGTTTTTGTTTTTGTTTTTTTTAAATAGAGATGAGGTCTCACTATGTTGCCCAGGCTGGTCTCGAATTCTTGAGCTCAAATGATCCTCCCACCTCAGCCTCCCAAAGTGCTAGGATTACAGGTGTGACCCGCTGCACCCAGCCCCAAGGCTGGTCTTGAACTGAGCTCAAGCCACCTGCCTGCCTCAGCCTCCTAAAGTGCTGGGATTATAGGCATGAGCCACTGTGCCTGGCCAACACCCACATTTTTTTTTTTTTTTTTTTTAGATGGCGTCTCGCTCTGTTGCCCAGGCTGGAGTGCAGTGGTGTGATCTCAGCTCACTGCAACCTCTGCCTCCCAGGTTCAAGCAATTCTCCTGTCTTAGCCTCCCGAGTAGCTGGGACTACATGCGCGCTCCACCACGCCTGGCTAATTTTCTGTATTTTAGTAGAGACGGGGTTTTACTGTGTTGCCCAGGCTGGTCTTGAACTCCTGACCTCAGGCAATCTGCCCTCTCGGCCTCCCAAAGTGCTGGGATTATAGGTGTAAGCCACCATGCCCAGCCAACAGTCACATTTTTAAAAACAAGGATTTGCATTTGAAATCAGTGCACTTTCCTCAGCCATATCTCATATGTGGCATCCAATAAAAATTAGTTTAGTAAAAAAATTATTAGAGATTAAAATGATGTAACATGATATAACAAAAGGAATTGTGAAGCCTTTAGTCCTTTTGGAACAAGGCCATTTACAAACCAACTAGCAGTCAAGCAGAGAAACAATTGAAATAGGTAAATTAGCAATTTAATTAAACACATCATTTGTAACTCAATGCTGATTCTAAAATCTTGAATTGAATACCTACAGATATTTTAATGCAGATGCCGACAGTTTTGATCCACATATAGAGTCTGTTCTGATTCTGCGACTTGCTAGATAATAGCCATGAGTCATTCTTTCTGCTTCCAAGCTGAATTCTACATTCAAATTCTTTGCAAAGGCCAGTAGCTAAAAAGTGTGAAAAATCCAAGATAATCAAGCTTTATTATGGAATCAATATAACAGAAATCAAAAGTATACTGGCACTTTATTTTTACATGTTTGCATATTTTATTACATAAAAAAGAGTAAATGTCTGGGGCTATTCTGAAGTCACTGAACACTTTAAATATCACAGTGTTATACTTGTAAAGGATATTAAAGTTTACCCAGAATAATCTCCTCCCTGTCAGTGCAAAAATGTTCTGTGCAATATATTTGAATGACTGTACAATGTCTTTGCTCCCAGTGAAAGGCTCACCTCCCTCAGAAGCTAATTTTCCTTTGAATAGCTTTAATCACCTGACAGTTTTTTCCTCATAACTTTCTCTCATTGGCCTAGAGCTACTTGCCCTCCTTACTTCCCTTCCTTCCTTTTAAAGAGCACTTAACATTTGGTATGAGGGGAAACATTATGTTAACTGCTTTGAAGGTGGGCTTTGGTGATTGAATAAGATTTGGGTAGAGAATAATTCTGCAACACAATGATTATCACTGTTTTTTCTGAGTTTTGAGCTTTTTTTTTCTTTCAGAGTCAGTGATTCCTAGTTCCCAAAGTCCTCTGTGACATAATTTCCAAATTTTTTACTATCCTAGTTATTTTCTACTTTTTCAATTCAGATAACTACAGGAAAAATTAACTATAATAAGGTTGCTGTTTTTTTCTGACACTATCTACACCTGGAGAAAGGTTGCTATTAACTATAAAATTTATATTTTATTTATTTATTTATTTTGAGACGGAGTTTCACTCTCATTGCCCAAACTGGAGTGCAATGGCACGATCTCGGCTCACTGCAACCTCAGCCTCCTGGGTTCAAGCGATTCTCCAGTCTCAGCCTCCCAAGTAGCTGGGAGTATAGGCACGCACCACCACACCCAGCTAATTTTTTGTATTTTTAGTAGAGATGGGGTTTCACCATGTTCACCAGGCTGGTCTCAAACTCCTGACCTCAGGTGATCTACCCACCTGGGCCTCCCAAAGTGCTGGGATTACAGGCGTGAGCCACCGCGTCTGGCCTATTTTGTTTATTTATTTTTGAGATGGAGGCTTGTTCTATCGCCAAGGCTGGAGTGCAGTGGCATGATCTCAGCTCACTACAACCTCTGCCTCCTGGTTCAAGTGATTCTCCTGCCTCAGCCTCTTGAGTAGCTGAGACTACAGGTGTGCGCCACCATGCCCAGCTAATTTTTTTTTTTTTTTTTTGTATTTTTAGTAGACACAGTTTCACCATATTGGCCAGGCTGGTCTCGAACTCCTGAGCTCAGGTGATCTGCCAGCCTCGGCCTCCCAGATTGCTGGGATTACAGACGTGAGCCATCGTGCCCGGCCTAAAATTTATATTTTAAATTTAACCTTTAGAAAAGCATAAGAGATGGCTGGGCGTGGTGGCTCACACCTGTAATTCCAGCACTTTGGGAGGCCGAGGTGGGTGGATCACGAGGTCAGGAGATCGAGACAATCCTGGCCAACGTGGTGAAACCCCGTCTCTACTAAAAATACAAAAAAATTAGCCAGGTGTGGTGGCAGGCGCCTGTAGTCCCAGCTACTCATGAGGCTGAGGCAGGAGAATCACTTGAACCCAGCAGGTGCAGTTGCAGTGAGCCAAGATTGCGCCACTGCACTCCAGCCTGGTGACAGAGCGAGAAAAGAAAAAAGAAAAGCAAAGCACAGAGACATGTTCCTAGACTGGACATGTCCTGGATTGGATATATATCCTGGCTTCTTTATTTTCTTTATTCTCCACAACTCTCTCCAGGCTTTCAGAACTGGATATACTATTAATAGTATCAATAACCCTCTCTAAGTTCTCTCTAAGATGGCACGATCATGAGCCACCAATATCCTCCTTCATGAAAGGACTTGTTGCCCAGCTACTGAGATTCTGTCAGCCCCTTCGGGGATTGCCTCAGGACAGTCCACATCACATGAATGATTGAGGCAGAAGTTGGGGAGGACTTTATAAAGTCCTCAGGTATTGACAGAAAAGCCCTCTCAAATACACATTGGCACACTAAACTCCATCTCAGTCTGTTCTGGAGAGCTCAGACTGCAACAAATTCCATCCACTTTGATTTGTGTAATAGATTTATCTTCCAGAGAAATCATTTTTACTATTTTACTTTTTACTATTTTACAGTTCACTCTACAACTGTTCTCTATAGTCTGACAAACCAACTATAAAATCTTTTGCCTGTGCAAGACTTACTGTAAATATGCCAAAATCCTATGACTCCAAAATACAATTTTTGCTCCAGTCAAGCTGGTCTTATCGTTTTCCATGTATACTAATTTCTACTTTTATGTCTTTACTCCTACTGTTAATTCTACTTAGAACACCCATCCTTCATGCATCTAAATTTTACCCTTTCTTACAGCCAGCTGATGTCCAGCCTCCTCCATGAAGTTTTCCCAGCTTCTGCATTCTATACTGATATCTTACTTTCTGAATTCCTAAAATACCTCAGAGTCAGCACCACTTAACTTAGCACTTAAGTTGTTCCTTAACTATTTTATGCATCTTTTTTTTTTTGAGACGGAGTTTTGCTCTTGTCGCCCAGGCTGAAGTGCAGAGCAGTGGCGCAATCTCGGCTCACCTCAACCTCCGCCTTCCGGGTTCAAGCTGTTCTCCTGTCTCATCCTCTGGAGTAGCTGGGATTATAGGCATGTGCCACCATGCCTGGCTAATTTTGTACTTTTAGTAGAGATGGGGTTTCTCCATGTTGGTCAGGCTGGTCTCGAACTCCCTACCTCAGGTTTCTGCCCTCCTCCTCGACCTCCCAAAGTGCTGGGATTACAGGCTTGAGCCACCTTGCCTGGCCTGTATCTTGTTTTTAATTTTAATTAAATGATAAACTAAAGGGAAAATTTATATACCTGTGAGAATATAAAAGAATGGAAATAGGCTCATATTTGTGAAGTATCCAGTTAATACCTGAATAATTAATAAATCTAGATTGTTTTGGCTTGTTTCTCAGGTAAAAAAATGGGCAACATTTTTCAGGGTCATTAGCCTGTCCATATTTAGTATCCTAATTCCTACAGACTACTTTTTTCCTATATAATAAAACCAAAACCAAAACCTTATTATATTATAAATATTATTCTTTTTTCTATTCTAATCTATGTGAATAAACAATGTTCATAATTCATGTTTAAGTCGATTTTGCCTTTCAACCTTTTACTCATGCAGTATGCTTACAAGGAAGATAGATACGAAAAAAATTTTTAATGACTCATAGACCTCCACTTTCTGACATCCCCTGCCTTTTATCTATCATACCCAGACAAGTGAACTCTACTTGGACAGATTTTTGAGTAGTTAAAAAGGTTTCAGTTGTAAATATGTGAGCACCTTTAATAGCTATGAGAATTATTACTAAATTTACATCACCTACTTTCAGGTTCTCTGAATATGTCACATATGTTTTGATAATGTCAGGGTAATTAATTAAAATGGGTTAGTGAATCATGCTATATATCCCCTAAAGTCAGGACTCGAAGGTAGTCATCTGAGGACAATCCCTTTGAATAGACAGTAAAATGTAAATAACTGTATATCTATATAGCCTATTATAATTTTCCATAGAAAAATTCTATGTTGGTTTTCTTTCATTGAGATTCTGTCAGCTGTGCTGATTTGGACAATGGTACAAAAATAAACTGAAAATTTTAATATTCATTACCTAACACAGTTGTTTCTTTAATTATAGCCCTAAATAATTCTAAATAATTTCTCTATTTTTTCTTTTTTTTTTTTTTTTTTTTTTTGAGACGGAGTCTCGCTCTGTCACCCGGGCTGGAGTGCAGTGGCCGGATCTCAGCTCACTGCAAGCTCCGCCTCCCGGGTTTACGCCATTCTCCTGCCTCAGCCTCCCGAGTAGCTGGGACTACAGGCGCCCGCCACCTCGCCCGGCTAGTTTTTTGTATTTTTTAGTAGAGACGGGGTTTCACCGTGTTAGCCAGATGGTCTCGATCTCCCGACCTCGTGATCCGCCCGCCTCGGCCTCCCAAAGTGCTGGGATTACAGGCTTGAGCCACCGCGCCCGGCCTTTTTTTTTTTTTTTTTTTTTTTTTTTTTTTGAGACAGGGTCTTACTCTATCACCCAGGCAGGAGTGCAGTGGTGTGATCTCGGCTCACTGGAACCTCCACCTCCTGGGTTCAACCGATTCTACCTCAGCCTCCCGAGTAGCTGGGGTTACAGGAGCCACCATCACGCCCAGCTAATTTCTGTATTTTTTGGTAGAGATAGGGTTTTCACTGTGTTGGCCAGGCTGGTCTCGAACTCCTGGCCTCAAGCGATCTGCCCGCCTTGGCCTCTCAAAATGCTGGGATTATAGGCATGAGCCACCACACCAGCCTAACTCTAAGTAACTTCTATGCAATGTCCTTAAAATGTTTAAAAGCTGGAAACAAGTTGGAATAAAATAATTCTAAATAAAGAAAATCCAGCACTCAAAAGGACTTCTATATAATTTGAGAAACATTAGCACAGGCATTCTGGGTAACCGTTTTATCTATCTTTACCTTTTCAAAATCTTCAGTTGTGAACTGTCTAGAAGCTGCATAAAGCAGCCCTTCAGGATTAATGGCTTTCTTCAAAGTATGTTGCACAGTAGAAAGAAATGGGTGGCAGGGAGATGACTCATTGCAGTTAATCAATAAACCAAATGCCTCCACAAGGTTAGCTGGAATCAAACTGCAATCCTACATCAAACCAAAAAGTAACAGGCAAACATTAAACTTTGTAATTTTCACAATTTGGAAATAATTAATTACAAAGTAATTATTATATGTTGTTATTATTCGTTATTTATCATATTAATTATAATTTAAGGTAATTTTTTAATAATCTGGGAACTTTTTGGTGATTGATTTTTTAAAGCCTCTTTACTGAGTATTTTTGTATACATTATTCATTAAAGCCTCTCCAGCTACCTATTCAAATAGTAATTTCCAGTGAGCAGATATCTGGCTCACTACATGGCTAAAACACATTACAATTTGTAAACAACTGAGTCATCAGGTAGTTCTGGTACTCAATAAAGTATAGAAACAGGTTAATAACAAAAATATTGAGATGTATTAAATTTGTGACTTAATTCCTTGAACAACATTCTAACAATAAAATATACATATACCTTACCATCTGACCAATTAGAGTGTTGATTTTCTGTGCATTTCTCCTTGAAGATGAATCCATATCAACAAAAGACCAAAAACTGCACTGAACTGGAAAAGTCATCTGTTGATCAGTATCCTCCCCAAACTTCTTTCCTGGGATGTACACTGTGATGTTTCTGCTCTCCAGAACTAAGTCAGAAGATATTATCCATTTGTTATGTAAGTTAATTTTGGTCTAAATGTCTACAAATTAATAACATATTATATAGAATTATACTGTGCAGACTTTGGATAGTGAAAGAAAGTAAATTTGATTGTTTTGCAGGACAATGCTCTAAGTTCTGCCATAAAAAATACATATTTGAAGCCTTATGTGTCCCATGACTTGATGAGAACCAGGAGTCCAAAGCACATAGCTGGAATTGTGGCGGGGCACCTGAGTGGACTAGGCAGGGGGCTAAGAGATTGGTCATATAATACAGATTTACAAGAGAGGCTAAAATTAAATCATGTTCTTTTATGTGGGGAAAATGATAGAAAGCAGGCCATCCATGTGGGAGTGAAAGAGGAAAAGACAGAGATAATATGAACTACAATGACTGGGGGAAAATACATCTCAAATTCAACATGTTCAAAACCAAATTCATTGTCCCTCCACCTCCCACTTAAAACCCAAACAAAAAATATGGAGCATTTTGGGAGGCTGACATGGGGGTATTGCTTGAGCCCAGGAGTTTGAGACCAGCCTGGGCAACGTGGCAAGACTCTGTTACTACAAAAAATTAGCCAAGCATTGTGGCATGTTACTGTGGTCCCAGCTACTTGGGAGGCTGAGGTGAGAGAACTGCTTGAGCCCAGGACTTCAAGGGTGCAGTGAGGTATGATGACACCACTGCACTCCACCCAGGGCAACACAGTAAGACCCTGTTTCAAAAAAAAAAGAAAGAAAGAAAGAAAGAAGAAGGAAGAAGGAGAATAAGAAGAAAGAGGCCAGGGCCATCACGGAGGACCACGTATCATTTGATTCCATTTATAGTCAGCCATCTATATATAAAGGTCTGTCTGCATCTGTAGATTCAACCAACGGCTGATGAAAAATATTCAATAAATAAATAAAACAATAACAACAGTAAAAAACAACACAGTATAATAATTTGCAAAGCATTCACATTGTATTGACTATTATAAGTAATCTAGAGATGATTTAAAGTATATGGGAGGATGTGCATAGATTATATGCAAATACTCTGCCATTTTATATAAGGGACCTGAGCATCTGTGGATTTTGGTATCTGCAGAGGCCCTGGAACCAATCCCTGGAGAATACTGAGGGAAGACTGCCTATGCAATGTTCAGAATAGGCAAATACACAGAAACAGAAAGCAAATAGTGTTTGCTAGGGACTGTGTGGGAGTAGGTGACGGGAGGCAGGGACTGGGGGTTGACTGCTAATGGGTATGGGGCTTCCTTTTGGGGTGATGAAAATATTCTGAAGTTAGTGGTAATAGTAGCACAACTCTGTGAATATAATAAAAAGCACTTTACTGTATACTTTCAGTGGTGAATTGTATGATGTGTGAATCTCAATAAAACTGTTACAAAAAATGTAATAGTAGTATTGCCATTCTAAATAAAGAAAAATTAAAATTTTATATTGCCATAAATTTTACCTTTTATCTTTATATTGTACAATACTTTTATCTTTATATTGTATAATGCAAATATATGTGCATTTATCTTATAAGTGGAACCGATAGTACTTTGCACATGCATATGTATTTTGTTTTTACCAGAACAGTGGAAATACTGCACAAAACAATTTTTATTTTACTTCTTGATATGCATACATTTCACCAACACTCTCTACCTTCAGCTTACTGATAAGTGAGGAATGACTGAAAAGACAAGGCTATGGATTTGCCCTATCTTTCCCTTTCCTCCTGTGTCATCATTTTCAGTGTAAGTGGTTGGCAAATACAGGGAACCAACCAAGTAAGAAAGAGGATGATAGGGCTACTTGGTAATGTGTGTTTCTTGAAAGGCCATTGCCTTCTTTCTGCATTAGAAGCACACTAGTTCAAATGAAAAGCATGGCCACTTGGGGTTATTAGCACTCCCTCTTACTCAGTTGAAAATGTGTTGATATGGAACTATAGGCACTGGCTTATAGTGCACCTATGACACATGGGAGTCCAGCAACAATCAAAGAAAGTACAAATTGAGTGTGTTACGAAAGCTGCATAGTGATCACAAATGCTGTATGAAATGGGGCAGGAAGGCACAGTAAAAACAGGCATCCATGTGTCTCCTCTACTCACAGTCAAGTGCCATTATCTCATGGGACTTCCTTATAATACAAAGATAAAATTATTAAAAATTTGAAGATGATGACAGCAGAGTTTTAAACCATATTCCAAGCTCTTGTGGGGAGAGGACATACTAGCAGGGCCAGCTTCATGAGTGTGGAACAAGTGCAGTTGTACTGAGGCCCTCCTCTGTACCAGCCAGATGTTCCACCATCCTTTGATGAGAAAAACTCCTTTTCCCACTGACTAACTTTGGTGCTGTAGTCAAAAATCAATTGACTATAAAATGTGGGTCTATTTCTATAGTCTCTGATATGGTTTGGCTGTGTCCCCACCCAAATCTCACCATGAATGCCCATGTATTGTGGGAGGGGCCTGGTGGGAGGTAACTGAATCATGGGGGCAGGTCTTTCCTGCACTGTTCTCGTGATAGTGAATAAGTCTCACAAGATCTGATAGTTTTAAAAAGGGGAGTTTCCCTGCACAAGCTCTCTTCTCTTGTCTGCCACCATGTGAGACGTGCCTTTTACCCTCCACCATGATTGTGAGGCCTCCTCAGCCATGTGGAACTGTAAGTCCAATAAACCTCTTTATTTTGTAAATTGTCCAATCTCAGGTATATCTTTATAAGCAACATGAAAACAGACTAATACACCCTCATTTTGTTTTTATTGATTTTTTTTGTTTTTTTTTTTTTTTTGTAGAGATGGGGTCTCAGTGTGTTGCCCAGGATGGTCTGGAACTCCTGGCCTCCAGCAATCCTCTTGCCTCAGCCTCCCAAAGTGCTGGGATTCCAGGTGTGAGCCACTGGGCACAGCTAATTTCTGTATTCTCTTATAAAGTGAAGCAATATGCTGTGTGCCCTGAGCACACTTGTACATTCATGCTGGTATGCCAAGAAGGCAAGGCTCTGACTGCTCTTTGCCCAGTCCATGGCTGTCCATATCCTTGCTAGTTATAAATCTGGCCCAACCAGCATTACTCTAATACAGAACCAAACAACAACATTATAAGGAAAAAACTCTACAGATCAATATCTCTCATGAACATAGATTTAAAAAATCCTCAACAAAAATAGTAGCATATCAAATCCAACAATGTAGAAAAAGAATTATACAGCATGACCAAGTAAGCTTTATCCCAGGTATGCAAGGCCGGTTCGATATTCAAAAATCAATTAATGTAATCCATCATATCAACAGGCTAAATGAGAAAAATCATATGATTGATGATGGCAGGAGGCAGACAGGTTCCTGGGCAGAGAGGGGCAGGTCCCTGGTGGAACCCAATCTTCAGGCAAGAGACAGCTTGAAGCCTGAAAACCAGGCTGCCAGTTCTGGGTGGAGTCCACCACCTGGAGTGAGAATGTCCTTGATGCCTTTCAGCCAATCAGATGGTGTTTTTCTGGGCCCACCCATGGACCAATCAGCATGTACTTCCTCCATTCTTAGCCCATAAAAACCCCAGAGTCAGCCAGACTCAGACACAGGTTGGGACTACCTGCCTGTGGGTAGGAGCTACACACTTCGGGTCTCCTGTCCACTGAAAGCTGTTCTGCCATGCAATAAAACTCTTCTCCACCTTGCTCACTCTCCAGTTGTCCACATAAGCTAATTCTTCCTGGACATGGGACAAGAACTTGGGACCTGTTGAATGGCAGGTGCAAAAAGGGCTATGACACTCTCCTGGCAGGCTTGTTGAGTGGCAGGCAGGAACAAAAAGGGCTGTAACACTTTCCTAGTCAGCTTGCTGAGCTATGAGTGGTGACACATTCTTTTTTGTTGGACTGCGGGACTGAAGATCAATGACCCTTCTGGAGGCCCAGACCTCAGGATTTCCTGAGTCAGAGCTGTAACACTATAATCCTCCTGCCTTCTGTCGGCCTTGGGCAGCTGTCCCATGACAGAAAGTAGCAATGTGCTGGGCCAGCCCAGGAGCCATGGGCTGGAGTGAGGCAGTGGACTGAAAGAGCTGTTAACATGTGCCCCCCATCCACTGAGCTGTGGGCAACAGGAACGAGAGACCTGTAGCATGCTTCCCTGCAACCCCTTGGGGCTCCACTGTTGCTGGTGTCTCCAAGTTTTTGGGTGCCACCCTGTTCCCCTCATCCAGACACCGGGGCCCTCAGTAGAAGCCACTTGCAGTATGCCTATTCCAGCTACAGCCACGCATGAAGCCAGCACCTGTGCCAGCACCTGGAGCTGCCTGCCCTGCCACAGCAGCCGGCATGCCTGGCTATGTGCAGTGGCTGGACCCTGTGCTTGCTCACTCACACACCCCCTCGCTGTTCCATTCCTGGCTTGCCCTCAGCAGGCATGGGATCTGGACTGGTAGTGTAAGCCAAGTGCAGCCTGCTGGGCCGAGTGAGCAGAACATGCCCAGCAGGCAGGAGTGAAACTCAAGCAGAGGTGCTGCTGGACATAGAGGTTTCTGGCTTGAAAAGCAGCACCCGAAGGATCCTGTGACATCATCACATTAACAGATGCAGCAAAGCATTTGACAAAATCCAATATCCATTTATGATTAAAAAAAAACCCTCAGAAAATTAGGAATAGAGAAGAACTTCCACTGATAAAGAATGTCTACAAAAAATGTACAGCTAACATCATACTTCATGGTGAGAAACTTGACGCTTTCCCACTCAGATCAGGAACAAGGTGAGGATGTCCTTTCTCTTAACACCACTTTTCAACTTTATACTGGAAGTGGTAGCTAATGCTATAAGACAAGAAGAGGAAATAAATCTGGTCCATTACAAGCTCATGTGTTAGCACACTGAGAGCAAAGGCTAAAACTGTGCATTTGCACATTAAATTTCTGTTTTTGCTTATAAAACCAAAATGAGAAATGGCATCTAACATAATTTCTCAAACCCTCAAACATCTGCAATACTATCTTAACTGTTAAGTATCTCAACATGGATGAGAGTATAAGTTAAACAGGTGAAAATTAATTTTACAAATATTGTTTACCTGATTGAAGCTGTTCAAGTTTATCTTTTTTGTGTGAGGCCAAGTCTCCTATAAAGCAGATACCACCTTTAGCTAGCAGAGCACTGCCAGCCTGAATGCTAACTGCTCCAGTTCCATACTTATTCCTGGATAGAGTGGGAAAAATTTCAGCAGAGACTAGATGACGTATGCCACGGGGAACAAGGTTTATGCTAAAATTCAGAAGCCTAGGGAAAAAAAAATAAACTTTTCATTACTATTACTTAATTTTCAAAAGTCACAATGTGTTACATTAAATTTAATTTTATTCTATGTTTACTGAGCACCTGTGATACACCAGCTATTGTGCTAGGGATAAAAATATATATGACTAACATGGTGAAATCCCATCTGTACTGAAAATACAAAAATTAACCAGACGTGCTAGTGCATGCCTGTAGTCCTACTACAGGAGGATGAGCTACTCAGGAGGCTGAGACACAAGAATCATTTGAACCTGGAAGGCAGAGCTTGCAATGAGCCAAGATCGTGCACTCCAGCCTGGGTGACACAGTGAGATTCTGTCTCAAAAAACAAAACAAAATTATATACAAGACTTGGACCTTAACTTAGAAAGCTCACAGTCTAAAAAGAGAGATATAAAAAACTAAAACACAATGTGATAAGTACTAAAAAAAAGTCTTCATCCTGGTGACAGAGCAAGACTCCATCTAAAAAAAAAGAAAAAAAAAGTATTTAGAACATCCATGGTGGCCAGGTGTAGTGGCTTACAACTGTAATCCCAATACTTTGGAGGCTGAGGCAGGCGGATCACTTGAGGTCAGGAGTTCGAGACCAGCCTGGCCAACATGGCAAAATCCCGTCTCTACTAAAAACACAAAAATTAGCTGGGCCTGTAATTACATACCTGTAATCCCAGCTACTGGGAGGCTGAGGCAGGAGAATTGCTTCAACCTGGGAGGTGGACATTTCAATGAGCCGAGATCACTTCACTGCACTCTGGCCTGGGAGACGGAGCAAGACTGTCTCAAAAACAACAACAACAAAAGAACATCCATGGGAGTATTATTTCTTCTTGGAAGGGAATCAGACAAAGTTATAGAGAGATGACATTTGAATTAGGCCTTCTTTTTATGGATTGCTTTCTTTTGCCTATTCAGAATTTTTGCATTAGGCTTTCTAGCGTCCCATCAAAACTATCACTCTGCTGTTTCTGTATCATGGCAATTGTGGGGTTTTTTGTTTGTTTTTGTTTTGTTTTGTTTTGAGTCTCTCTGAGGCACCAAGGCTGGAGTGCAGTGGCATGATTTCAGCTCACCGCAACCTCTGCCTGTCACTAGGCTGGAGTGCAATGGAATAATCTCAGCTTCCAACCTCCACCTCCCAGGTTTAAACGATTCTCCTTCCTCAGCCTCCCAAGTAGCTGGGACCACAGGCACAAGTCACCGTGCCGGCTCAAATTTTTTTTTTTTTTTTTGTAGAGATGGGTTTCACCATGTTGCCCAGGCTGGCCTTGAACTCCTGAGCTCAAATGATCCTCCTGCCTTGGCCTCCCAAAAAGCGCTGGGATTACAGACAGAGCCACTGTGTCCAGCCAAATTTTTTTTTTTTCTTTTAAGAGACAGAGTCTCACTCTGTCATACAAGCTGGAATGCAATGATACAGTCATAGCACACACAGCCTCAAACTCCTGGACTCATGTAAGCCTGCCTGCTCAGTCTCCCAAGTAGCTGGAACTACAGGCATGAGGCGCCTGTCTGTCTCATGGCAATTCTTGATATGTCATTTTGGTTTCTAACCTCTTTGCTAATTGCCTCAGTCTCTTCATATTCCAAATTTAAATTCTGAAAAAGGAATATGATTACCTCAGCCTAGCTTTCAAATCCTTGCCACAGAAATTATAGCTTCCTAGTGCAATCAACTATGATGAGTAGACATAGACGTGCGACACAAAAGGGGGTGATACAAACGTAGACATAGACATGCAATGCAAAAGAGGGTGAGATGTGGATAGGTAGATGGTATAAAATATGTCTAGTGCATGTACCATTTTCAGGAATTCGGATGTTTGAAGATATATAAAATGAGACAGCGATATTTAGAAAGAAACCTTTGCAAGCCTATAAGGAGTGGTTCTCAACCACAGCCTGCACTAACCTTACCTGGAGAGATTTAACAAATTCCAATGCCAAGTGCCACCCCAAACCACTTAAATTAGAAACTCTGGGGGTGAGACACAGTGATAAATATTTTTTAAAAATTCTCTCAGGTGATTCTAATAGGCAGCTAGGCTGAGCACTCAGTGATACGGAACAATGAGCCTCAAATTTGGCTACACATTGGAACTGGCTAAGGAACTTCTAAAACTATTGATACACAGAAAGTCACAGAATACAAAGTCAAAATACAAAAATCAATTGTATTTCTATATATTCATAGTAAACAATTGAAAATGAAGTTAAGAAAACACTACCATTTTAGTAGCATCAAAAATATCAAATATTTTTAGAACCAATTTAACAAAATATTTGCATGACCTTTATAAAAACATCACTGAGAGAAATTAAAGAAGATCTAAATAAATAGAGAGATATGCCACATTCATGGATTGGAAGACTCAATATTATTAAGATGTTAATTCTCCCTGAAATTGATTTATAAGTTTAATACAGTTCCAATCAAAATACTCAAAAGCTTCTTTTTGGTTGGTATTAACATACTGATTTGGCTGGGCACAGTGACCCACATCTGCAATCCCAGCACTTTGGGAGGCCAAGGCAGGAGGATTGCTTGAGCCTGAGAGTGCAAGACCAGTCTAGGCAATATGGCAAGAGTTCATCTCTACAAAAAACTAAAAAGTTAACCAGATGTGGTGGTGCATGCCTCTGTTCCCAGCTACTCAGCAGGCTGAGGTGGGAGGATCACTTGAACCCAAGAGTTTGAGGCTGCAATGAGTCATGACTGTGCCACTGCACTCAAACTTGGGCAACAGACTGTGACCCTGTCTCAAAAACTAAAAATAAACTGATTCTAAAATTTATTTAAAAATGCAAAGGATCTAAAATTGTTTTAATCTTTAAAATGAAGGATAAAGTTGCATTACCTGATTTCAAGACTGAACATAAAGCTACAATAATCAAGGGAGTGTAGTATTGGTATAAGTATAGAACAATAGATCAAAGTATTACAAAAGAGAGTTCAAAAAGATTTACATCCAGTTCAATTTTATACCCAGATTCTGCCTAGTTCAATTGAATTTGAACAATGGTATCAAAACAATTTAATGGGGAAAGGAAAATCTTTTCAACAATTAGTGTGGAAAAATTGGAAAAATGCATAGGACAAACATTAACTTTAACTCATACCTCCTACCAATCTCTGGGAGATTAAGGCAGGAGGATTGCTTGAGCCTGAAAGTTTGAGACCAGCCTAGCAAGACTTATCTCTACATAAATAAATAGTAAACTAAAACTATAATGCTTCTAGAAGAAAACATTTAAAAACTTCATGATCTTGGGATAGACAAAGATTTCTTCTTTCTTTTTTTTTGAGACAGGGTCTCGCTGTGTTACCCAGGCTGGAGTGCAGTGGCACAATCTCTGCTCACTGTAACCTCCGCCTCCTGGGTTCAAATGATTCTCCTGCCTCAGCCTCCCCAGTAGATGAGATTACAGGTGCGCACCACTATGCCCCACTAATTTTTTTTTTTTTTTTTTTTTTAGTGGAGACAGGGTTTCACCATGTTGGCCAGCTGGCCTCGAACTCCTGACCTCAGGTGATCCGCCCACCTCAGCCTCCCAAAGTGCTGGGATTATAAACATGAGCCACCGTGCCCAGCCAGACAAGGATTTCTTAAACAGAAGTAAGAAAACACTAAGCATAAAAGTAAATAATAAATTGAATTTCATCAAAACTAGAAAGTCTGCTCATCAAAGATACCTTTAGACAATTTTTAAAAAGCTTTATACCTGGAGAAAAATTTTATAATACATATATTTGGCAAAGGACATGCATCCAGAACAACTAAACTAAAAAATGAACAAACACTTTATAAAAACAGACACTTCATAAAAAGAGATATACGAGTGGCCAATAAGCACATGAAAAAGAGTTCAAATCAATAGTCATCTTGGAAACGCAAATTAGAACAATGACATATCATTTCATTTCCACTAGTATGGCTAAAATGAAAAGGGCTCACAACACCAAATGTTGGTGAAGATGGAAACAAGAGGAACTCTTTACATTGTTGGCAGGAATGTAAAATGGTACAACCACTTTGGAAAACTGGCAATTTCTTTTCTTTTCTCTTCCTTCCTTCCTTCCTTCCTTCCTTCCTTCCTTCCTTCCTTCCTTCCTTCCTTCCTTCCGTCCTTCCTTCCTCCCTCCCTTCCTTCCTTCCTTTCTTTTTCTTTCTCTCTTTCTTTTCTTTCTCTTGTTCTCTCGTTCTCTCTCTCTCTTTCTCTCTCTCTTTTCTTTCTCTCTCTCTTTCTCTCTTTCTTTCTTTCTGAGTCTTGCTCTGTTGCCCAAGCTAGAGTGCAGTGGCACTGTCTCGACTCACTGCAACCTCCACCTCCTGGGTTCAAACAGTTTTCATGTCTCAACTTCCCAAGGGTAGCCAGTTCTACAGGTACATGCCACCATACCCAAATAATTTTTGTATTTTTAGTAGAGATGGGGTTTCCCCACATTGGCGAGGTTGGTTTCAAATTCCTGACCTCAGGTGATCTGCCTGCCTCAGCCTCCCAAAGTGCAGGGATTACAGGCATGAGCCACTGCGCCCAGCCAACTGGCAGTTTCTTATAAAATTATAGGCCAGGCACAGTGGCTCATGCCTGTAATCCCAGCACTTTGGGAGGCTGAGGTGGGTGGATTACCTGAGGTCAGGAGTTCGAGACCAGCCGGGCCAATGTGGTGAAACCCATCTTTACTGAAAATACAAAAATTAGCCAGGTGTGATGGCACGTGCCTGTAATCCCAGCTACTAGGGAGGCTGAGACAGGGAAATTGCTTGAACCTGGGAGAAGGAGGTTGCAGTGAGCCGACATTGTGCCATTGCACTCCAGCCTGGGCAACAAGAGTGAAACTCCATCTCAAAAAAAAAAGTTATACATCTACCTTATGACCCAGCAATTCCACTCCTAGGTATTTACCCAAGATAATGAAAATACATGTCCACAAAAAGGCTTGTGCAAGAATGTTTACAGCAGCTTTATTAGTAATAGTCAAAACATGCAAAACCAAATGACTTCCACTATGAGAACAGATAAACAAATTTTGGTACATTCATATAATGAAATGCTACTCATCAACAGAAACAATGAACTACTAATGTACACAATTGGATCAATTCAAAAATATTTTGTTGAGTAAGAGAGAGTAGACCCAAAAGAGGATGCACTGTATGATTTCATTATCTGAAGTTCAAGAACAGGAAAATTAATCTATGGTGACAGAAATCACCAGTGAAGATAGGAACTGATTGGAAGAGGGAAGGAGGGAAATTTCTGGGGTGATAGAAATGTTCTATAATAAGATCTGATTATTTCACTGTGTGTAAATTTTACCTAAAAAGAAAAAACAAACCAATCACAGAGCCCCAAATATCATTTAAAAATGTCAAAAGATTAATGGCAAACAGAAAAAGAGAGAAAGACCTTAATTTACATGCATTACAAATCAATAATAAAAACAACATAATAAAAACAACGATCAAGAATGGGCGGTTCGGCCGGGCGCGGTGGCTCAAGCCTGTAATCCCAGCACTTTGGGAGGCCGAGACGGGCGGATCACGAGGTCAGGAGATCGAGACCATCCTGGCGAACACAGTGAAACCCCGTCTCTACTAAAAATACAAAAACTTAGCCGGGCGAGGTGGCAGGCGCCTGTAGTCCCAGCTACTCGGGAGGCTGAGGCAGGAGAATGGCGTGAACCCGGGAGGCGGAGCTTGCAGTGAGCTGAGATCCGGCCACTGCACTCCAGCCTGGGTGACAGAGTGAGACTCCGTCTCAAAAAAAAAAAAAAAAAAAAAAAAAAAAGAATGGGTGGTTCATAGAAAAATAATACATGTTTAGTAAGTTTTATATGATGCCAAAATTATTTCCAATTAAATAAATGCAAATTAAAATAAAATACAATTTTCCACCTATCAGATGGCAATTTTTTTTTTTTTTTTTTTTGAGACAGAGTCTCTGCCGCCCAGGCTGGAGTGCAGTGGTGTGATCTCAGCTCATTGCAACCTCCGCCTCCTGGGTTCTAGCAATTCTCCTGCCTCAGCCTCCTGAGTAGCTGGGACTACAGGTGCGTGCCACCACGCCTGGCTAGTTTTTTGTATTTTTAGTAGAGATGGGGTTTCACCATGTTAGCCAGGATGGTCTCGATCTCCTGACCTCATGATCCACCTGCCTCGGCCTCCCAAAGTGCTGGGATTACAGGCCTGAGCCACCACGCCAAGCCCAGATTGCAAAATTTTAAAGTGTATAATGAGGTGAGAGGATTGCTTGAGCCCAGGAGTTCAGCCTTAGCAACACAGGGAGACTTTGCTTATATAAAAAATTAAAAAATTAGCCCACTGTAGTGGTGTGCACCTGTAGTCATAGCTACTCAGGAGGCTGAGGATGGAGGTTCACTTGAGCCCAGGAGGTTGACACTGTTGTGAGTCATGATCATGCTACTGCATTCCAGCCTGGGTGACAGAGTGAGACCCTGTCTCAAAAAATAATGATAACAAAAATATAAGTTTGATAATACCCAGAGTTGGTGAGGCTGTGAGGAAACAAATACTCTCATATTCTGTCAGTAGAAGAATAAAGTGGTACAATCTGGGCATTTGGTACCATATTTACATCACCAGTGGCAATTTAATTTTAGCAAAACATAATCTGTTCAATTAAATTACTGTTAATTTGAATTTTATTTTTTTCTATTTTAAATTCATTTTGTAAATTTATTTTTTGCTTTGAAACTGCATACAAGATACTAAATAAGGAGTTTATTCCTAGCTTTGTGAATATTTAAGCAACTTTTTAAGGAAAGGGTACTTGCTAGTGGGGAGCCACAAAATGCTAAGTAGAGGCTTACTCCAAAGTTAGGATGATATTCCCCCCAAACAGTAATTATGGCACTTCTGACAGGCTTATTTGGATGCAGTGAGTCAATATTATTGATGGAATATTGAAGAAAAATAAGAAAATGGTTAGTTTGTTCCTTAGGGGGAAGATTATTCAAAACAAAGTACAGAAACAGCATACAGAGCTAGGGATAAGGGGAAAGGAAGGCTGGGAAGGATGCAATTATTTACAAAGGTCTGAGTGAGGAAATAGTTTGAAAATTGGAGTAATTCGACTTAGCACTTATCAATTTATCTTTCAAAGGTTTTGAATTTTATTGATAAAGATTGATTTAAGTACTTATACTGGCTCAGAAAAATTCTAAATATTCTTCTTGTAATAATGCTCATGGAAAGGATGTATGCAAATCTGTGACCAATAAATATTTGTAAAAATTCATGTCATGTATTTACCTGTCTATGAGTAGAATATCACTTGTTATAATTAAAATATCCAGGCAATCTTCTAGTTCCTTGTTACGGTCAGTTGTCTGTACTAGACTCATCAACAAACAGAGCTTGAGCAAATTGTAAGTCCCAGGAGGGGTAATTTGTGATGCAAAGATATTGGCAAGAATTGCTGTAAACTTCCAGCATGAGCTGGAAGTTAAGGAGAGGAGACACCTGAAATTGTCACTAATTCCTGAAGGAACTGAAAGTAAATATTAACATATATATTAGAAAGGGTTTTAAAACAAGGCAACATTATAGATATTTGACTCCCTTTATATAAAATGTTATCAAATTATAGTTCTAATAATACCATATTCTTTTTTTTTAGAGACAGGATCTTGTTATGTTTCCCAGGCTGCTCTTGAACCCCTGGCCTCAACTGATTCCCCTGCTTTGGCCTCCCAAAGGGCTATGATTACAGGCCTGAGCCACCATGCTTGGCCTTTAAATTCTTAGAATGATATTAAATTATGATTCGAGGTCATGCTAGTTTACCATTTCTACCTCAGGGAATGTAATACAAGGAAGAAGTCACCCTTTGTGTCCACATAGATTGGCTGTGGGTTGCAGGCAAATCCCTCATTCTTCTCCTTTTAAGATCTATGAGAGCAAACCAGTTCATGGAGTGCCTGCATTGCTGTGTTTGCTCCTATATTTCTATGTATCACCTTCAAAGAGGAATAATAAGCAGAATGGGAAATATTTGAATGTTGCTGTTAAACAGAAAGATTTACATTCCACTACTTTGAAAGCACTGTACTGTAGTATACTGTAAAATTCTAGATCTTCTCCATCCTCTCACTCTCCACCTCCTAAAAGGAATGAGTGATTTATCCAATTGGTAATGTGGGTGGAACAGCTGTGCATGTATAACCTAGTCCCATTCTCCTTCTTTCTGGGCTGCCATCAAAAAGCAATGATTTCCTCTAACTCATACATGCCCATGGACTAAGAGAGGCCTACTTTAGTTCAGCTCTTGCCACATTTGGGTAGTTAAATATGTCTCATTCTGGAGTTCAGCATAAGAAAGCACACTCTCCATCTACAGAAAAGTCATGTTCTGCTACCAAATCAATAAATTTTAAAACACTTAGCAGAAAATATTTAAAAGATCACTAAACCCTCTATAATCCATCAGTGCTTTCTTTCTTTAACATTTTTGTTCTTTTAAGAAGCTTTTCTCTTCAAGAAAGTAGAAGTATTTAGAATCTACTTGCATTTAAATTCAACTTGGGTGTCTATTACTACTGATGATTACCCACAGTATGGAAGCTAAAGAAACTTCATCCTGGGCTGGGCGTGGTGGCTCATGCCTGTAATTGCAGCACTTTGGGAGGCCGAGGTGGGCAGATCAGGTCAGGAGTTCGAGACCAGCCTCGTCAACATGGTGAAACCCCATTTCTACTAAAAATACAAAAATTAGCTGGGCGTGGTGGTGAGCACCTGTAATCCCAGCCACTCAGGAGGCTGAGGCAGGAGAATCCCTTGAACCCGGGAGGTGGAGGTTGCAGTGAGCCAAGATAGCGTCACTGTACCCCAGCCTGGGCGACAGAGCAAGACTCCGTCTCAAAAAAAAAAAAAGAAAGAAAAAGAGAAAGAAAAGAAACTTCATCTTGGAAGCTAATCTACCACGTTGACTTCTGGTAAACCCCAGATCTGTGAATGCTGGGAAATTGCCAGTTGATCTATTGTTCCTCAAGCAAGAGCACATACTTACCATAAATCCTGCCCTTAGATCAATCAACCTTGATAATTAATACTTACTGTAAATCCTGTCCTTAGATCAATTCCTATCCAATCCCTCGGAAGCGTGTGTACTCCTTCCCTATATAATTCCTGGGTCTGGGGTAATAGCATGGAGATCCACCTGTCTTGCGGCTGCCCAAGATCATGCTTCTGTCCTTAAGTTCCCCAGTAAAACCATCCTATAATGACAAGCTGGACTTGTCTGCCTGCTTTGGTTCCTCAGGTCCTTCTGCATTTAGGGATCATTTTGAATATATATAGCCCATTCAGGGAACATACAGATTACAAAAAAGTCCAACTCTATTCAAGATTTAACCAGCCTTTTCTATATTTAGATACTTGTGAGCCAAGTTGAAAGAATAGGTCTGCTCTCCACTTTTGTTTACATAATGCTAACGCATGTTGGAGTTGTTAAAGGAAATTATCAGTAATAAAGGTGATATTTTGGTCCTCATCTGCCTTTATCTTATTTCTTGATTTGGTTCAGAATTCAGTTGAATAAAAGGATGCTTTTTTTTTTTTTTTTAGACGGAATCTCATTCTATCACCCAGGCTGGAGTGCAGTGGTGCAATATTGCCTTACTGCAATCTCTGTCACCCAGGTTCAACCGATTCTCCTGCCTCAGCCTCCCAAGTAGCTGGGATTACAGGCACCTGCCACTGTGCCCAGCTACTTCTGTATTTTTAGTAGAGATGGGGTCTCACCATCTTGGCCAGGCTGGTCTTGAACTCCTGACCTCGTGAGCCACCCATCTTGGCCTCCCAAAGTGCTGGGATTACAGGTGTGAGCCACAGCGCCCAGCCAAGGATGCTACTTTATTGAGCTCTCCTTCTCAGACCACAACAGTTAACCCAGAATTGCCTTGGCTAGTGGTATAGAAAAATCCTTTGACTAATCTCTAATCCTGAAACATTTTTCTCATTATTAATTATTTTAAAAATTAAAATAAGGCTTAGCCCAAAGAAAGGAGTCCTGCATGCTAGAAAGTTTCCACAACATTATCCTGTTTTATTTCCTTCATGTACTTATTATCTGAAATTGTCTTTTGCTACTTTACATGTTTATTGACTGTCTGCCATATGATTTAAGAGCAGAAACCTTGACTGTCCTGTTTACAACTGTATTCTTAGTGCTTAAAAGAATGCCTAGCACATAGGCAAACAATATTTATCTGCGGAACAAATAGATTTAAATTTAAATATTTGTTAATATATAATACTAAAATTTTCCTTACCTTTTGAATTACAAAAAGTTATGCTATTTGCTTCTATACAGACAGCAGTTTGTGAAGTTTTTACACAGGTTGGAATTCCAATAATTTTATATTCATTTCCTATATTCATTTTATTCACTGATTCATCTAAAATTATTAAAAACAGAAGAAAATGCATATTCACTAAATGAACTTTGTACATGAACATATGGTTCAAAGATCCAGAACTAGTAACAATTCAGTAGTTGAGTTAGGAGTATTTTTGTTTAGCATAATATCCACATAAAGTGACACTAATAATATAAACTGATGCAATTTTATTGCTGATAAATTTTGATTCTTATTTGCAATGATGAATTTAACTTCAAGAAGCATGTGATATAGCAACTAGACACTCTTCTATAACATGGTCAAAAGAAAATAAAATTATTCCATATAAGATGAAACATTTTTCCATTCAATGAAAAGGAATGTTAATAAAAATGACCTTATAAGTGATAATTTTATTTGAGAGGAAAATAATTTTACTGTCTACAATACATGTAAGTACTTGTAAAAACATTATTTAACTTATAAAATATGTGTTTTTTTGTTTGTTTTTGAGACAAAGTCTCGCTCTGTTGCCCAGGCTGTAGTGCAGTGGCACAATCAGCTCACTGTAACCTCAAATTCTAGGGTTCAAGCAATCCTCCTGCCTCAGCGTCCTAAAGTGTTGGGATTACAGGTGTAAACCACCATGCTCAGCCTGTAAGATATTCTTATCTGTGTTTTATATATGAAAAAACCGAGAGGTTACATGGCTTGCACAAAGCTAAATAACTAGTAAGAAGCAGAGCTGAAATTCACATTTAGGTTTGCCTACCTACAAAGTCTACCCTCTTATATTATACTAGGTTCCTCTCTCATACCTAGAGTTTGGGCAACACTTTGCATGAGTTCAAAATTTATTTTAAAAAACACACGAAAAATTTTGATCCTCCATGCCACAGTTAGAAGTTGGTTGGTTGTAAAGCTGTGAAAGAAAGGTTTACAGGAAGGAGCAAGGGTTAACTTATCTGTGATCAGAGTGGTCTTCCTTTTTTTTTCTTTTCTCTCTAGCCCCAGAGAGCTGAACAATAACTCCAATATTTATGTAAGACACACACATAGAATAATAGGAGATCCCATTGTCTTAAAACAACTGTGGTCCTGGGACTTAGCTCAGTGCTTGGGACACAGTCGGTCCTAATATCATTTTAAGTGAGTGTTGTATGACTGAATGAATAATTGATATATTAACTAAATATGACTCTTTTAAAACACTCAAGAATTAGAAGACTTGTGATTCTTAAGATATAGAAATACCATTTATAATTTATAAGCATAAACAAGTCAATGGCTTTTTTTCTGAGATGGAGTCCCACTCTGTCGCCCAGGCTGGTGTGCAGTGGCACGATATTGGCTCACTGCAGCCTCTGCTTCCCGGGTTCAAGCGATTCTCCTGCCTCAGCACCCTGAGTAGCTGAGATTACAGGTGTCCGTCACCAAGCCTGGCTAATTTTTGTATTTTTAGTAGAGATGGGGTTTCACCACGTTGGCCAGGCTGGTCTTGAACTCCTGACCTCAGGTGATCAACCATCCTAAGCCTCTCAAAGTGCTGGGATTACAGGCTTGAGCCACTGCGCCTGCACTGGCCAGTGTTTTTTTATTTTTTTAGAGACACGGTCTCGGTTGCCCAGACTGGAGTGCCGTGGCACCATCATGGCTCACTGCAGCCTCCAACTCCTGGGCTTAGGCGATCCTCCCACCCTCCCACCTTAGCTTCCCAGGTACCTAGGACTACAGACATATGCCACCACATCTAGCTAATTTTTTATTTTTAAATTTTTTATAGAGATGGGGTCTCACTATATTGCTTAAGCTGGTCTCAAACTCCTGGCCTCAAGTGATCCTCCCACCTCAGCCTCCCAAAGTGTTGGGATTACAGGCATGAGGCAGCCCCTGTGCCCAGCCAGTTACATACTTATAGCAATTTATTTTGAGTTCAAACAGAATTCACTTACCTCTTAGGAAAATTGTAACAGATTGAAACCTAAATGGCTGGTTGTTAGAATGTCCTTGAAAAGCATGAAGTCCCTTTGTGGCAATTATTTCAACTATTTGTTTATCTTAAAGCAAAGAGCAAAAAAGAATTAGATATTAGAATATATATTTAATTTAATTTCCATATTGAAATATCAGACACTACTTTAAAAATTGTAATTACAAAATGTAAATGCATATTACCACCAAGTACTCTAAATTTTCTGTCTTCTTGAAGTGAAGATGCACAGAGATTACACAAAAAGTCATTTCTTATCGTTGCAGATTCTGTAGCACCAGGCACATGCACTCTTATATACTGAAATCCTGAAAGAAAACAGTGGTAAGATACATTTGCTTTCAGATTTAGCTATCTATTTTGTTTCTTTTGTTATTGTTGTTATTTTTTAATTTTTTAATTTTACATTTTCTTTTTTCTTTTATTACTGACACTAACAGATTGTAGCTATTTCAGTCCTTTAAAATTAGTCTAATTCAAAATGGAATTAATTCAGTTTTGCACTTTGAGTTCAGGGTAGTTCAATTAACAGTTAACAGCTGTTTTTGCAAGGCATTGTGCTAAGGCACTGGCAATATGGATGCCTAAGCACACAATTTCTATATGTGGCAGTGAGAAACAGGTAATTTCCACCTGTGGTATTCATTTGCAGAGTGTTCAAAGAGAAGACAGGAGGGTCAATCAACCCCAGTGAGAGGTGGCGGGGATAATTTTGAAGTCCTGGAGAAGGACTAAACTGAGGTTAAGCCAAAGGGTTGAGAGAGGACATTAAATGTTTCATTCACAACGTCATGAAATAATGTGTGAGAAGAGCAAGTACTTCAGCAATATAGGTGCACTTGTTAAGATGGGGGTGGCAGAGAAAAGGAGAAAAAATGCATTTCAAGATTATGCAAAGTAAATATATAAACATTAGGAGATATAAAATTTTTATTTAAATTTTTTCTATTTTGTGAGTGTTTTATAACTAATTGTAAATATGATTTAGGATTAAACAATACATTGTTCAATTTATTTATTTATTTATTTTTTTAGACAGGGTCTCTCTTTGTCATCCAGGCTGGAGTACAGTGGCATGAACACAGCTCACTGAAGCCTCGACCTCCCTGGCCCAAGCAATCCTCCCAACTCAGTCTCTTGAATAGCTGGGACTACAGGCATGTGCCACTATGCTGGGCTAATTTTTGTATTTTTTGTAGAGATGAGGTTTCTCCATGTTGCGCTGGTCTCAAACTGCTGAGATCAGGTGATCCTCCCTCCTCAGCTTCCCAAAGTGAAGGGATTACAGGTGTGAGCCACCATGCCTAGCCAATTGCTTAATGCTTTGATTTGCCTTTTTAATATTTACCTTTTGAAAGAGGGCATGCTTCATCTGAACAAAGAAATCTTGCACCTTGTGTATACTTGGTTACAGTTGTCATTGCAATCACAATTCCTTGCATCATATAAAATCTCTGAGATGTATAATCAAGTGGAAATTCACACAGATCAAGACCATAACTTGGCAGGGGAGGTAAATGTGTTAATTTCAGCACTATATTAATCTAATAAGAACATAAAAATGGTATTAATGAAAATTGAAAATCCAATTTGACTTGTATTACAATATAGTAAGTATATTATAGAGTAAGTCAAGTAATGATATGTTAATGTTCTTAGGAATCGAAATTTTAAGCCTTAGAGAAATGATATTCAAGTATAAAGTTAAAGAAGTAAAAATCCTGTAATCTAATATTTTAATTGAAAATAGCATTATGAACTTTAAATTTTTCCTTAAATATACACAATTTCTGACCATATCCACTGAAAAGACTTAAAAAGCAATGTCAACCAGGGCCAGGTGCGGTAGCTCACGCCTGTAATCCCAGCACTTTGGGAGGCCAAGGCTGGTAGATCATGAGGTCAGGAGATAGAGACCATCCTGGCTAACACGGTGAAACCCTGTCTCTACTAAAAATACAAAAAATTAGCCAGGCATGGTGGCGGGCCCCTGTAATCCCAGCTACTTGGGAGGCTGAGGCAGGAGAATGGTGTGAACCCGGGAGGTGGAGCTTGCAGTGAGCCAAGACTGTGCCACTGCACTCCAGCCTGGGCGACAGAGCGAGACTCCGTCTCAAAAAAAAAAAAAAAAAAAAAAAAGTCAGCCAAGTAGCAAAGAAGCATGCCTAGTGCCCAGATTGTGATCTCTTGTTAAGTATCTTTTCTCACTAAAAGGAATCAGGATTCCTTGGGGGAAATGGCTGATTTCAGGCCTAGGATAGAAAATATAACAGATGAACTTGGGGTATCTTCTAACAAATGGCCTGTGTCAAAAAGACATAGGAGCAACCTTGAAGGGACCCCCAATGACAAAAGGTAGGATAATATGAGCATCAAAAGGAATGACAGAGACTCACTGAAACATATTGTATATATTTAAAAGTTCATGAGTTCCTCATATTTAAAAAAGGAACCCCCCCCAAAAAAATTGGTCATTATTGGAGGCTGCTAGATTTCAACTCATTACTCTTTATAAAGGCAAAGAATCATTTACCCTGCCTTTCCTGCACAAATTATATTTCAGAGTAACTAACTAGCTGATGAGAGAAAATTAGTCTTACAGAAGAATTTCAGCTAATTCAGAAAGAACGCTAAAACTAGAAAAATTGCAATTTTGCAACTCCTAATGAAATAACGAATTCTAGGCAATGAACATCAATGGCTGCTAAAACCATTAGGTGAAAGTTGACGAGAAACTGTATAATGGAGAGAAGGGAATGACATCACAGGAACCCATTAATCAATTGTGACACTGTTAAAAGTGCAACAATAGATACTATATCCTCCTGATATAGCACAATATGTAATACATTACACTAACTATTATGTATTCTTGTCAAGTGATTTGAATCTGAATCTAAAAAGCTTTTACAGTTAACTTCTATTTTAGAAATATGAGGTTAGGGAAATAAAATAGCCCTACAAGGAAGCAATTGGATAAATCAAGATTATATAACATAGGACAATTAGTTTCTTCAAAAAGTTAATGGTCTAAAAAGGGAGGGAGAGGAAATGGCTCTAGACTGAAAGAGACTTAGTGAGATGTAAGAACAAATTATAATGTGTGAACTTTGTTTTGGTCCTGATTTGGAACAAACCTACTGTAAGATATTCTTGAAACAATTGGGCAAATTTAAATGTAAACTGGACTTTAGATAATATCAAGGAATTATTGTTACTTGTGTAGGGGTGATAACATTCTGGTTACATAACAAAAATGTCCACAGCCGGGCATGGTGGCTCATGCCTGTAATGCCAGCACTTTGGGAGGCCGAGGCGGGTGGATCACCTGAGGTTGGGAGTTCGAGACCAGTCTGACCAACATGGAGAAACCCCGTCTCCACTAAAAATACAAAATTAGTCAGGCGTGGTGGCATATGCCTGTAATCCCAGCTACTTGGGAGGCTGAGGCAGGAGAATTGCTTGAACCCGGGAGGTGCAGGTTGTAGTTAGTCGAGATAGCGCCATTGCACTCCAGGCTGGGCAACAAGAGTGAAACTCCTTCTCAAAAAAAGAAAAAAGAAAAATGTCCATAATTTTTACAGGTTGATACTAAAGTATGTAGAGATAAAATAATAGAATGCCTGGGATTTGCTTTAAAATATTTCAGAAAAAAAATTCATGATGCAGGTATGAAAAAATATTATAATATTGAATCTGAGTTGAGTGGTAGATACATGAAGGTTCACTGTATTATTCCCTTTACTTTTGGGTATGTTTGAAAAGTTTTATTATACAAGTGTTTAATGGTGGCCAGGCGTGGTTGCTCACACCCATAATCCCAGCACTTCAGGAGGCCAATGTGGGCGGATCATGGGGTCAGGAGTTTGAGACCAGCCTGGCCAACATGGTGAAACCGCGTCTTCACTAAAAATAAAAATATTAGCTGAGCGTGGTGGCGGGCACCTGTAATCCCAGCTACTCGGGAGGCTGAGGCAGAAGAATTGTTTGAACCTAGGAGGCAGAGGCTGCAGTGAGCCGAGATTGCACCACTGCACTCCAGCCTGGTGACAGAGCGAGACTCCATCTCAAAAAAAAAAAAAGTGTTTAATGTTATAAGGGATAATATGAGAAATAAAGATGCATACGTAAGATATTCTATTGAACTTTGAAAAACATGTACTATCCTTTTTAAAAAAAAGTCTATGAATATAAAAATACCTTTTTACAGTCATCATGTGAATTTGTACCTGAGATTGCTTAGTTAAATTTAACTAAAACTTACTTGTGTTTCAGTCTGCAATTGTCCAATTAATGAGAGAGTCTTAACAGCAATAAAACAGACCTGTGATTTCAAACAAACAAAAAAAGTTACCAAAAATTCCGTGTGGCACAAAATTATTTCTTTTTTTGACTTACTGATTGAAAAACTTCAGCTGCTTTTAAAGGTTGGTGTAAAATGTGATTTCCAAGCTCAGCATCTAATTCAACAACATCAGAGGGATTTATTAAAATTTTGAATCGATAGACAGCATAGCTTTGTTTTGAATCTGTGAAAATATACAAATGTAAAAGTCAGGATAGCTATGTGTAGGAGTTTATTTGAAAGTTTTAAAAATTACTCACTTTTGCTGAACGTACCATTGTAGTACTTGCAATCATCTATAAACTTTTGGAGGCCTCCACTTCTGTCAAGATAGATGAGGGCCGCCTCTTTCATTTTTAGATTTGACATTTTCTCCTGGTTAATGACTCGTCTCTATTTCTAATTGATTAAACCACAATTGTTGGTAAAAGCTACAGATGGCGAAACTCATAGAAGGGATGTGAAAACCTAGAAATAAAATTAATTTTATTTTTGAAAATCTCTAATAAGACTTCACAAATTATTAAAGTTGACAGTGAACTAAAACTAGGCAAAACTTCCAACTTAAAAACATTCCTACCCAAAGAAAAACAAAACGTTGCTTTCTTTTGCCAAATAACTTTTTTTTTCTTTCTTTTTTTTTTTTTTTTTTTGAGATGGAGTCTCGCTCTGTCACCCAGGCTGTAGTGCAGTGGCGTGATCTCAGTTCACTGCAACCTCTGCCTCCCAGATTCAAGCGATTCTCCTGCCTTAGCCTCCCAAGTAGCTGGGACTACAGGTGTGTGCCACTACACCTGGCTAATTTTTTGTATTTTTAGTAGAGACGGGGTTTCATTGTGTTAGCCAGGATGGTCTCGATCTCCTGACCTCATGATCCGCCGGCCTCAGCCTCCCAAAGTGCTGGGATTACAGGTGTGAGCCACTGCACCCAGCCCAAATAACATTTTTATCCAGATTGTTATGAGATCCTTCACAAGACTGAAAACTTAAAAACAGGAACCTCAAATGTCTCTTAACAGAGGTGCTCCCAAAAATGTTTGAGATAAACAATATCTGATGATGAGGGTCCTTTGCAGGTGTTGTTTAAAAAATGAAACTGGTAAAAGTTGTTTTATAAATTCAATCTAAGTAACAAAATATAGTAGAATGAGTATTAACCTGGGAAACCTGAGAACTTGGTTCTAGATCCAGCATTTCCTGATTGCTATGGGGAAATCATCTGACCTCTCTTGGCTCAGTATCTTAATCCGCAGGAAACGAAAGTGTTGTATCAGATGATTAAAGTCCCCTCCAATTTTAAATCTTATGTTAGTGACCAACATAAAACATTAAACCACAGTAATGAGTAAAGAATGGAATATGTGAAATTCATTGAAAGACAGCAAATACTAACCGGAAACAATATATGTCAGTAGTTGTAACAGGTGCTAGAAATAAAATGATTAATAGGTGCTAAAAATAAAATGATTAAGATTGGATCCTGCCTTTCAAGAAGTTGCTAGGCAGAGATAGAGAAGTCAGAAATAATGACTAATACATTATTCACTCATTACCAGTTTTTTTTTTTTGTTTGTTTGTCTGTTTTTGTGAGATGGAGTCTCACTCTGTCGCCTGGGCTGGAGTGCAGTGGCAGGTACCATGTTGGCTTACTCCAATCTCCACCCCTTGGGTTCAAACGATTCTCTTGCTTCAGTCTCACAAGTAGTTGGGATTACAGCCACGTGTCACCTGGCCCAGCTAATTTTTGTATTTTTAGTGGAGACGGGTTTCACCATGTTGGCCAGGTTGGTCTCGAACTCCTGACCTCAAGTGATCTGCCCGCCTTGGCCTTCCAAAGTGCTGGGATTACAGGTGTGAGCCACCGCACCCGGCCTCATTACCAAATATTTATTTGGCTACTACTATAGGTTGGATACTAGATTGTCCTAGGCACTAAGGATACTAAGATGAGTAAAACGTGGTCCCTATCCTTCAGAAAGAGTTCAGTGAGAGAAGACATATATGTAAACAGTTACATGGCAATTTAAGTGCTGTAATAGAAATATGAATATACCAGGTAGCATGAAAGGAACAACATATATGAAATATTTCACAAAATTTGGGGTCATCCTTGTATATGTGTCATAACATTTTCTATTAAGACATTTTCATTGAAGACGGTGGGGTCATAGAGAAGAAGCTATGAATTCTGCTTTAAGGTGACATTTGATAGATGACTATTTCACTAATTGGAGGAGAGGTGAAGAGAAAGAGTTTCAGAGATAGAGGTCACCTCCCACCCCCACTATCAGTTTTACACTACTGGATCCACACACCCATTACGTGGAGTTCGGCTACTTTCCAAAGAAAACTAATTGAGACTGTCTTTTTCACTACAACATAGAAGTGAAACTTTAGCGTTTATTTCTCTGTGGCCATAGGTACAATGATCTCAAAATGTGTGTTGTGTTCAGAACATCACATCTTTGCTGCACTAGAACATTAGGTTTCTGGGGTGAAATGAAGGGAGACTATTGGTAATTAAATGGTTGGGTGAGGCCAGATTATGCACGCTTTTGAAGATGATACAGGCAAAGAGAAGCCATCAAAGTTTTTTTTTAAGGGTGGGGAGTATTATAGTCAGACTTTTTTTGTGTGTGACAGGGTCTCACTATGTTGCCCAGGTTGGAGTGCAGTGGTGTGATCTCAGCTTGCCGCAGCCTTTACCTACCGGGCTCAAGCTATCCTCCCTTCTCTGCCTGGGACTACAGGCATGCGCCACCACATCCAGATAATTTTTAATTTTGTTATAGAGATGGGGTCTTACTATGTTGCCCAGGCTGGTCTCCAACTCGTGGGTAGCTGTCTCGTCCTCCTAAAGTGCTGGGATTACAGGTATGAGCCACTAGGCCTAGCCCATAGTCAGATTTTTATTTTGGAAACCTGTGCCTGCTGCCAATGTAGAAAGTAGGTTGGAATAGCGGGAGAGCTGATAATCAGTTTCTACCTATTGGGATATATTCCTACAAAATGGATGACCTGATTCAGGGCATTAGGAACGAAATAGAATGGGGGAGATCGATTCCAGAATTTTAAAGATTGCACACTGGACCTGGTGATCAGTCTGCAATACGGAGAAGGGTAATCGAAAGCTGTGGGGTTTTAATATGTGTATGGGTGGATGCTGCTGCTCTAATAGAAATACGGAGCCCAAGGAGAAGCGTAAGGACATGAGGAAAAGTTCCCTTGAGATATTCTGACTTTGAGGACCCTTGGGATTCCCTGATAGATGTAAGCAGGAACGGGCCACAAATCAGGGCCTGGCTTTCGGTAGCATCAAAAGAGTTACAGCTAAGTCTGGGTGTCAGTGCGTAAAGCGGAGGCCCTGGGGAGTGGACGCGTTTTCACGGAAGCAGATTAAGTCGGGAAAAGACATAGAAGCCTGTGGAAAAGCGTTAAGTGAGAGAACAGGGATAAAATTCTAATTCCCTGTCTTCCCTTAGTCTAACGAACACCGAGTGTTGCTGCACGCGGATTCTGTCTTCTCTCCGTGCCCTGTCAGCACCCGGATGAACTGGTGAGGGGAAGATGGCAGGAAAACGCTTCACACCAAAGCGGATGAAAGCGAGTCCAGACTCATGAGGTCCCCTCCCAGTGACAGCGGCGACCTCGAGTTAGGGGGACCCCAGCGCTGTAGTGCTTTTCACCCACCTTGACTCCCACCGAGCGCGGCAGCGGTTGCTCGCCGCCTGCGGCGTGGGCGGAGCGGAGCTCTAGCGCGCATGCGCCCATATACCAGCTGTGGGCGGCTTGCGCTGGGCTTGCCGGGACCGCCCGCGCTCTCCAGTCAGCAGGGGAACTAGCCGGGCTTCTTTCCCTACGTTTTAACTTCTTCACTCTTACTCCCTCCCAGCGAAGCAAAGAAAAGATAGGGCTACGTTTGGTTTTTGTTATCTCAGGCCAATGGTGTTGATGTTTAAAAAATTCAAAACCCAGCTTCAGGGAATGCAAAATGTCTAGTCACTTTGGAAGACATTCCAGTATTCCCTCAAACGACTCAACATAAAGTTACCCTATGATCCAGCAGTTCAAGTCCTAGGTATTTATAAATACACCCAAGATAATTGAAAACATATGTTCACACAGAAACTTCTGCACGAATGTTCATAGTATTATTCACAGTAGCCCCAAAGTGGAAATATGAATGCCCATCACCGATCAATGGATAACTGTGGTGTAGCCATACAATGGAATGGTTTTGGCCATAAAACGGGATGAGACACTAATACATGCTGCAACATGGATGAACCTGGCAAACACTATGTAAAGTGGAAGAAGTCAGATACAAAAGGCCATATGTTGTGTAATTTCGTTTATATGAGATGTCCAGAATAGGCGAATCTATAAAGAGAGAAAGCAAATTTGTGGTTTCCCAGAGATTGGTTGAGAATGCAGAATGATTGCTAATGCTTATGGGATTTCTTGTTCTTTTTAAATTGTGGTGAAATATACATAAAATAAACAATTTTAAACATCCTAAAGTGTACAGTTACACTACCTACGTTCACACTGTGCACTCATCACCACTATCTGTAGAACCGTTTTCATTGTCCCAAACTGAAACTCCATATACATTAAATAACTCCCCATTCTTCTCTTCCTCATCCCCTGGCAACCATCATTTTTTGCCTCCTTGAATTCGGCTACTCCAGGTACCTCATGTAAATAGAATCATACAGTATTTGTCCATTTGTGATGGGCTTATTTCACTTTGCCGAACTTCTTCCAGTTTCATCCATGTTGTAGCATGTTAGTTTCTTCCTTTTTAAGGCTGAATAATATTCCATTGTGTGTGTACCATATTTTTTTGTTGTTCATGAATTCACATGGGTTTTTTTTTTAGAAGTGATGGAAATGATCTAAAATTGATTGTGGTGATAGTTGCACAACTCTGAATCTACTGAAAGCCAGTTAACTGTATATTTTAAATCGATGAATTGTACAGTACTTAAATTAAATATTACTGAAGTTGGCCAGGTGCGGTGGCTCACGCCTATAATCCCAGCACTTTGGGAGGCCAAGGTGGGTGGATCACTTGAAGTCGGGAGTTGGACACCAGCCTGGACAACATGGTGAAACCCCATCTCTACTAAAAATACAAAAATTAACCAGGTGTGGTGGTGCGCACTTGTAATCCCAGCTACTCGGGATTAATACTATTAGCAGGCAGGAGAATTACTTGAACCCGGGAGGCAGAAGTTGCAGTGAGCAGATATCACACCACTGCACTCCAACCTAGGCGATAGAGCCAGACCTAGTCTCAAAAACAAACAAACAAACAAAAAACAAAAAAAAAAAAACCCACAAACTTAATGAAACTGTTACCAAAAAACCCCAAACCCTTAAATTGTGCCTGCTTCTCCACCATTAGTATTCCTTTTTTTTTTTTTTTTTTTGAGACAAGTCTTGCTCAGTCGCCCAGGCTGGAGTGCACCGAGGTGGTGCGATCTCGGCTCACTCCAAGCTCCGCCTCCCGGGTTCACGCCATTCTCCTGCCTCAGCCTCCGGAGTAACTGGGACTACAGGCGCCCGCCACCACGCCCGGCTAATTTTTTGCATTTTTAGTAGAGACGGGGTTTCACCGTTAGCCAGGTTGATCTCGATCTCCTGACCTCGTAATCCGCCCGTCTCGGCCTCCCAAAGTGCTGGGATTACAGGCGTGAGCCACCACGCCCGGTCCCCCCACTTTTTTTTTTTTTTTTTGAGACAAGGTCTACCTCTGTCACAGGACTGGGGTGCAGGGGCCCAATCAGGGCTCACTGCAGTCTCAATCTCCTGGCTCAAGTGATCCTCTCACCTCAGCCTCCCAAGTAGCTGAGACTACAACCGTGCCTGGCAAACTTTTAAATTTTTTTTTGTAGAGACAGGGGTCTCATTTTGTTTCCCATGCTGGTCTCAAACTCCTGGGCTCAAGCAATCATCCACCTCAGTCTCCCGAAGTGCTGGGATTACAGGCATGAGCCACCGCGCCCAGCCTGGACCTTTAGTGTCCTTGATACAGTTATCAACTCTGTTCCATTGCATTGGGTTGGATCATTTACCATGAAAAAGTAATTGCGTTCATCCCTTTTCATATATAATAGGGGTGGCAAAACATCTCAGAGTTTGTCTGGGAGAATATAATCTATTTTAGTTGTGAGATAAAATATGTTTTAGGAGTAGAAATCCATTTACAACAACAAGGAGGATGTTCAAATTGTCTTGCACTACAATTCTGTGATAAAAACTACAATTTTATATGGGAATAGGCTATGGTCTGGTGATGGCCATTGCATTTTAAAGTAGAATAAATTCTTCTAGAAGGTATCTATATATTTTAAAGTTTTTTTGAGATGGAGTCACGCTGTGTTGCCCAGGTTGGAGTGCAGTGGCATGATCTCTGCCTCCTGGGTCCAAGCAATTTTCGTGCCTCAGCCTCCCAGGTAGCTGGGATTACAGGCACATGCCACCACGCCTGGCTAATTTTTGAATTTCTAGTAAAGTTGGGGTTTCACTATGTTGGCCAGGCTGGTCTTGAACTCCTGACCTCAGGTGAACTGCCTGCCTCAGCCTCCCAAAGTGGTGGGATTACAGGTATGAGCCACTGCATCCGGATATTTTAAAGTTTTAATTTTAATCAGTTCATAGCATAACATTGTTCATTTCTGCACCAGAGTAATAGTTTTATATCAACCAAGTCCAGCAAAATCTTCTAATAGATTTTTATGTATTTAATACATCCTATAAAATATCTGCACAGTCAGGCGTGATGGCATGCATGCACCTGTAGTCCCAGCTACTAGGGAGACTGACTGGGAAGTTGCAGTGCATTATGATTGTACCACTGGACTCTGGCCTAGGTAACAAAGTGAGACTCTTAGAAAAAAAAAATCTGTTAGGCCTAAAATCGGAATTTAAAACCTTAAGAATTCAGCACATTTTTTACATTGCAAACTCTCTGAAAATGATAGTGATATCTAGAGTCAAAATGCCATTGTTGCTTATTGCTACATACTTACAGTACTTTATTCTTACAAAACATCACTAAACAGCAGAAACAAGTTACATGCAATCTGATAAAATGGCTCAAATATTAAGGTGGTAGAATTATGAATTATTTTTACTTTTGCCTTTAATATAGTTTTTTTTGCCTTTTAGTATTTTTCATTGAGGTATAATTAATATGCAGCAAAATGAACGGCTCTTACATATTGTCTTATGAGTTTTTGAGTTTTGAGAAATACAAACCTTTTATTTTGTATTTTTTGTTTTTATTTTATTATTATTATTATTATTTTGAGACGGAGTTTTGCTCTTGTCTCCCAGGTTAGAGTGCGATGGTGTGACCTCGTCTCACTGCAACCTCCGCCTCCCAGGTTCAAGCGATTCTCCTGCCTCACCCTCCTGAGTAGCTGGGATTATAGGCGCCTGCCACCATACCTGGCTGATTTTTGTATTTTTAGTAGAGACGGAGTGTCCCCATGTTGGCCTGGCTGGTCTCGAACTCCTGACCTCAGGTGATCCACCCGCCTTGGCCTCCCAAAGTGTTGGGGTTACAGGCGTGAGCCACCACACCGGGCCAATTTTTTATTTTTAAATTTTTTTTCAAAGCTTTTAATTTTAATTTTTAAATTTTATTTTTGCCATGACATGTTTTCATCTGATAATTTAAAAAAATATTTTTAGACACAGTCTCATTCTGTCACCCAGCCTGGAATGCAGTGGTGCCATCTCAGCTCACTGCAACCTTCGTCTCCTGGGCTCAAGGGATCCTCCCACTTCAGCCTCTGCAATAGCTGGGACTAACCACACCTGACTTACCAGGTATTTTAAAGGATGTATTAAATACAGAAAAATCTATTAGAAGATCCTTCTGCCTCAGCCTCCCGAGTAGCTGGGACAACAGGTGTGCACCACCACACCCAGCTAATTTTTTTTTTATTTTTTGTAGACAGGGTCTCACCATGTTGCCCTGCTGGTCTTGAACTCCTGGGCTCAAGCAACCTGCCCATCTCAGCCTCCCAAAGTGCTAGGATTGCAGGTGTGAGCCATCACACCCAGCCAGCCTTGTAATATATGTTAAAATCAGGTAATGATGCCTCCAGCTTTGTTTTTTTTTTTTTTTCTTTTTTTTGTTTTTTGGAGATGGGATCTTGCACCGTCACCCAGGCTGGAGTGCAGTGGAGTGATCACAACTCACTGCAGCCTTGGACTCCCAGGTTCAAGCGATCCTCCCACCTCAGCCTCGCAAGAAGCTGGGATTACTGGCACATGCCACCATGCCTGGCTAGTTTTTAAAATTTTTTGTAGAGATGGAGTCTCTCTTCATTGCCATGGGCTCAAGTCTTCTTCCTGCCTTGGGCTCGCAAAGTGCTGGGGTTAACAGGTGTGAGCCACCCAGCCAAGCTTTGCTCTTTTTGCTCAGGCTTTCTTTGGCAATTCAGGCTCTTTTTTGGTTCCATATGAATTTTAGGATAGCTTTTCTAATTCTGGTAAGAATTGCATTCAATCTATAGGTTGCTTTGGGCATCATGGTCATTTTAATGATATTAATTCTTCTGATCCATGATCCATGAGATGTTTTTCCATTTGTGTCATATTCAATTTCTTTCATCAGTGTTTTCCAGTTTTCCTTGTAGAGATCTTTCACCCCCTTATTTAAATTTATTCCTAGGTGTTTTTTGGTTGTTGCTGCTGCTTTGTTGCTATTGTAAATGGAACTGCCTTCTTACTTGCTTTCTCAGCTAGATCATTATTGGTGTATAAAAATGCTACTGGCCGGGTGTGGTGGCTCATGCCTGTAATCCCAACAGTTTGGGAGGCCAAGGCAGGTGGATCACCTGAAGTCAGGAGTTCAAGACAAGCCTGGCCAACATGGTGAAACCCTGTCTCTACTAAAAATACAAAAATTAGCCGGGCGTGGTGGCGGTCGCCTGTAATCCCAGCTACTTGGGAGGCTGAGGCAGGAGAATCACTTAAACCTAGGAGGTGGAGGTTGTAGTGAGCTGAGATTGCGCCACTGCACTTCAGCCTGGGCAACAGGGTGAGGCTCTGGCTTAAAAAAAAAAAAAAGCTACTGATTTTAGTATGTTGATTTTGTATCCTGCAATTTTATGGAATTCATTTATCAAACCTAAGAGTTTTGGGGTGGAGTCTTTTACTTTCTCTCTTTTTCTTTTTTTTCTTTTTCTTTCTTTTTTTTTTTTTTTTTGAGACAGGGTCTCACTCTGCAGCCCAGGTTGGAGTGCATTGGTGGTGCAATCACAGCTCACTGCAACCTCGACCTTCTGGGCTCAAGCAATCCTCTCACCTCTGCTTCCCAAGTAGCTGGGACTACAGATGTGTACCAACATGTCTGGATAATTTTTTAATTTTTTTGTAGAGACAGGGTTTCACCATGTTAGCCAGGCTGGTCTTCAACTCCTGGACTCAAGTGACCTGCCTGCCTTGGCCTCCTAGTGTGCTGGGATTACAGACATGAGCCACTGTGCATGGCCAGGTTTTCCTAGATATAGGATCAGGCCAGGTGTGGTGGTTCATGCCTGTAATCCCAACATTTTGGGAGGCTGAGGAGGGAGGACTGCTTGAGGTCAGGAGTTCGAGACCAGACTGGGCAACATAGGAATACCTCATCTCTACTAAAAATGAAGTTAGCCAGGCATGACTGGCTATATGATAAACTACAGGTGTGTGCCTGTAGTCCCAGCTACTTGAGAGGCTGAGGTGGGAGCATCACTTGAGCCTGGGAGATTGAGCTATAGCAAACCGTGATTGCACTACTGCACTTCAGCCTGGGCATGAGGGCAAGACTATGTCTCAAAAGAAAAAAAAAAAATCATCAGTGAAGAGGGTCAATTTAACTTTTTTTTTTTTTTTTTTTTTTTGAGACAGTCTCGCTGTCACCTGGGCTGCAGTGTAGTGGTGCCATCTCAGCTCACTGCAACCTCTGCCTCCCTCCTGGGTTCAAGCGATTATCCTGCCTCCGCCTCCCTAATAGCTGGTATTACAAGCACCCGCCACTACGACTAGCTAATTTTTGTATTTTAGTAGAGATGGGGTTTCCCCATGTTGGCCAGGCTGGTTTCAAATTCCTGACCTCAAGCAATCCACCTGCCTCAGCCTCCCAAAGTGCTGGGATTACAGGTGTGAGCCACTGCGCCCAGCTTAACTTACTCTTTTCCAACTTGCATGCTTTTTCTTTCTCTTGCCTGATGGCTCTGGCTATGACTTCCAGAACTAAGTCAAATAGAAGTAGTGAAAATGGGTGTCCTTGTATTGTTCCAGTTCTTAGAGAAAAGGCTTTCAACTTTTTCCATTTATTATATTACCTCTGGGTTTATCATATATGGCCTTTATTATTTTTAGGTATATTCCTTCTATGCCTTGTTTTATTGAGGGTTTTTATGACAAAGGGATGTTGAATTTTATGAAATGCTTTTTCTCCAACTATTGAGATGATCATGTGTTTTCTCCATTCTGTTAATGTGATGTATCATGTGTATTGATTTGCATATGTTGAACCATCCTTGCATCTGTTACATATACTTGACATAGGATCAAGTATAAATCCTAGTTGATTGTGGTGTATTATCATTTTGATTTGGCTGTGATTCTATTTAGTCATAAGCTTTTTTTGTTGGGAGACTTTTTGTTACTGATTCAATCTTGCTACTCATTACTGGTCCATTCAGGTATTCCATTTCTTCCTGATTCAATCTTGGTAGGTTTTATGTTTCCAGGAATTTATCCACTTCTCAGTTTTCTTTTTTTTTTTTTTTTGAGACAGAGTCTCGCTGTGTCACCCAGGCTGGAGTGCAGTGGCGCCATCTTGGCTCACTGCAAGCTCTGCCTCCCGGGTTCACACCATTCTCCTGCCTCAGCCTCCCCAGTAGCTGAGACTACGGGCGCCCGCCACCACACCCAGCTAATTTTTTGTATTTTTAGTAGAGACGGGGTTTCACCATGTTAGCCAGGATGGTCTCGATCTCCTGACCTCATGATCCACCCGCCTTGGCCTCCCAAAGTGCTGGGATTACAGGCGTGAGCCACCGCGCCCGGCCCTAGGTTTTCCTATGTATAGTTGTTCATAATAATTTGATAATCTTTTCTATTTGTGTGGTATCAATTGTGATGTCTCCTTTTTCATTTCTGATTATTTGGGTGGTCTTCTCTTATTTTCTTGGCTAATCTCGCTAGCAGTTTATCAATTTTATCTTTTCCAAGAACCAACTTAATTCATTGATCCTTTATATTGTTTAGTCTACTTATCAATTTTATCTTTTCCGAGAACCAATTTAATTCATTGATCCTTTATATCCTTTAGTCTATTTCATTTAGTTCTGCCCTGATCTTTATTGTTTCTTCTGCTCATCTTGGGTTTTGTTTTTTCTTGCTTTTCCTGGTTCCTTGAAGTACATTGTTAGATTGTTAATTTGTAACCTTGCTACTTTTTGGATGTAGGTATTTATTACCATAAGCTTCTCTTAGTGTTACTTTTGCTGCATCCCACAGGTTTTGGTATGTCATGTTTCCATTTTCATCTGTTTCAAAAATTTTTTCTCCACTTCTGTCCTAATTTGTTGACCCAATGGTCAGTCATCCAGGAGCATGTTGTTCAATTTCCACGTATTTACACTCTCCAAAGTTACTCTTGGTATGGATTCCTGGTTTTATTCCATTGTGGTCTGAGAAGATACATGATACATTGATTTAAAAAAATTTGTTGAGGCTTGTTTTGTAGCTTAACATATGGTCTATTCTGGAGAATGTTCTATGTGCTGATGAAATGAATATATATTCTGCAGTTATTAGATACAACGTTATGTAAATATCTGACAGGTCTATTTGTCTAAAGTCCAGTTTAAATTCAATGTTTCTTGATTTTCTGTCTAGGTGATCTAATACTGAGAGGGGGATATTGAAATTCCCCATTATTGTATTACTGTCTATCTCTCTCTTTAGACCTAGTAATATTTGCTTTGTTATTAATCTGGGTGCTCCAGTGTTGGGTGCACATATATATATTTAGAATTGTTATATCCTCCTCCAGGCCTAGCATGGTGGCTCATGCCTGTAATCCCAGCACTCTGGGAGGCTGAGGCAGGCATATCACTTGAGGCCAGGAGTTCCAAACCAGCCTGGCCAAACCCTGTCTCTACTAAAAAATACAAAAATTAGCTGGGTGTGGTGGTGCATGCCTGTAGTCCCAGCTACTCAGGAGGCTGAAGAACGAGAATCACTTGAACCTGGGAGATGGCGGTTGCAGTGAGCTGAAATTGCACCACTGCCCTCCAGCCTGGGCAACAGGGTGAGACAGTCTCGATAAATGAATGAATGGGAAATCCCACTTCAAAAAGACTTAATTTCCAAACTGCTTGTATGAGGGATGAAGTTATCAGTTTTAACACTGTATTGAAAAGGTCATTACAGCATTACCAAAAATGCTCCTGCATATCTATTCCTACTTTTAATAGAGTACATTATATACAAAAGAATGACTTATGTTTGTGTACTGTAGTATCATTTGACTGTGGCAAATCACTATTATTTGTTACAAACATGCTAAAGATATTGGTAATGATAAATTTTTCAGTGGTAAAAATTCAGAATATTTAAACCTCCATTCAAATGCTAACTCTTCTTAAATCATATCTAAACAGTGTTTGCTGGCTTTCTTTGTAAGTTGCGTATAAACTTCACACAGAGGATCTACTACCACTGCCTGCATCGTTGGGCACCTATTCCCCAAGTGTGACAAATTTGGTAATTTTCAGTGTGTATCATGAGGCAACAATGGCTGGGAAGCCCTATTTTATACCATATGCAATAAAATGGGAGGTATGGGTAACATGAAAAATGTTAAGAGTCTTCATTTAGACCTTTCTGGTATACTTTGATAATAACCATGAAATGGTTATTCGAAGGGTATACATTTTCCTAAAAGGCTTATGCTATGAGAGAAAAGATAAACTTGAAACTTAGAAAACATTTTGTTCTCTGGGTATTATACACATAAGCCTATGATAATCTAGTAATTCATGTGTCCAAATAATTTGTTCAAATTTTATTTTCTCTCACACATATAAATAATTTATTTTATAATGACTATTGTAACCATTACCAATTTCAATTTCAAATAATGAGAGACATTAGTTGATTTTTTTTTGCTGATTTTATTATACTATATAGATTTGTATTTCTTGTGATCTGAGAAACATCAAAATTCTATTTTAAATTTGTTCTTAAAAATATACAATATTGCACTTTAATTTTTGGCAGCTTAACAGGAATGAATGAGTACAAAAAAATCATACAAGAAACTACAATTTTTATTTTGCTTTATAATAAGAGCTTTGTGTAAAAACAAAACTTACAGTAGTGCCAAATAAACCAAATATTTACAGTGTAGATATTAAAGTCTTACCTCTAAAGGAAGATTCAGTGTATTGGATGTAAATATTAATATAAGAAAAGCACACTGCCACCCCCACTGCCCAATTCTGCTAAACACTTTTAAGCCAAAGAATATTGGTGAGAAATGCTTTCGTGATTTCTTTCTCAAGACATACATGGAAGGGATGCTTGCTCTTGGAGCATCTAATGTGGGTCATTAAACTTTTACAAAAATGTTTCCTACATAACTTAAAAAAACCTCTACTCTAAGCCAAGAATCCAAGGTAAGCTTATTTTTAATTTTTTAAAGTTCTTCTGTTTTTTTTTTTTTTTTTTTTTTTAAATAAATAGAAATGAGGTGTCACTACATTGCCCAGGCTGGTCTTGAACTCGTGGGCTCAACTGATCCTCCTGCCTTGGCCTCCCAAAGTGCTGGGATTTTATAGGCATAAGCCACCATGCCCAGCCAGTTATTCTCCTTTACTTTTATAAGCATGTAAGTTAGTTGGTAGGTTACAATTTTAAGGTCTGTTTCCTGCACTTTTTCTAAGATATATTGAATTGGATACTGAATACACATCTGCCTGATTTTCAGCTTTTGTTACATTGCAATAAAACTATATACATTTACACTGACCCACAGTTTGTTTTTTTCTTTTTTTTTTTTCTTAACTAGGGTCTCGCTCTGGCACCCAGGCTGAAAAGTGCAGTGGCACGATTTCAGTTCACTGCAACTTCCATCTCCTGGGCTCAAGTCATCCTCCAACTTCAGCCTCCAGAGTAGCTGGGACTAAAGATATGTGCCACCATGTCTGGCTAGTTTTTGTATTTTTTGTAGAGATAGGGTTTCGCCACGTTGACCAGGATGGTCTCAAACTCCTGAGCTCAAATAATCTGCCTGCCTCGGCCTCCCAGGATGCTGGGATTATAGGCATGAGCCACCATGCCTGGCTGTTATTTTACTTTTTAATTCCCAATTAGGCAAATACTCTAGAAAGCTCAATTTTTTATTTTACTTAACCAATTAGGAAAAGAGCTTTGAAATACCTATTTGCAAAAGCAAATACAAAGATTTAGAATGACTTAATAGCATACTAAACATTCAAAAGATGAACAGAACATAAACACAATGTATTTGTAATATAAATATATGACAGAGAGACATTCATTTTTGGTACCACCTCAAAAAATCCAGCAGTACATTTCATTACCCTTCAGATCTTTGGGAATACTTAAAAATCCTAACCATTAAACTTTTTCTTTTCCTTCAGAGGAAAAATAATCCACAAAGTAGAATTGGTATTTCAAAAACAAATAATTTCTTTTTGTTACTTATTTTTTTTTTGAGATGGAGTTTCCCTCTTGTTGCCCAGGCTGGAGTGCAATGGCGCGATCTCGGCTCACAGCAACCTCCGCCTCCTGGGTTCAAGCGATTCTCCTTCCTTAGCCTCCCAAGTAGCTGGGATTATAGGCATGCGCCACCATGCCCCGCCAATTTTGTATTTTTAGTGGAGACAGGGTTTCTCCATGTTGGTCAGGCTGGTCTCGGACTCCTGACCTCAGGTGATCCACCCACCTCAGCCTCCCAAAGTGCTGGGATTATAGGCGTGAGCCACCGCGCCCGGCCTGTTACTTCTTAAATGATCTGCAGAATAAAGTTATTCCAATTGTTAACTAGCAGCCAATGTATTCATTATGCTTTTACACTTTGATCATACCATGAACCAAATATTTCGAACAGTGATTTATCATGGAAAAATACGGTTTCTTCTTAAACAACCATGTACCAATTGCATAGTTTTGATGTGATAACAAAAGCCATAGTAAAGAGTTACAAAGGTATTAATATATGTTAGCTGAACTGAAATTGACTGTTAAAAAACAGTCTATCTTGGGTAGATGTTAGTGTAAACTTAGAGGGAAAAAACAGTCAATAGCAAAAAAGGTTTCTTTAAAAATAGGTTAATGCTAAGAATAAGAGCTTTTAAATTTTGTTTAAAAATAAGCTTATTAAACAAGAATATAAATTTTAATCAAAACAGCTCTTTGAAATGCCCTATTTTTCTTGCACATAGCAGAAAATACATTTTTTCAGTTTTCATCATTACATGTAAAAATGAGGCACTAGTTATACATATTTGAATAAATTCACATGAATAGAAGTTTCAGTCCCATCTATAGACTTATTTTGCTCCATGGTTTCTGAATGGCAAACTGTTCACAAAAATAAGTCTTCTGAAGGAGGCGCATAAGAGAAACCAACGAATGCATCATCTGCCTCCAATACACTGGCATTCACTATAGAATAGTCAGAAGATACACACACAGAATATGGAACTGTTTCTTCTGTAAATGCTGTGTCAAAGTTTCTGATATCATCTGGTCCAGCCTAAAACATCAAAAGCACAGTATTATTCATCTTAGCTTTTCTTTCATTAATTTAATTCTTTATTTATTTTTTTGAGACAGGGTCTTGCACTGCCACCTGTGCTGGAGTGCCAGTGGAGCGATCTTGGCTCACTGCAACCTCCACCTCCTGGGTTCAAGCAGTTCTCCTGCCTCAGCCTCCTGAGTACCTGGGATTATAGGCACCCACCCACTGCGCCCAGCTAACTTTTTGTATTTTTAGTAGAGACAGGGTTTCACCATGTTGGTCAGGCTGACATGGTGACCTCGTGATTCACCTGCCTCAGCCTCCCAAAGTGCTGGGATTACAGGCGTGAGCCACTGCGCCTGGCCCAATTTAGTCTTTTATTACAACTCCTTTATGAATTTGTGTGTTTATTGCTGGCAAGTTTAGATGTCTTCCTAATTCATTCCCTTGAAACACTTTTCTGTTTTTCCTTTCCTGACCTTGATTATTTAGGTGAAGTTATCTGTCCTTCTGAAACAGGGGTGTCCAATCTTTTGGGTTCCCTGGGCCACACTAAAAGAAGAATGGTCTTGGACCACCCTCACTAACACTAACAATAGCTGATGAGCTAAAAAGCAAACAAAAAAATGCAAAAAAACTCTCAATGTTTTATAGAAAGTTTAAGAATTTGTGTTGGGCCGCATTCAAAACCACCCTGTGCCGCATGCAGCCCACAGACCGTGGGTTGAACAAGCTTGTTCTAACAGTTAAGGTTCTTTTTGAGTTGGGGGAGGAGAGAGAAAGGTAAGGAAGGCTCACAAACAGAGATTCATTGTTAATTTACATCTCAAGGCTTGTCACTGATCCCCTTTCTCTCTACCCATCACTGCCTCACTACACCCAAGTTTAGAAAAAGGTCTCAGGTAGGTTTTCAGGATAGCATTTTGTATTTGCATTTCCATAAAATGCCTATCCATCTGGTTTCTCAATTATGGGTAGGTAAAGCCTTCTGATGAAGAAATGAAGCAGTTATAAGTAAAATTATAATTTTGTTATCAGTTATTTAATTAGGTTATTGGTTATAAGCAAAATTGTGAAAGATGACTCTTACTGTGCTACAGAGAATGTCATAAAGCATTTGACTAGGGCATCTTAGCTCTGGAGGGCTACGAAGTCCTGATATGAAAATTAAGCATGATGGCTGCTTAAGCTCATAGACAGTCATTCTTAATTTTCCTTTACAAATCTGATGCAAGCTAATAGACTCTACCTTTCCTACACACACACACACAATTTTGAGACAGGGTGTCATCCTGTAGCCCAGGATGGAATGCAGTGGCACAATCACAGCTCACTGCAGCTTCCACCTCCTGGGCTCAAGGGATCATCCTGCCTAAGCCTTACCCAAGTAGCTGGGACCACAGGCATATGTCACTATACCTGGCTTATTTTTTATTTTTAGTGGAGTCGAGGTCTCACCATGTTGTCCAGGCTGGTCTTGAACTCCTGGGCTCAAGCAATCCTCCCACCTCAGCCTCCCAAAGTGCTGAGATTACAGCCATGAGCCGCCATGCCCAGCCCCAATATATTTATAGACAAAAACTAGGATACAAATTCAGGTGATTCACTCTTAAAAAGTCCATCCCTGGTCGGGCACGGTGGCTCACGACTGTAATCCCAGCACTTTGGGAGGCCTAGGCGAGCGGTTCACGAGGTTAGGAGATCGCGACCATCCTGGCTAACAAGGTGAAACCCCGTCTCTACTAAAAAAATACAAAAAATTAGCCGGGCCTGGTGGCAGGTGCCTGTATTCCCAGCTGCTCAGGAGGCTGAGGCAGGAGAATGGCGTGAACCTGGGAGGCGGAGCTTGCAGTGAGCCGAGATCGCGCCATTGCACTGCAGCCTGGGCGACAGAGCAAGACTCCGTCTCAAAAAAAAAAAAAAAGTCCATCCCTGAATTTCTAGGTTATTTCTGCTCTACAGGGAAGGGAACCCTTAAAATGTTCAAGTCATTAAGTCTAACTGAGGGTGCACTCATAGAAATTCAGAGCAGATATTACAAGCAAAGGATAATAGCCTCGTACATCTACAGACTGAGCAGAGACCACAAAAACCCAGAATGCTAGATCCTCCCATATGAGAAAATCCCCCATAGAGACAAAGAATGCTAGAAATTTTATATGTATGTATGCATGTATGTATTTTTCCTCATCAAATTCTTATATACAATCCTTCAAGCATGGGCTCTTGAATTCTGGCTACAAAATTTGCTAGCTGTCTTTTTTTTGAGACAGAATCTCATTCTGCTGCCCAGGCTGGAGTGCAGTGGCGTGATCTTGGCTCACTGAAACCTCCACTTTCCAGGTTCAAGCAATTATCATGCCTCAGACTTCTGAGTAGCTGGGACTACAGGTATGTGCCACCATGCCCAGCTAATTTTTGTATTTCTAGTAGAGACAGGGTTTCGCCATGTTGGCCAGGCTGGTCTCGAACTTCTGACCTCAAGTGATATGCCCGTCTTGGCCTCTCAAAGTGCTGGGATTACAGTTGTGTAATTCGTTATATAAACTACTCTATCTCTATGAGCTTGTTTCTTCTTCCATAAAGTAATAATACTATCACCTACCTCCTCAGGTTGTTGCAAGCATCTGATGTGTTAATAAATAAAATTTCCCGAATGTAACATGTAGAAGGTACTCAAATGATGGCAATGTTCTCTGACTTGCCTTTATAATGCCCTCATGGCTCATGGCTGATACTGACAGGAATAATACAGGCTGAGCATCCCAAATCCAAATTGCTCCAAAATCCAAAAATTTTGAGCATCTACATGACAGTCACTGGAGCATTTTGAATTTCAGATTTTCAGATTTGGGATGCTCAATCACTAAGTAAATCCCAAAATCCAAAAAACAATTCCAAATCTAAAACACTTCTGGTCCCAAACATTTCAGATAAAGGATACTCAACCTGTACTATGTGCTTTATTAAGAGTGAGGGCGGGCCAGGCACGGTAGCTCATGCCTGTAATCCCAGCACTTTGGGAGGACGAGGCAGGTGGATCATGAGGTCAGGAGATCGAGACCATCCTGGTTAATACGATGAAACCCCATCTTTACTAAAAATACAAAAAATTAGCCAGGCATGGTGGCAGGCACCTGTAGTCCCAGCTACTTGGGAGGCTGAGGCAAGAGAATCACTTGAACCCAGTAAGTGGAGGTTGCAGTGAGCCAAGATCGTGCCACTGCACTCCAGCCTGGGTGACAGAGCAAGACTCTGTCTCAATCAATCAATCAATAAATGAAATGAAATTTTATGTAGTCAAATCTACCAACGTTTTTCTCTTATGGCTTTTGGGTCATGCTTTAAAAAGTGACAGAGCAAGACTCCATCTCAAAAATAAATAAATAAATAAATAAAAACAAACAAAAAAAAAGAGTGAGGGCTCTGCCCATCTCTACTAAAAATACAAAAAGCAGCCGGGTGTGGTGGTGCACACCTGTAGTCCCAGTTACTTGGGAGGCTGAGGCAGGGGAATAGCTTAAACCTGGGAGGCGGAGGTTTCAGTGAACCAAGATAACGCCACTACACTCCAGCCTGGGCAACAGAGCAAGACTCTGTCTCAATCAATCAATCAATAAATGAAATTTTATGTAGTTAAATCTACCAACTTTTTTCTCTTATGGCTTCTGGGTCGTGCTTTAAAAAGCATTCTTCACTTAAAGATTATACACAAAAATATTATCTTAGGTCTTGCAAGGGTTACTTTTAGGTGCCTGGAATAGGTGTGACTACAGGTGCGTGCCACCAAACCCAGCTATTTTTCACTTTCTGTTGTTGTTGTTGTTAAGAGACAGGGTCTTGCCATGTTGCCCAGGCTGGTCTGGAACTCCTGGGCTCAAAAAATCCACCCACCTGAGCCTCACAAAGTACTGGGATTACAGGTATGAGCCACTGTGTTCAGCCCATACCTAGGTTTTAATTCTTCAGAGGGTTTGGGAATGCGTATCAAGGACCTAACACAATGCTGGGTACACGGGGGCACGCACTAGAAGCTAATTCCTTTTTTCTCCCCTCTACTTGGAAATGTACAGCATAACTATGTCCTGGTACTAATACACACCCTCACTCCAATCTGTCCTTTCCAATCCCCTGTATTTTCATAGTATTTCCCTTCCTATCACATCTAATCCCTTAACACTTAGCTAGTGTTAACAACCATTAAAAAGAGTGATTCATTGACCCAGCAATGAATATTTTCTTTCAGCTTACAGAATTGTTAGAATGATGCCAGCCTCTCCCCAGGTCCAGACCCACCCCTCAGATGTGGGTTCTGAATGACCCACTTGGAGCATGGCCAAGCCACTCCTAGCACAGCTGCATACCACATCTACCCCCTCAGGGCAGGACTATGCCATACTTTTAAATTTAGGGATTATTTTCTATGCTATACTTTAAGGACTTTTTGGGGGGAACCTCTAATTTGAAATGTTGGTGAGCCCTCTCCCACCAAGCAGTCAATTTTGTTTTCATACTTTTCCAAAATTTTATACATAATAAACAGAAATTCCTAAAGCAGGGACTGAGGCCACAGAACTGTAAACTATTAGCTATGCAGAATAGTCGGTATTTCAAAAATGGAGTGAAAAACCTGAGCAATTTGTATTCCAAGAGATGCCAAAATGAAACCAGCAACAAAGTGAGTTTTTCTGAGGATTAAAGTGGAGGCAAGGATCAAAGCCTGGATGTATCCAACATAGAATGGAATGTTAGGATATGCTTCATAGTAACTTAGAGGATTTCAGATGGAGCTTCAGTGAAATCCTATACGAATATGGCTTATTTTGGAGGTACTTCTTTTGTGTTAGTTGTTCTGAAATGGTATAATGAGAAATCTTTCAAAGTGTCAAAAACTACTTGTTGATGAATTTTATAGCAAAAAAAGATTAAAATATAATAATGTACCCATTCATTGTATTAACCCATTTTAGGCCACTGCTCTTATCCTTTCTCTATCAGCTGCTGAGAGAATAAAATTAAGCAACCAAATCTTATTAGGATAAATTAAACATTTAGCAGTATAACCTCAAGTTTGTGGGCTAAAAAAGAGAATCCAGAATGCGTTTTTACCCATTGTAAACAGAGAAATAAACTACTTCGAGTCCTTTTTTAATGTAGACTAGTTGGACATGTATAATTGAAGTAAATATTTTATGCAACCTGTTAGATTTTGTAATAATTCTCACTAACTGCTAGTAACATTCATCATAGAAATACTGAAGCTTAGCATGGTCAATAACCCCACTCTCTCTTTTCCTAGTAACTACCCTATTAAAATATAAAACACTAAGCAGACTGGAAAATCAACTAATTTATTTTATTCACTGAAAGAATAAGCATCAAAGACTATTTCTGTCAACTGTTTTTCCCCCACAGATGCAACCGTAAGTTATTATGAGGCATCGGTTTTTTTGTCTCACATTACATATTTTAATTCCACAACACTGAATGCCTGATATACACTAAATATATAATTATTTAACTCTTCTCTTTATATATTTTATCCCCTTAACTGTAATTTTCTTGAAGACAGAGCCTATGTTCTACTTATTTGTGTTTTCTAACCAAGTTACCAATAAATATTTAATGGGAAAATTCCCAGAGGGAAAATGATTAAAAAAAAGATATTACTAATTAAATATCTACTGTGTGCAATGCACTCTGGTGCTTTACAAATGTTACCTGAATTAAACCTCACAGCTCATGTTGTGAAAGAAAAAATAAGTATAGAGAAGCTTAACTTCTAGTTAATCAGAGAAGAGCAGGGATCCAATGCTGGAGCTATCCATTTCCAATGTCGCTTAGGAGTCCCTAATTCAACATGCCTGATGATATATTTATTTGAATGTAATTAAATTCTGCTAAGATACTTAGTCTAAAGAGAAAAATAATTCTTAAGAGTCTTAGTTTCCTACCACAAACTCTACAAATTTGGGACCAAAATTATTCTTAATGGTGTCATTCCTGGATGCACTACATGAAATAAGTCAGTCTACAAATATTATGTATGTAGGTGTAAAATATTACACCTATTAATACCAGCTAGGAGCTATGTATAGAAATTAACCTTGAACAAAGCCTGATAGACTATTAAGTAATACTTTCCTGATCTCCTTATGTGCTCTAATTTATTAAAAAAGTATTCCTGGCCAGGTACGGTGGCTCATGCGTGTAATCCCAGCACTTTGGGAGGCTGAGGCGGGTAGATCATGAGGTCAAGAGATCAAGACCATCTGGCCAACATGGTGAAACCCCATCTCCACTAAAAATACAAAAATTAGCTGGGCGTGGTGGCGCACCCCTGTAGTCCCAGCTACTCAGGAGGCTGAGGCAGGAGAATATCCTGAACCAGGGAGGCAGAGGTTGTAGTGAGCCAAGATTGCACCACTGCACTCCAGCCTGGCGACAGAGCAAGACTGTCTCCAAAAAAAAAAAAAGGCCGGGCGTGGTGGCTCAAGACTGTAATCCCAGCACTTTGGGAGGCCAAGACGGGCGGATCACGAGGTCAGGAGATCGAGACCATCCTGGCTAACATGGTGAAACCCCGTCTCTACTAAAAAATACAAAAAACTAGCCGGGCGAGGTGGTGGGCGTCTGTAGTCCCAGCTACTCGGGAGACTGAGGCAGGAGAATGGCGTAAACCCGGGAGGCGGAGCTTGCAGTGAGCTGAGATCCAGCCACTGCACTCCAGCCTGGGCGACAGAGCGAGACTCCGTCTCAAAAAAAAAAAAAAGTATTCCTTAAGTTTTACAGCAACATCAAAAAACTTAAATTCATCTATGATCTTAAAACTCCAAACCAATCTTGGTTTATATTCTATTCTAGTCCTTATCCTTATTTTTACTGCTATAATTATAAGTCACAGAAATTGTAATTACCATGTTTTCATGTAACTTTATAAGGATTTTCTAAGTGTTTGCTCATTTTTATACAATTTAACAAGAAAAGACAATAGCACATAAGGAAACATAGAATGATGACTCTGGAATCATGCATATATTAGAATCCTGGCTCTACTACTTTTCATCCAGCTATGAGACATCTCTGAGCTTCTATTTCCTCATTTATAAAATGTGTAATAAGAAAAACAGTAAGTATTACTAAGTAATACTTATTAATAAGCTGGTAGCTTGAAGAGTAAATTATATATTATAACACATACAAAGTGTATATCCCTATACAAAGGCAGCTATCATTAGTTACTAACATCATTACTGGCCTACTGATGATTATTAACAATTTCCCTGTTGTTATATATTTACTGTATTTTCCAAAATTTTCCACCACTGTTAATAGTATAAAGCTCATCTACAATGTGGCTTTTTGCTTTAAACAAATTATCTTTAGGTGAAATGTTTCCATCAAATAGATTTAACAAGTCTAGCTAACACTAACATTTTTATAATACTATCCTATTGTTTTCCCAAAAAAGTAACAATGTACATTAATATTATTTTATTAATGTTTGTCTATACCTGTTTTTTTTTTTTTTTCCAATTTTATTTTGAGACAGGGTCTTGCTCTATCACCCAGGCTGGAGTGCAGTGGTGCAATTTTGACTCACTGCAATCTCCACCTCCTGAGTTCAAGTGATCCTCATGCCTCATACTTCCTAGTAGTTTGGGAGTGTAAAGGCATGCATCACCACACCCAGATAATTTTTTTTTTTTGTATTTTTAGTAGAGACAGGGTTTCGCCATGTTGGCCAGGTTGATCTTGAACTCCTGGCCTCAAGTGATCCACTCACCTCGGCCTCCCAAAGTGCTGGGAGTGATCTGCCCGCCTCAGCCTCCCAAAGTGCTGGGATTACAGGTGTGAGCCACCATGCCTGGCTGACTTATTGAGTTCATTCTTTTCTTACACATATTCCAAAGAAACACTTTACAATTACTGTCCTGGAAGATATTTTTATCAAGCTAATCTAACTATAATCTTACTGGTCTCCCCAAAGTTATCAGTTATACTAGACAACCCTGAGTGACATATTTTACAAATATTTAGGTAATGACTCCATTTAATTCAGGTGATTCTGAGATCTAGTCTCAAAATTATAATGAACTGCTATTATGTTTCACGATTTTAGAAAGGAAGATTTGGATATATACTTACCACATTAGGATTAAATGGTGGTGGAATCTTCTTTTGTACAAGGTCAGCCCAGCTGAGTGATTCAAAAAAAGGATGATTCTGAATTTCAAGCTGGAATATTAAAAAAATGTTTGACTAATGCTGAAGAATATATTAAGTACTAACTGCATAATTTTATGAAGCCACACTATTACTATTTTGCCCCTCAATGACTCTTTTTAGGAACATGTGTATGTTATTTGTGTAGCAAAATGATGTTATTCATGTAAGCAATAGAAAGACTGAAAAAAGTTACTTAGAATGATCTACTTAAACTTAAGTTGTATTCTCTTCACAGTCAGTTTCCTCACTGGTAAAATGGGGATAACATTTCTGCCCTAAATACTTCAGGGGAAGTAGGTTTTAAGGATCAGTGTAAAGTATAGATATAAAGTGCTATGAAAAGAATAAAGCACTACAGAGGTACAAAGAATTAGTGTTATTACTGGAGTAGGGGGGGTAAAGAAGTTGGGCAGAGAGCTTTATACAGTAGAGTAGAAATAAAATCTGTCATGAGTTCTACTAATAAAAAAATATCCCACTCAGGGTTGGTATTACCAAACAACGGCACAGTATTGACTCTAGCTTTTTTTCCTTCAAGGTGCCACAGGAGTGTATAAAGCGGGATCCAATCTAATTTGGTGGGTTAAAAAAGACTTCTTGGAGAAAACGGTATCTCATGAGAGGTCTGAAAAATGAGTAAGAATTCAGCCAGACAAAAGAATGGGGAGAGCATGTTCCAGAAAGGCTCTGAGGTGGCAAAAAGGTTAGTATGGTCAAGAAAATGAGAGTCCAATATGGCTGCAGTGTAGGGAAGGATGGGACTGTCACATAAGGTGAAGCTCAAGAGCTAAACCGGCTGTATCATATCAGGTCTATGTTAAACATTTTGGATTTTGCTCTAAGGTCGCAAGAAGCCATCAAGGGGATTTAGTCATGAGAATGTCATAACTGTTTTTTTTTGTTTGTTTTTTAAAGCATCAGGTTGGTGAGAAATGTTTTTTAAACCACCACCCTGGGCCAGGCGCAGTGGCTCACACCTATAATCCCAGTACTCCGGAGGGCCGAAGTGGGAGGATCACTTGAACCCAGGAGTTCAAACCCAACCTGGGCAATACAATGAGACTCCCCCATCTCTACAAAATAGTGTGGTGGCACGCACCTGTAATCCAGCTATTTGGGGGCTGAGGTGGGAGGATCATTTGAACCTGGGAAGTTGAGGCTGCAGTGAGCCGCGATAACACCACTACAACTCCAGCATCGGCGACAAAGCAAAACCCTGTCTCAAAAAAAAAAAAAAAAAAAAAAAAATCCCCCAAAACACCACCCTGGCTACAGGGAGAATTAGATTGAACAGTCAGGACCAGATAAAGGAAAAGCAGCTACCACTGTAACCAGACTAAAGAAGACAAATAGTAGGAAAAGAGTAGCAGCAGTGGGGCTAGAAAGAAATGTCTGGATATGGGAAAGATTCAGGCAGCAAACGGAACAGGACCTGGCTGTTTGTTGAATATGGAAGTAAGGAAGAGAGAAGACTCAAGAATGCCTCTCAGATTTCTGGCCTGAACAGCCACATGGACAGTGATGTCCTTTAATACGAAAGGGAGCATAGGGGGACAATAGCGGCATTTGAGGTACTCTCAAGAACTCCAAGTGGCGGTGGTGAGCAGGCAGATACTATGTAAGTCTAGAGTTTAGAAGAGAGGGCTGAAGAGTAAAGAAAAGATATAAATGTGTGAGATGAAAACACATAGATAACTAAAGCCATGGGATCAATTGAGATTGCCCAGGAAGACAGCACAGAAGAAAAGAGGGTTTAGGACAACAGGGCACCGCAACACTTGAAGGTTGAAAAGGAGCTTACACAGGAGGTAATGGAGAATGGTCCAGAAATACAGAAAGAAAAGCCTGAGATGAGACGTATGTGTGCTCTTGCAAAAGCCTAGGGAACAGGAGAGTGTTGCCAAGTTTAAATGCTGCTGAGGGCGGCGTAAGTTGAGGAAAAGTATCCAGCAATTCTCCTGGCTATTTTGTGGTAGACTGAGAAATGAAAGAGCTTGGGAAAGGGAGACTGAACAAAGAAAACTTTCAACAAGTTTGGCTAAGAAGGGAAGAAGACAGAGTAGTACCTCTCAGGAGATTTGTAAGACTGAGGGTTTTTTTTGGCTTAAGAAGCAACAGATTTGATAACATTTAATTACTGACTGGAAGGAACCAGAAAAAAGGGAGCAATTATTTGTGCAAAACAAACAAACAAGCAAGAACAGGGTTCCTTACAAATGGACAGGATCTAGTGCACAGGTGGAAACAGACCTTTTCCACTACAACAGAAGGAAGGAAATGACAGGATCCTGCAGGTTTATATAGGCCTGTGGATTTGATAACAGGAAGCTAAGTTAGCTCCACTCTGATGATTCTATTTTCCTTACAAAACAGAAGGCAAGATCATCTGTTAAAAGTGAAGAAGAAGAAAGGGCATCTCGGAAGTCTGGAGAGAAGGTGTGAAATAGTTTATACAGAGAGGAGGAGAGTAAGCTACACAGAGAAACAGAGTATTACCAGACAGTGGGGAAGCACAGACAAGGTTCACAGTGCTTCCAATAAGCCCAGTTTGTTAGTTTCTTTAGCACTGTTCAGCAGCCCACGAGATGATAGTTGGATTCATCTAGAGCTGCAATCTCCGTCAATGAATTCAATAAATGGACCAAGGGACAAGGAGGTGTGAAACATTAGCAAGACTGTCTGGAACAACGGAAAGGAAGTTGTTGGCAGAGCTACCAGCTGAACTGGGGAGCGGGGGGTAGAGCAGTAGCAGCAAAGTCTTTTATTCACAGCTCAGGTTCAAGACCGATAAGCAGCCTCCAAGAATATCTGAGAAAGCAATTTAGAAGTTCATATTCCTTAATATTTTGTGCATTTACTGACACACTAACATAATGCCAGTAACTACACTACAAATTTAATTACTCTGATTTGAAACAAACATGCAGATTCCCTAATTATATCAAGGAGGTCTCACCAAATTCCAAAAAAAAAAAGTGATTCAGCGTTCAAGGCAAAAGACATTACCTCATGCAGACAAGAGGCACTTAACAAATTCCTGCCAAAGGAAATGATTTAGATGTTTAGATAGTCCCAAACCCTCAACAAAAAGCTTACTAGTTGGTTAGTCTCTGTGTTATTAGTTCATGAAAATGTTAGTATTATTTAGCAATAAAAACAGCAAAAGTAAGTTTAGGTAGTGAAAATATGCCACACAACACTTTTTAAAAAGAAGGGGAGGGGAATTTGTAATAAATGAAAATCAAGTAAATAACAGGGTGCGAAAGTGTATGTGGTGGACAGGGCAAAAGTGCATGCAAGAGAAAATGCTTTAAATACTATATAGTTTTATATAAATACAGGTGAAAACTATGGGGACGAGTATGCTTTTTTCCCATGTTGCTATTCTCCTTGTGTTGTATTCATTCAATTAAACACCATATAAAATAAAGCTTTATTTCCAAATTTTAAATAAGCTTAAATAAAGCTGGAGCTGGGAAAGCTGTTACATACAAAGTCTTCCTTGGCACCAAGTCGATTTTGCCTGTCTTTTTCTAGGAGTTCTTCCAGAATGGACCAGGCTGTAAGGCTCACTCCTGGCCTCAAACTTAGGGGTTTGTGAAGGATATTGTCATACATTTCAGCAACATCTCGGCAATAAAAAGGAGGCTGGGAAAAAAAAAAAGCAAAATAAAACTTAGTGGTAAACAAATTATGCGAAAATGGGGTTAAAATGGCTTTGATCTTGAGGGAGCAGTCAGTTGAAAAAATGTACGGACCTTTTAGGTCGTGCAGATACCTGCAGTGTGGCTTCTTGAAGCAAAGAGATTCTAAAACCCAACACATCACAGAGCTTAGTAAGTGTTTACTGAATGAATTAGGGCCAGTTTGTTCAATACCACCTTGTAGACAGCTGTTAAATTATATACAACTTGTAGTAGTATCTGTTTTAGAGAAAATGACCAACCTTATCGTACGCATAATGACAGAATCATTGGAAATGGAAGTTCAAGACAGATCAAACATTAATTTCAGACTTGGGAATAAACTCACTAAAACAAAGGAATTTCTAGTAGAGATGGAGGCCTGTAGATATTATGTTCCTTAGGTACTTACGACAGAGATAATACTATAACTATACTTTGCAGAATTAAAAATGCTACCGTGACAGCCAAAAGACTTGGGGTATGGCTTCAACACAAGCATTAGCTAATCATCTAATTATAAAGATTTAAGGTAAAAATAAAGGCCAGGCATGGTGGCTCACACCTGTAATCCCAGCACTTTGGGAGGCTGAGGTGGGCAGATCACTTGAGGCCAGGAGTTCAAGACCAGCCTGGGCAACATGGTAAAACCCTGTCTCTACCGAAAATATAAAAAACCAGCCAGGCATGGTGGTGTACGCCTGTAGTCCTATCTACTCAGGAGACTGAGGCACGAGAATCGGCTGAACCTCGGAGGCGGAGAATGCAGTGAGCTGAGATTGTGCCACTACACTCCAGCCTGGGTCACAGAGCGAGATCCCATCTCAAATAAAATAAATAAACAAACAACTTTTGAGAAAAAAAAAATGAGCTGTACAGGTTTCTGTATTCTGGGAATAAGAGGAAGGAAGATTATCATGCTACTCAGGTTCTATCTGCAAGGTAACCTGAGTAGCATGATATGTAACCTACAAAACTACTTCCTTTTGAATTAATGTATCCAGAGCACCAGAAACATTTTTCCAAAGGGGGAATTACCATGTAAAATGTTACTGTTTATTTTTTTTTCCCAAAAAAACTCCCAATTTATTCACCAGAGGACTGGCCTCTAATATTTTACCCTTGTGGGTTTGTTTTTAACCTCTTAAATATTAGTTACTAGTATTTTTATAAAATAAGATGAATCTGACCTAAAACATTAAATTGACATTTTTTTCTTTTTAGTCTCCTTTTGTAAAAATTAGAAAAGTAATATATGCTTGTAACAAATCTAGACAATACAGAAGTTTACAAAATAAAAAGTGAGGCCAGGCACAGTGGCTCACACTGGAAATCCCAGCACTTTGGGAGGCTGAGGCGGGCAGATCACTAGAGCTCAGGAGTTTGAGACCAGCCTGGGCAACATGGCAACACCCTGTCTCTACTAAAAATACAAATAAATAAATAAATAAATAAATAAATTAGCTAGGCGGGGTGGTGCACACCTGTAGTCCTAGCTACTCAGCAGGCTGAGGTGTGAGAAGCATCAGAGCCTGGGAAGTCAAGGTTGCAGTGAAGGAAGTCCACTGCACTCCAACCTGAGCAACACAGTGAGACACTGTCTCAAAAAAAAAGTAAAAATAATAAAGTATACATAGTTTTTAAAGTTAAGGGAGTTTTATAGGCTTGTCACTTTTCCTTTGTGTAGGAAAGAAAAAGCTTATCTTTTAAAATATAACTTTTTTTTTGTTTTTTGGTCTTTTTTGAGATGGAGTCTCGCTTTGTTGCCCACGCTGGAATGCAGTGGCATGATCACCACTCACTGCAACCTCCGCCTCCCCGGTTCAAGTGATTCCCCTGACTCAGCCTCCCAAGTATCTGGGATTATAGGGGCACGCCACTGTGCCAGGTTAATTTTTGTATTTTTAGCAGAGATGAGGTTTTGCCATGTTGGCAAGGCTGGTCTTGAACTCCTGATCTAAGGTGATCTGCCTGCCTTGGCCTACCAAAGTGCTGGGATTACAGGCGTGAGCCACTGCTGCTGGCCAAAATAAAACTTCATTTTAAAACAATCAGTAAAAGTTTGATTAATAAAATATATGTTTCAAATGTCCTCTTTTGAATCAACTGCATTTTATGTGCAATGATATGTTTTCAAAGTCCTCTAAATAAATTAGAAGGATCCTGAAATATGAAGATGGCAAATAAACAGTGCTTAAAGGGAAATCAGGTATAAAGTGGTTTTCCAATGTTCTAAGTCAGCAGCATAACCAGACAACTAGATCTTTTGACATGCAGGTCACAGTCAAGGGCAAAGAAGAGATGATGTTGGCTTTCACAGGAATCTATCATTTGAAACTAGCAAGATAAAACAAATGCTCTGAAATGTACTTCATGTTCTAAATTTCACTGTAAGCTCCACAGTTTTCAATGAAAAGCAAATAGACACTCAGCTCAGGTCTTGGCTGACAGCAGCATTTAACATCAGCGCTACACGTAGCAGCAACTTCAGGGATTTGCACATTGTTCCCAGCACAAGGCTGCTGGACACTTAGGGGACCACAAAGGGAGTCTAGAAACTGTTCTAAACATGTCATAAAGCCTACAGAAAAACATACATGTACTCTTATAAAGCTATTTGAGCTAACTAAAATGCCTACACTGTTTGCTTTGGGTTGGAATAATATTAACTCAATGTAGTGAAAAAACTTTATTCTTGTTAATCAGAAGTTCTGGCCAGCCTACGTGTCTTTAACTAAGTGAGAACTGGGCAAACTGACTGCATAAACATTACTTTTTTTCAAGAAAAATTTTAAGACATGGTGTTTTCAGGGATGGGAATAGAGTGATCTTCAATGATGGGAAAAGCTGAGCACCTGTGTATTAATTAAATCTATTAAACAAAATAAAAGGCAAAAACCAAAAGACCTTATCTTCTGAAATACAGTAATTTATTGATAAATGCAAAAATCATTTTCTGTTCATTATCTTAAAATTAGAGTGATATTTGAGTAAACTGAATGGAATCAGATAATTTTAATATTACAACCAGGTGTCTATTTCTAAAAACGCCAGGGGGGGGTGAGAACATCTGAAATAGTTATTAGTATAACAGAGAAACAATTATATTAATTTTTAAAAACTGTTAACAAAATAAAAAGGGTTTTTTTTGTCCTTTTTTTTTTTTTTTTTGAGACAGAATCTCCCTCTGTCACCTAGGCTGGAGTGCACTGGTACAATCTTGGCTCACTGCAAACTCTACCTCCTGGGTTCAAGCGATTCTTGGGCCTCCGCCTCCCAAGCAGCTGGGACTACAGTATGCACCACCATAGCCAGATAATTTTTTGTATTTTTAGTAGAGTTGGGATTTCGCCATGTTCCCCAGGCTGGTCTCAAACTCCTGGCCTCAAGTCTGCCCGCCTCGGCCTCCCATAGTGCTCAGATTACAGGGTGAGGCACCATGCCCAGCCTCTTTTTGTACTTTTTCCTAATGTGGTTTTGAGTTCATTAAACCGGCTATTACTGCTCTGTTAGTGTTATCTAAGTGTCCATGAGATTCTTAAGGCGGGAGAGAGACAGACAATCAAATCAATGAGAATACACTGGAATAAAGAGATACAGAAATACATACCAATCCATACAGCATTTCATACAGAACAGCCCCAAGGCACCACCAATCCACAGTATTGTCATAGGGCTGTTTTCTAATTACTTCAGGTGCAAGATACTATAGAAAAGAATAAAATATTAGAGTAACTTGGTAAACAAATCAAGACAAAATTTATAAATAATTGAGAAATTTAACAAATTTTAGTTGTTGCTATCATACTAAAACCAAATTATCTAGATTTCCAGTGGGTTGGGTATTCTCAGTCTACACCAGTGGTTCTTAGGTAACGTCACGTAGGACACTTCAAAATACATGTATTCTGCATTTCTCCTCGGAAACTGTGAGACAGTTAAAATAAATAAAAGAGTATAGTGAAGGTAGATTCTATAATTCTCAATAGGTGAAGTAGGTATTTGTGGGAAAAGTCTTTCAAAGATTATTTTAGAAGTTCATTTGGTCATTACTCATGTTTTCCTCTTAAATACATTTTTTTTTTTTTTTGAGACAGGATCTTACTCTGTCACCCAAGCTGGAATGCAGTGGCACAATCACAGCTCACTGCAGCCTCGACCTCCTGGGCTCAGGTGATACTCCCACCTCAGCCTCCCAAGGAGCTGGGACTACAGGCATGCACCACCACACCTGGTTAGTTTTTTGTATTTTTCATAGAGACGGGGGTTTAGCCATGTTGCCCAAGCTGGTCTGGAACTTCTGGGCTCAAACAATCTGCCCACTTTAGTCTCCCAAAGTGCTGGGATTACAGGCATGAGCCACAGCACCTAGCAAGAATTGTTAATGTAGCAATTATAATCCTTTTTTTTTTCTTTTCAGTAAAAAACAATGAATTGTATTCTCATTTGAGAATTATAACAGCAATTCTCTAACATATTATTTAGAAAACTTGTGTAAGTTGTAAATGTCTATTTACATTTTAATTTGCAGGAAATTTAGACTCATCACAACTTAACACATCTAAGATAGTGAACTTGAATTTTACATTCCAAAATATATTACCTCTTCCCATGTGAAATACATGTAAGAAAGTAATTTCCTCGTAAGCTTTTTTATGTGATCTAAAGAAATGCCAAAATATTTTAACTATGCAATTAATATACAATAACAAAAAATGTTTCTTCATACATAAACCAAAACAGAATGGTTATAAATATATACAAGCACCAGGGTTAGACAGAAAAAAGAAGGAAAAACTCATTTCAAGGTAAATACTTGTTACTTAGAGATACTTTTAATTAAGTTTCTGAACTCAATTAGAAGCCATTTTCTCACACATTTTCAACATTGTATTTGCAAGTACTCCACGATAAAGATGAAATATTACATGGTACCTACAATCATTATAAATACCTTGGAATTTGGACAGTTTAAAATAAATCAAACTTGTTTCTGTGTGTGAAGTATGAATAATAAAGGTTTTATATGATTTGTAAGGATTATCATTATTGTCACAAATAGATAATTTTTGCTAGCTAACATGATTAGAAAATGGGATGGTCTGGTAAATAAATTCTGATTTGTGATTTTTTTTTCCATATCCACTGCTTTATTTTCTTCTGGTAAGTAAACACTTAATTTTATTACAAAAGATTTCAAGCATACAAAAAAATGAGAAAAAACAATAAACTGCAACTGAGATATAGTCAAGTGTTAATATTTTGCCATATTTGCTTTAGCTCATTTTTTAAAAGAAAAACAGCTTTATTAAAATAGTCACATACCACACAATTCACCCATTTAAAGTGTGTGATTCAATGTTGTTAACATATTCACAAAAAGAACACTTTCATCACTAATTTGTGATTTTTAAAGGATTAGAAATATAATTTTCTACAATATTTATTTTAGAACAAAAACAAAAAAAGAAATATAATTAAATGTGTAAAGAAGTTTAAGGTAAACTTCTGACATTAAAAACAAATAAACATAATTTATATTTGTTGGATTATTCAAAAGGGTCTTGCGGTATCTAACAATCACAGTTAAAAATACCCAACTATCAAGGCATGATTATCAGATATTTCCAGCTGGCTAGAAGCTGAAATGACAGTTTTTATTCTACTTTTCTTATTTTAAATTCATATATGCAATCCGTAATTCATATTTGCATTTTATACATGATTATATGAATGACAATGAGATATATTTCTTACCTCTGGTGTCCCACAAAATGTGGTAGTGGTGTCAGAAATAGCAATTCCTTCTTTACAAAGCCCAAAATCTGTTAAGACAACATGTCCCTGACAAATACAGGGGCGGTAAGATAAAACAGTGCATAAATAGGAATTGACAATTTTTCAGCAAGTTTTTCTTTTTTTTTTGAAACAGAGTCTTACTCTGTCGCCCAGGCTGGAGTGCAGCAGGGCGATCTTGGCTCACTGTGACCTCTGCCTCCTGAGTTCAAGCAATTCTCATGCCTCAGTCTCCCGAGAAGCTGGGACCACAGGTGCATGCCACCTGGCTAATTTCGCCATGTTGCCCAGGCTGATTTTGAACTCCTGACCTCAAGTGATCCGCCCACCTCGGCCTCCCAAAGTTCTGAGATTACAGGTGTGAGCCACCACACCCAGCCAATAAATTAACAGTTTTAAAAATCCTTTTATTTTCACATAATTATAGATCCACATGAAATTGCAAAATAGTATACAGAGGAAATTGTCATTGGTACAATACTATTAACCAGACTGTCAACCTTATTCAGTTTTCACTTTTTACATGCATGCTTTGTGTGTGTGCTTAGCTCTACGCAACACAGATGTATAGATTCACGTAATCACCACCACAATCAAGACACAATTGTTCCATTGCAAAGGAACTTCCCTAATGCTACTCCTTTATCTTTGCACTCTCTATCCCCTTGGACCCTGTCAACCACTAATCTGTTCTCCATCTCTACAGTTTTGTCATTTTGAGAATGTTATATAAATAAAATAACACAGTACAGAATCTCTGAGACTTTTTTTTGCACTAAGCATAAAAGCAACAACAAAAATTGAGAACTAGTAGATTTTTAAAAGAGAATACTTACTACTGAATCCAAAAGAATATTTTCTGGTTTCAAGTCTCTACCGAATTAAAAGGAAGGAAAAGCAAAACTGAATACAAACCGAAATAAAATACTGTTATATATAATTTTTACAAGTATATTTAAAAATTGTACCTGTATACTATTTTGATGGAATGTAAGTAACCCAATGCACTAGCAATTTCAGCAGCATAAAACCTAGCTCTGTGCTCAGTAAAGGACCGTTCTCTTTGTAAGTGGAAAAAAAGCTGTAAAATTGGTTGAGGGGTAGGAGAGAGAGAATGTTAGGATCATTCACACATAGCATTAGACAAATATATTTGGTAAATACAAGGTAGGAATTGTTCTTTGTTACTTTGAACGTGAGCTAAAAACATAACAAGGCACAGAACTGTGACTCCCCTTCATCCATGTCCCCACCTAACAATCATTCTCTCTCTTTAACCACGTGTCTTTGTTTACCCTTGCTAATGTCACTCATCTCCCATTTACTACTCAACGCAATAATGTCCTCACCCTTCCAGGCAACTGCTCTGGAAAAGATTATCAATAAAGATCAATGATCTTGATATTGCCATGTAATTATCTTACAGGGCCTTTCTGGACTGTTTTCCATTTGAAAAAACAAACACTTCAGAGATTAAAAACTAGTGCCCAGCAGAACAAATATAACCATATGAATATATATCTCCATAGATATAATTTACTTGAGCCAAATACTGTTTTTCAGAAACTCTGAATTAGTTGGTAACATTAAAAACTGGGAATTTAAGGGTAAAAATTCACGGTTTTAATTTCTTTTTTAAAGAAAGGTAAGCTCTGGACCATTAGGCCTACTCTTCACAGCAGCAGCAACTGGCTGCAGCTAAACAGCAGTCGGACTCTCTAGTTCATTTCTTATACTTCCTAATTTTTAATTTATTTCTTATAACCTGGCCTTTAACTAAGGTTACTGCCTGGGGGAAGTTTCCACTGGGTCCCTTGGCTTCTAAGACAAAAATCTCTCCTTGAGTCTTGGTGAATTCCATCTCTGCTCCTTTCTGGCCTCGGAAAATGCAGGGACGACAGCGTTTCTGCCCTCGGTCCACTGTTATTTTTTCTCCAAATACCCTTGCCAGGTAACTTGATCCATTCTGATGATTTTAACCACCACCTCAATGTTGATGTCTCCTATGTGGACTTTACTGAATGACTTTGATGCAGAAAATCAATGAGGAAGCTGAGGCTCAGAGAGGCTTGCTTATCTGCCAAGTATCATACAACCTACTTGTTTTTATTCTACTTTGCTCTGAAAAAGATACGAGGTAGTATACAAAGCTAAGTATTCATATGTCAAGGTTAAAATTTCTAAGTATGAACACTGGGAGAAAATAAGAGTATTAATGTATGCAAACCACACTCCTCCTGCCTTTAACTTTTCTCTTCATCTTTAACCCTTGTTTACCTATTACTCACTCAATTTCTCCTCCACCCACCCTGGCATTCTATTGTATTTTATTCTCCTTTTTTCATTATCTTGCATCTTTCAGATGACAAGACTACCTCTTTCAATCTTTGCCAGTGAGCAGTCACTGTACAAAAAAGTCTCAGAAGTAGAGCCCTAAAAGAGCACGAAGAAACCACACATAAAGCAGGGAGCTTGCAGTGGGATCTCACCTGCACTAGATGCTTCTCATGAACATTTCAAAGACACAAGGTGGCACTTAAGAATGGGCTCTGTTTGGGGAGGGGGGAGGGGGGAAGGATTGCATTGGGAGATATACCTGATGTAAATGACGAGCTGATGGGTGCTGACGAGTTGATGGGTGCAGCACACCAACATGGCACAAGTATACATATGTAACAAACCTGCACGTTATGCACATGTACCCGAGAACTTAAAGTATAATTAAAAACAAACAAACAAACAAAAAAAACCACAAAAGAAAAAAAAAAAAAAAAAAGAATGGGCTCTGCAGTTGAGATATCTAGGTTAAATCCAGGGCCTGACACTTACTAGAGTACTGTAACATTGAGACTGTTATTTAACCTTTCTTATTTATAAATAAGAAAATTTTGGCCAGGTATGGTCTCTCACGCCTGTAATCCCAGCACTTTGGGAGGCCGAGGCGGGCGGATCATGAGGTCAGGAGTTCGACACCATCCTGGCCAACATGGCGAAACCCTGGTCTCTACTAAAAATACAAAAATTAGCTCGGCGTCATGGCACATGCCTGTAATCCCAGCTACTCAGGAGGCTGAGGCAGGAGAATCGCTTGAACCAGGATGTCGGAGCTTGCAGTGAGCTGAGATTGCACCACTGCACTCCAGCCTGGTGACAGAGAGACTCCATCTCAATAAATAAATAAATAAATAAGAAAGAAAATTTCATTAAATGGGCATAATAGTGTTTTCTGAAGGAGTTGTGATTTGCTGACATAATGCATGTAAAATAATTGCAAAGTGCCAAGCCTCAATAAATTCTCTTTACCTGTCAGCACTCGGGCACACACAAAATTAAATGAAAACCTTCAAGGTGAAAACAATATGGGGTCACCTGCATCAGCGAATCAGGATGCCTGAGAGATGCATAGTCTTGCCTCCACACTGAAGAATCTTAAGGGATTTTTTTTTTTTTTTGACACAGTGTCTTGTTCTGTCACCCAGGCTGGAGTGCAGTCGTGTGATCATGGCTCACTGCAGCCGTGACATCCTGGGCTCAAACAATCCTCCCACCTCAGCCTCCTGAGGACTACAGAGGCATGCTACCATGCCCGGCTAATTTTTGTTATTTTTTTGTAGAGACAGGGTTTCGCCATGTTGCCCAGGCTGGTCTTGAACTCCTGGGCTCCAGCGATCCACCCATCTTGGCCTCCTAGAGTGCTGGGATTATAGGTGTTGAGCTACCACACCTGGCCTTAAGGGACTTTTGTCATAGATGTATAAAGGTGAATAATCATTCTTTATACAATCTTCCCCTAAAATGATCTAGGTGTGTCTGACCATCTTTTGGTTTTGCAGAATATTAACTCATTTTCCTTATAGTTCCCTTTATTCTACAGTTAAATGTACTACAGTAATCTTGAAACAGTGATTTTCTGCTCTGAGATTGGGGGATGAAAGATCCCTTCGTAAAGATATGACAATACCTATTAGTTACAATGATTTTTAAGACATTCACAGGTCAAAGACCAAACAAATTAGAAAGGTGTGAGGGTTGAGAAGTCAGCTGCCTAGATCCTGGAATCAGGCTGCCTGAGTTCAATCCCTGCCTCTGATAGTTACCACATTACTTCTACAAGCTACCTAGTTTCTCTGTGCCTCAGTCAGTCTTATTATAGTTGTTGTGAAGGTAAAATTATATGTACAAAGAGCCAGAGTGATGGATACTAAGTAATACTCAATGGAAGTTATTATTGTAATTATTATAATAGCAGCATTTCCCAAAGTGTATTTCAATATCCATCTGAATCAGAGTTTTGCATAATACTTAAGAGATTGGTTGAAACAAAAAAGGGGACTGCATGGTTTTTTTGTTTGTTTTTGAGGCGGAGCCTCGCTCTGTCGCCCAGGCTGGAGGGCACTGGTGCGATCTCGGCTCACCGCAAGTTCCACCTCCCGGGGTTCACGCCATTCTCCTGCCTCAGCCTCCCGAGTAGCTGGGACTACAGGCGCCCGCCACCACGCCCTGCTAACTTTTTGTATTTTTAGTAGAGACAGGTTTTCACCATGTTAGCCAGGATGGTCTCAATCTCCTGACCTCGTTATCCACCCGCCTCAGCCTCCCAAAGTGCTGGGATTACAGGCGTGAGCCACCGCACCCGGCCGACTGCATGGTTTTAAAAAATTCTCTTGGATTTGAGGAGGTTGAGGCTGCAGTGAGCTGTGATCACACCACTGCACTCCAGCCTGATGACAGAGCGAGACTGTCTCAAAAAAAAAAAAAAAAAGATATCCTGACTTTGTATAAGACAGAATTTCTCAAAGTCTTTAACACGCTGAGGCATACTGTGAAACACCAAGAAACGATATAACATGAAACATTTCCAAAACAGACTTTATCATAAAGCTTTTTTTGTTTGTGTGTGTGTGTGTTTTTAAAGATACGGGGTCTCATTCTGTTACCCTGGCTGCAGTGCAATCATAGCTTACTGTAGCCTCAAACTCCTGGGCTCAAGTGATCCTCCTGCCTCAGTCTCCTGAGCAGCTGAGACTAAAGGTGCAAACCACTGAGCCAAGCTACCACCACAGAGCCCCTTATTAGAGGACTATAGCATCTGATTGATAATTTGCATATCTTGGAAAATGAGAACCTGGAGTAATATTTGTATGCAACTGTTGAGATAATTGCCTAAATTACAAATCACGTTTTATTCTAATATTTCAATATGTTATTCTTGCTGTATAGTTTTAGTGACAAACCTGTCCATGAAGCCAGCAGCTTCATATCAAGGTTCTTTTATGAACCTTTTCAACTATATCATATGCTTAAAAGCTCTGTGTTACTATTCTCCACATCCTGCATTGTATTCAGCCAGTACCTTGAATATTATTGCTATAAAAAGCTACTGATTTTATACTGTCCTTCTAAAACTTACAAGAAAAACTTTGACTTTATGCTATTTTTCTAAACTATTAATATTAGAAAACTCATTATAAAACTCACCTCCCCTCCATTAACAAAATCCAGAACAAAATAAAGCTTTTCAGTTGTTTGGAAGGAATAATGCAATCCAACCAAAAATGGATGTTTCACATTTTTCAAGAGCACATTACGTTCAGCCATAATATGTTTTTGCTGGAAAAAAGGCAAAAGATCAATTGTATTATACACTAGAAAACAACTCTCTTAATTGAGAAAATGGGCTTGGGAGAAGCAACAGCTATTTTATTTTACCTCTTTTCTGTTGAGAACTATTTTTTTCTGTAACACTTTGACAGCATAAAATTTTCCATCCAGTTTCCGTTTTGCAAGAAGAACCTGTTATAGTTAAACATTAGTGTACACTATTAGAAATTTCAAATTTTGATAGAAATAATTCACTTGTCAATACATCAATACTTCTTAAATTTTGTAAAAAGAAGAAGGGACCTAGATCATGTTTTTGTTTTAAAAATCAAGTAGTCAGGCACCATTTCTTAGTCACTTAATGTGTTGATATTTGAGATTTTTAAACTAAATTTAAGTGCCCAAATCTACACTGCTTGAGAACTTTGTGTGTGTGTGCACGCATGTGCTCCAGCCCTGAATCCTGAAGTCTCCTGTACTTTCAGGAGAGAATACTGACCGTAGAAAATACTATTATAAACTTCATGGCTATATTAACAAGGATAAGGAAATGTTTTTTAGGTAATCAAAATGTACTCTTTCATACTGAGATTTTTCTTAACAGGTTTTAAATTCACAAGAGTTCAGAGGAAAAAGTGCCATGGATTTCTATAGTGGGCTGGGTCGCAGCCACTATAAAGAATCTGAAGGCTTTAAAGAATCTGAAGAAATCTAGAGTATCTTGAAGTGGTACAATTTTGACTCACTGCAGCCTCGACCTTCCCAAGGCTCAGGTGATCATCCCGTCTCAGCCTCCCAAATAGTTGGGACTACAGGCGTGTGCCACCATACCTGGCTAATTTTTCAATTTTTTGTAGAGATGGGGTTTTGTCATGTTATCCAGGCTGGTCTCAAACTCCTGGGCTCAAGAGATCCACCTGCCTCAGCCTTACAAAGTGCTGGGATAACAGATGTGAGCCACCGCACCTGGCCTTCTTTTGTTTTATTGCACTTTGTTGGTTTCTAATCATTTTGCAAGATTTTAATTTTTTTATTAAACATAGCATACATATAGAAAAACTCATCACTACAGCTCAATAAATTGTTACAAAGTGAATACAGCTATGTAACCAGTATGCAGTTCAAAGAAAAAAAACCCCTGCCAGTAGCCTAAAGCCTCTCTTTTGCTAAATCCCAGTCACGACTCACCCTTCTCCTTCTCAAAGGTAACTAACTACTACCATGTCAACTTGAAATAACACAGATAACTTTTGCCCTTTTTTGAATTTCATGTAATTAGAATCATATGGAAAGTTGTCTGTCTTAATTCTTTTACTCTAAATTATATGAAATATTCATTAACATCGTGGCATATAGCATAGTTCTCATATTTTCTGTGTTATGCAGAATATTCCATTAAATGACACACTACAATGTATCTACTCTCTTGCTGATAGATTATTTATGAATAATGATGCTATAAGCATTCCTGTATATACCTTTCCTAGTGGATATTCATTTCGGTTGGATATGTAACTAGGGAGTAGAACCAATGTGTCTTAGGTAACGCATATACTCAGCTTCAAGAATTAACACCAATTTTCAACAGCAAAAAAACCCAAAACACCTGACCAGGCGTGGTGGCTCATGCCTGTAATCCCAGCACTTCGGGAGGCCAAGGTGGGCAGATCACCTGAGGTTGGGAGTTCCAGACCAGCCTGACCAATATGGAGAAACCCTGTCTCTACTAAAAATACAAAATTAGCAGAGCGTGGTGGCACGTGCCTGTAATCCCAGCTACTCGGGAGCAGTAGAATGACTTGAACCCAGGAGGTGGAGGTTCCAGCGAGCCGAGACTGTGCTACTGCACTCCAGCCTGGGCAACAAGAGCAGAACTCTGTCTCCAAAAAAAAAAAAACCCCACCTAGGAATAAATCTAATTAGAGATATGCAAAAATTCTAAACAGAGTACCATAAAATATTATTGGGAAAAATTAAAGATGAGCTACATTAACAAAGTAATATAGCACGGTCACGGATTTGACAACACAATATTGTAAAGATAATTCTTCCCAAATTGATCTACAGAGTCATTGCCATCCCAATAAAATTCAAATAGAATTTTTGCAGAAATTGATATGCTGATTCTGAAATTTATATTGATATGCAAAGGGCTAAGGATAGTCTCTTGAAGAACAAGAAGGGAGGACTTAATTCTGTTGCATATCAAGCTACAGGTGTCACAACAATGTGGTACTGGTGTCAGGATAAACAGATAGGCCAATGAACAGAAAATGAAAAGAAATGCAATCTAGAAACAGAAATACAAAACTTAAAATCTAAAAAGAGGGTGGGCTCAGTGGCTCATGCCTCTAATCCCAGCACTTTGGGAGACTGAGTCAGGCAGATCACTTGAGGTCAGAAGTTCAAGACCAGCTTGGCCAATGTGGTAAAACCCCGTCCCCACTAAAAATACAAAAATTAGCCAGACATGGTGGTGTGTGCCTGAAATCCCAGCTACTCGGAAGGCTGAGGCAGGAGAATCACGTGAAGCTGGGAGGCAGAGGCTGCAGTGAGTGGAGATAGCACCATTGCACTCTGCACTCCAGGCTGGGCGACGAAGTGATACTCTGTCTCCAAAAAAAAAAAAAATTCTAAAAACAGGTCTGTGAAGGTATAAATAGTGGATACACAAGGTGGCCCTGGAGATCAGGTGGCCCATCAGATGGCAAAAAAAAGTTTTTATAAACTGTATAGGATCAGCTGATTATCCACATGGACAAAAATGAACTGTGATGCTATGCCTCCCATTATATGCAAGAACCAAATCCTGGTAAGACTCTAGATCTAAACATTAAGTTTCGAAAAGATAATGCCCTTTTTTTTTTTTTGAGATGGGGTCTTTCTATGTTGCCCAGGCTGGTCTTGGACTCCCGAACTCAAGTGATCTTCCTGCCTCAGGCTCCTGAGTAGCTGGGATTACAGGTATGTGCCACAATGCTTTTGTTTTTAATGACAGAATTTTGTTTTTAAAGACAGATAATTTTTTTTCTTAATGAGAACTATCTCTAGCATTCCAATAGAATTTTGGGGATTTAGAGAGCAGGATTCATTTCTAACTTTCTATTGCTTATACTAGCACAATACTCAGCATGTAGCAGATAATATGTATTTACTGAGTGAATAAACATACATGGGTTTAATCGCATAGCCACAGTTGCTAGTCTTAAGGAAACTCAGAAAACAAACTGGAGTTACCAAAAGCTACAAATACAGCAAAATATGATTAAACACTTACATATTCCATTTTTACTAAAGACTGAAGTACAGTGCAAAAAAGCACTTAGATATATTTGATGATTCTGATAACTTCATCTATGATGCTTTCCTGTTAACCCTGGCCTTAAGTGATTATCCTTCCTTGGTATGGCTATACTGTCAAATTACATGACTCATCTGACACCGTAAGAAAATAAGCAGGGTCTTTACACATTCATTTCCTTCTCAAACTGTTATTTACACAGCTGCTCCTTTTGGTCTTTCCTACTTTGGCTTAAATAGCACGTCTTCTGAAAAGCTATGTAAGTGGGAATCTTCCCTCAGCTGCCTATTGTCCTTTGTCATTTCACCCTATTCTTCATTTCCTGCACTGCTATTATTATTTGTACTTATTTACTTGACTGAATATTTTTAATTGACTATTCCCCCAACCCTAGATTGTAAGCACCACAAAGGTAGTAACCATGTCACTACCTGGTTAGAAATTCTGTAATTTTCTAACCAGGGTCCAGAAGGGTAAATACCTTCTGAATAAGTGAATTTTATTATAGAATTTGAGTAGATGCCTTTTCTCCCTAATTATTGTTAGTATTTTGAGGGTGGGGAAAGTATCTTAATTCCATTTCCTACAAGCCAAAAAGTCCTGTGGCTCCCACCCATAAAGCATGAATTCCTTAAGTACTTATTTACTGAATGAGAAAATAAAAACACTTTAGGCTGGGGATGGTAGCTCACATCTGTAATCCCAGCACTTTGGGAGGTCAAGGATGGGAGGATCACTTAAGGAAAGAAATTTGAGACCAGCCTGGGCAAGAGAACAAGGCCCTGTCTACAAAAGAGTGAAAAAATTAGCTGGGCGTGGTGGTGTATGAGTATAGTCCCAGCAACTTGGGAGGCTGAGGAGGGAGGATGGCTTGAACCCAAGAGTTCATGTGTGCTATGATTGCACCACTACAGTCCACCCTGGACAGCAGAGACAGACGCTGTCTCTAGAAAAAAAACAAAAACAAAAACCAAATAAAAACCTCACAAAACACTCTTACCTTGCCAAAGCTGCCTTTTCCAATAACTTTTAAGAAATCAAAGTCAGTTGGTTTGGCACTGAAATAAATTAACAATAAGAATTAGCCTCCTAGAAATTGGAAAGATTAACTTTTAAACATTTCTTAGCACTTCCCTCTTTAATAAATAAATGTTAGGCACAAAACACTTCAGCCTAGTAACTCCAGCTTTCCTGCTGAGCATTTCATCTTTCATATATAGTAGGTAATATGAATAGTAATAATATCTACTCTCTGATTAGATAAGGCATTTCATAACTTTAAGCCTCATTAAGTTCTGCTTAAGAGGAACTTCAATAATACTCTCTTTGAGAGAAAAGGATATATGCATATCCTATATGTAGAGTTTTGAACTCGAAATAGCTTCTATCTAAACCTATTTTATTAACCATGGCCCAATGTTGTTGAGGAAACTGAGTAACTATATAAATTAGTGATACATTCTAAGGACTATATAGCATGTGGTAATTCTTCTGAAAATGAAGCTGTTAGTTGGAACACCTAAAGACGCTAAGAATAATTTCTGATGGAGAAAAAAGTCATTACAGTGTTTCACATATAAACCACGTGTTGTACATTAAAGATAAAAGACTTCTTAGCTTATTCTCATGGATGGCAATACAGGAAAGCCAGGAACAAAAAAGCAAGAGGGAATACTAAGACTGCCCTTTTATTTATGTTAACTTAACCTATCAAGTAAAAATAGCATTGGCTGTTAGACAAAAACACACGGAAGCAGAAAGGGGAGCTTAAGCAGCCAAAAGAGCCGTTTCCTCCAACCCGGTCTGAATTCGTTAAGTTGTATGGGAAGAGGGGAATAAATCCATTTGGATTTGAAATTTGCTTAATTACCAAAAAAAGAAAAATAGTTAATTCAAATATGAGAGTAAAACCAGAACTAGGTTAAATAATGACAGGTAAAGATTAGTGAGATAAACACTTAACTATATTTAGATGTTTTTCTTCTTCAAAAACCTGCTTTCTGGACTATTTTCTTCTTTAAAGATATGCAGAGGTACCGAAATAACTTTGTAAACAAATCTAACAGTGAAAAACATGCAGATCCCTCAAACATAATAAATAGGTGAGCTGAGTCCATACTCCAAGCCCCGCTGTTAACTGCTGGGGATTAACCTTAACTGAAAGCCAATTTCCATTTTTGGCCAGGCACAGTGGCTCACGCCTGTAATCCCAGCACTTCGGGGGGGTTGAGGTGAGCGGATCACCTGAGATCAGGAGTTCAAGACCAGCCTGCCCAACATGGTGGAACCCTGTCTCTACAAAAATACAAAAATTAGCCAGGCATGACGGTGGGTGCCTGTAATCCCAGGTATTCAGGAGGCTGAGGCAGGAGAACCTGGGAGGCAGAGGCTGCAGTGAGCGGAGATCGCACCATTGCACTCCAGTCTAGGCGACAGAGCAAGACTCCGTCTCAAAAAAAAAAGAAAAAAAAAAACTTCCACTTTTTATGCTGCCATTTTTGTTCAATGCTATGAACAACAGAAAAGAATGCTTAAAACCAAACTTCCAGTTAGCATCCTATTTATCTGCTTTCCTTTGAAGCAAAAACTCTTCAAGCTAAGTTTTGAAAACTCCTTGTCTCTACCTGCTGTCCTCTCCTCTAGTTCTCTAGTGAACCCTTTCTGATCACAGTCTTATACCAACTACCACATCACTGAAACTGCTCATTAAAAGTCACCAATGACTTTATGAAATCCAGTGGTCAATTTTCAATCTTCGTATTACTTGCCCTATCAGCAACATTAACAGAGTTAATTACTCCCTCCTCTTTCAGGCACTCTTCCCCTGACCTCAGGCAACCATATTCCTGGTTTTTCTCTCATCTTACTGACTGCTCTTTCTCAGTCTCTGTAAGCAATACTTTCCTGACCTCATAATGTTGAAGTGTCCCAGGACACAGTCCTTGGACCACTTCTCCCATCTGCCTATAATCATTCTCCAAGTAGAGCAAAAGGGTAGAGAAAGGGTAGGAAAAGCCTACAATGAAAAAACACTTCAGAATAAATGTAATATGCCTGTAAGGATAATTAAGTAAGTAAGGGCAGCAAGACCACATTCCTCTTCGAACCCATGGCAGACACTACTAATCAATTAAGTCTGGGCATATAGGGAGAAATTGGGTAAACAAAGTTTAATAGCCTTTAATATTCTAATGTCTATTATGACTCCTCTGGAACAAGCTGGCTAACAACAGAAGTGCACCAATTACACCAAACACCAGCAGAATGTCAATTAGGCCTGCAAGGGTGCTTTTTCTCAGGGGACCTGATAGGACTTATGGTCCTTATGGTCCCTTGGGAAATATGGTCTACTGATTTTACACACACACACACACCCCCAGAAAACTGATGATAAAACAGCAGAACCCAATTAACAATTTGTGGATTAAAAGTTCCTTAGGGCTCTCCTAAAGCAATGAAAAGCTGGAGCAGTAAATCAGTCAAGCATACGATAGCACTGTATTCACTGTAACTATGGTTATATTTCAAAGGCCTCCAGTTAAATTAGTGTAATTATACATATCTGCATACTCTCAAAAAAGATCTTCCTAAAATTCAGTTAAAAAATTGTTTGGAACAAATTAAACATACTGAGGATTTCCAGATGGTCCCAGGTTGATGTTCTGTGAGGTAGAGTGTAGCTGTTAAGATGGGGGGAAAAAAACAACATTCTTATTGGAGCATCAAAAATTAATTAATGTTTTGAAATAAAATATTTATAACTGTACCACAAATATTTGGTTTGTTGCCATGTTAAAGAAACCCAAGGTCCTGATTCTCAGTAAGGGTATAGACTTAACTTGGAAATACACATAATTTGACAAAAACATAATCATTTTTCTCATGGTAATTTTCAAGAACTGTTGTAAGAAAAAACATAAGCCAGAAATCAAGCTCTAAGTTGGCAAATGAATGAAATAAACTGAGGAAAGCTCCTTGGAGGAGGTGGGTATTGAAACCGCAATTTAAGAGGGATCACTTTTTAAAAAACTGGTTAAAAATGGCTTTTCAAGTTTTCAAATAGTTTATCAAAGAAATGATAGGATGATGACAATGATGATCGTAAATGCCGGGTTTTCAGTTTTAATTTGATGGCAGGTAAATACAGACAAAGCAAACACAGAAAGCAGTGCTTTTCTTTTCGTTTTTTGAGACAGAATCTCAAGCTTGTTGCCCAGGCTGGAGTGCAGTGGCACAATCTCGGCTCACTGCAAGCTCTGCCTCCTGGGTTCATGCCATTCTCCTGCCTCAGCCTCCTGAATAGCTGGGACTACAGGTAACCATGCCCAGCTAATTTTTTTGTATTTTTAGTAGAGACAGGGTTTTACTGTGTTAGCCAGGATGGTCTCTATCTCCTAACCTTGTGATCCGCCCACCTCAGCCTCCTAAAGTGCTGGGATTACAGGCGTGAGCCGCCGCACCCGGCCTTTTCTTTCTAATTCTAGCACTGTGGTAGCGCCAACATTTTATATAGGCTTTTCTCTTTGCAACAGTTAACACAGTAAGCTTAAGCCCTGGTATTAATTTAGAAGCAAATCTTTATTTACCTAGTATGCTATAAAGAAATTTAAGTAATAAAAGATTCTAGTTCACTAATAATTAGCTAAAATTTTAACTCAAAAATCCCACAAGATTAATCTAGTGATCCTATCAGAGTGAGCATTTTTTATAAAAGCCAAGTGTAAGTAAATTCTGCTTCACATAAATAAACTTTAAAACTCTTTATACATTCAGATAATTAAATCAGTTATAAATGTTTCAAAAATGTATACGTTTATGAGGGTTCTATGTAATTATACTTCATATAAGCTATAAATATAAAAAAGCTTTTAAAAACTTCTCTAATCAAAACGAATCTTTTTTTTTTTTTTTTTTTTTGAGATGGAGTTTCACTCTTGTTGCCCAGGCTGGAGTGTAGTGGCCCCATCTTCACTCACTGCAACCTCCACCTCGTGGGTTCAAACGATTCTCCTGCCTCAGCCTCCCAAGTAGCTGGGATTTCAGGCACACGCCACCACGCCTGGCTAATTTTTGTATTTTTAGTACATATAGGGTTTCGCCATGTTGACCAGGCTGGTCTCGAACTCCTGACCTCAGGTGATTCGCCCTCCTCAGTTTCCCAAAGTACTGGGATTACAGGCATGAGCCACTGCACCCGGCGAAGAAAATTTTATCTTATCAAACCTCTTATTTTAGACACATGTAATATATATTTGTACTTCAATTCATTCCAAATTTATAATCTCTAGAATATAAACTATTTTTTCAAATAAAGGGCAAATAATCTCATCCTTCAAAAGTTCTTAAGTTTCTGAGTGGGAGCGGTGGCTCATGCCTGTAATCCCAGCACTTTGGGAGGCTGAGGCGAGTGGATCATCTGAGGTCAGGAGTTCGAGATCAGCCTAGCCAACATGGTGAAACCCTGTCTCTACCAAAAATACAAAAATTAGCTGGCGTGGTGATGAGCACCTAGAATCCCAGCTACTAGGAAGGCTGAGGCAGGATAATCCCTTGAACCCATGAGGTGGAGGTTGCAGTGAGCTGAGATAGCAGCACTGCACTCCACCGTGGGCGACACAGTGAGATTCTGTCTCAAAAAAATAAATAAATAAAATAAATAAGTTTCTTATGAAAAAACAACATTGGCACCAGCATTGTAGTTACAATTCAAATTTATTTCCTATTGTTACACCTATACATAAAAAATTCATTAAATGAGATTAGTCCTGTTGTGGCGTAGTTTTAACATAGGAGTAGTCTTTAATGTTTAAATATTACAGTGTTCCTTTCTACTAAGAAACTGCTATAAAATAATCAAACAAATAAATACTAAAAACGGAAGAAAAAAATAAATACTTCAGTGTTCCTTTGACTCTTACAATGTAATTCAAACTGAGTTGTAACTTTAATACACTTATTCTTTTAATGAATGTGCAGATAACTGGTTTAATTTTCCATTCAATACATTTTTCTCATAAAGATGAAGGAAGGCTGGGTGCAGTGGCTCACGCCTGTAATCCCAGCAATTTGGGAGGCCGAGGCAGGCAGATCACAAGGTCAGGAGTTCGAGACCAGCCTGGCTAACCTGGTGAAACCCCATCTCTACTAAAAATACAAAAATTAGCTGGGCATGGTGGTGCACACCTGTAGACCCAGCTACTTGGGAGGCTGAGGCAGGAGAATCGCTTGAACCCAGGAGGAGGAGGTTGCAGTGAGCCAAGATTGCACCACTGTACTCAGCATGGGCAACAGAGAGACTCCATCTCAAAAAAAAAAAGAAGGAAGAGGATTAAATATAGTGCAGATTAAACAACATGAACAACTTGTCCCCTGAAGTATGTTAATATGTTAATATGTAATTAGATTTTATTATTTAGGCAAGGATTTCCCTAATGGAGCACATTTCTGAAATGATGAAAATTATTAGACTATATAATTAGACAACTGTACTTACTATTTCTGAAGACAATATCCAGTCACTAAATTGAGGGTGAGGTATAATTTCTTAACAGAATGAATACTAATTGAGATCATTTAAGTTTCTTGACTTCCCTTGGCCTCTATTTTTCTCTGTATCAATAAGGGGGTAGGTCCAGATGCCCTCTAAAATATTCCAGCTAGGAGCTTCACTTAATTACTCACTTAAAAGTCCTTCATAGGCCAGGCACGGTGGCTCACGCCTGTAATCCCAGCACTTTGGGAGGCCAAGGCCGGCGGATCACAAGGTCAGGAGATTGAGATCATCCTGGCTAACACGGTGAAACCCTGTCTCTACTAAAAATACAAAAAATTAGCCGGGCGTGGAGGTGGGCGCCTGTAATCCCAGCTACTCGAGAGGCTGAGGCAGAAGAATGGTGTGAACCCGGGAGGTGGAGCTTGCAGTGAGCCGAGATCCTGCCACTGCCCTCCAGCCTGGGCGACAGGACGAGACTCCGTCTCAAAAAAAAAAAAAAAAAAAAAAAAATCCTTAATAAATAGTTACAATTATATGACAAAGTATGGCTTTTTCCTTTTTTTAAAAGAGATTCTTTTTATCAGTATTTTAAAACCTCAAGGGATTCTAGTGGAAGTTTCAGACATTATGGATGGAAAAAGAAAAAAAGGAACAAAACTCAGATTTAAAGCCAACAGTGGCAGAACCCAGAAATCTCTCAGCTTGGTTCTGTCTTCAAGTTGTCTGCAGTTGTCTTCCACTGCAAGGCAAGATAGTCTTCAAATAACCTAAACCTACCCAGTCTCACATGAGTAGCAAGCAAAACACGAAAAATCATGATTACATAGATTTTAATCTTTAAAACATTACTTGAATACATTCATTTTTCAATTAAAAATACTAATAGCTGGAAAGTGTCAAAAATATTAGGAAAAGCATTTTTAAAAATCCATAACCTTATCAATATATAATTTTGCAAATATTTACACTACTTTCATATAGTATTTGCATATTTTTTAAAAACTGACTGTAAATCATACTGTGTGAATATGCATATACATATTTATTTATTTATTTATTTATTTATTTATTTATTTATTTTTTGAGACAGCCTCGCTCTGTCGCCCAGGCTGGAGTGCAGTGGCCGGATCTCAGCTCACTGCAAGCTCCACCTCCTGGGTTTACGCTGTTCTCCTGCCTCAGCCTCCCGAGTAGCTGGGACTACAGGCGCCCGCCACCTCACCCGGCTAGTTTTTTGTATTTTTTAGTAGAGACGGGGTTTCACCGTGTTAGCCAGGATGGTCTCGATCTCCTGACCTCGTGATCCGCCTGCCTCGGCCTCCCAAAGTGCTAGGATTACAGGCTTGAGCCACCGCGCCCGGCCGCATATACATTTTAAATACTGATTTCGCTTAATATATCGAAGCTTAAAATCTGATCTTCAAAAATAAAATGCATAACATATATGGACAAACACTAAGTGACTGGTAAATATTTAGGTTGATTCTAATACTGTTTTTAGTAGATCATACAGAAATGAACATCTTTTGCTTTTTTCTGTGTGGATTATTTCATTTGCATCAATTCCTGATGTGAATTGTTTTCCAAAGGAGTTGCAGAAAATTATGACACCAATGATGACCAAGGGTGCTCGTTTTACCTTACTGTTATCAGTTCTGCAATATTTTATTTACATTTTTATTGATTTGAGCAATAAAAACCTCTCTAAGATTTTCATTTGCTAATAGCATCAACGTTGAACATTTTCCTCTATGTTTTTTTACTAAGAGTATTCCTTCACGCCCCGTTTCCTTTTATCTACTATAGTGTTAAGTATCATTCTTTTAAAAAACCCATTTGTATGAGCTTTTCATACAGACGTTATTTCTTGTTATGCCTTATTTATTACAAATGTTTTCCCGGTTTGTTGTTTCTCTTTTGACCAGCTACAGAGATTTTTTTTTTTTAAGTTTTTTACATTGTCCTAGGAGCAACCATGTCACAGATGTAAAAGTTAGATTTGTTCTCGTAACTGAAAATCTTGGGGTATCTGAGAAGGAAAATTACTACTTTCCAGCAGTCACAAAAAAGGAGTATGTCTTTTTTCAAAATGAAGATTTCAGCCCTAGGACACTAATATTCCAATGCACCATGTTATCTTTTAAATCACAAAAACAGAGCCATAACAGAATTAACAGGCATTATAAAGAAAAACTGTGTTTCAACCCATCATCTCTGATTTTCATGTACATATTTAATAATAGTTGTTTAAAAGTTTGAATTATGTAGATATATTTATATAACATTTATAATAATTTAATTGCTACAGAGTAATACTTTGAGTTAAATTATTACAATTTACCTCTCCCACACAACTAAGGTAAATGTTGAAAACATCTTCGTAATAAGGCACAAGCCTATTTTACTTATTGCCATCACGATTTAGTTTTAAAAACAACACTGGCCAAGCGTGGTGGCTCACGCCTACAATCCCAGCACTTTGAGAGGCCAAGGCAGGGGGATCAGGAGGTCTGGAGTTCGAGCAGCCTGGCCAATATGGTGAAACCCCATCTCTACTAAAAATACAAAAATTAGCCGGGTGTGGTGGCAGGCACCTGTAGTCCCAGCTACTAGGGAGGCTGAGGCAGGAGAATCGCTTGAACCCGGGAGGCGGAGGATGCAGTGAGCCAAGATCGTGCCAATGACTCCGGCCTGGGCAACAGTGTGAGACTCCATCTCAAACAAACAAACAAAAAACAAAACAAAGCTTCCTTCTGTTAGGAACACATATTGGTTATGTACATACATCACAGAAATAAAAGTTAGTTGATGCCAACTGGTATGTGTGTACTGACTGTTCTGTATAGAAAATCCTGACAATGCAGAGGAAGTCGGATGTTATGTGGTTGAGAAGGCCTTTTCTGTTGGCCAAAATTCAAAATAGTTTCAAGTGTGGCAATAACGATAAAATAAGACATGGCCGGGCGCGGTGGCTCAAGCCTGTAATCCCAGCACTTTGGGAGGCCGAGGCGGGTGGATCATGAGGTCAGGAGATCGAGACTATCCTGGCTAACATGGTGAAACCCCGTCTCTACTAAAAATACAAAAAACTAGCCGGGCGTGGTGGCGGGCACTTGTAGTCTCAGCTACTTGGGAGGCTGAGGCGGGAGAATGGCGTGAACCCGGGAGGCGGAGCTTGCAGTGAGCCGAGATCACGCCACTGTACTCCAGCCTGGGAGACACAGAGAGACTCCGTCTCAAAAAAAAAAAAAAAAATAATAATAATAATAATAATAAGACATAAAGTGAAGAAAGTAGAATATAAAATTGTATATACTGCATAATTAAAATCAGGTAATTTTAAAACCCTATACATTAGAGAAGATTGGAAAGAAAATTACCAGAATGTTAAAAATTTCTAGGTGTGGGTGCAATAATATGGGTAATACTTTTCTTTTTACCTACTATTTTCAAATTTGTCTGATTAACCTATATTACTTTTTAGTATAAAAAGTTCTCATTCTATATGTTTTGTAAGAAATAGTGATCTGTGGCCTGGGCGCAGTGGCTCATGTCTATAATCCCAGCATTTTGAGAGGCCGAGGCAGGTGGATCATTTGAGGTCAGGAGTTCGAAACCAGCCTGACCAATATGGTGAAATCCCATCTCTACTAAATGCAAAAATTAGGTAGGCATGGTGGCAGGCACCTGTAATCCCAGCTACTGGGGAATCTGAGGCAGAAGAATCACTTGAACCCGGGAGGTGGAGGTTGCAGTGAGCTGAGATTGCGCCACGGCACTACAGCCTGGGTGACAGAGTGAGACTCCATCTCAAAAGAAAAAAGAAATACTCATCTGTAAGAGATATGTGCATTTGTTTTTATGCGTTCTACATAGTAGAAACTACTATGGATGAAATTACTTCATTTGAAGTAAGTGTCCTAAAGCCACTAATTTCATCTTTGGGGAATGGTACTTTTTCTATTAAGAAAGAAAATTCCTCTTAATACCTTCTGAGAACTTCTTTCATCCTCATCTTCAGATGGATCTGACTGGTGTTTTGGACTGTCCATTTGAAGGAATGCTCTGACATCTGGACTAAAAACAAAAATTAACTTTATTATAACTTCAAAAGCATTTCTACAGCATTTCTCCCCTTTAAAAGGAAAATCAAAATAGAAATAACTATATTAGCATTTACAGTAAGAAAGTCAAACAGAATCCATTAATATTCATTATTATAAATATAATAAGCAAATTAATTTTTTAAAAATAGAGAAACAGACAAATGGGCAAACATATAAACAGGAAGTATATGGAAAAGAAAACCCAAATGACAAGCAAATTTGTGAAGATGGCTAACTTCACTAGTAATCAAAGAAATATAAGTTGTTTTTTTTTTTTTTTTTTGAGACGGAGTCTTGCTCTGTCGCCAGGCTGGAGTGCAGTGGCCGGACCTCAGCTCACTGCAAGCTCCGCCTCCCGGGTTCCCGCCATTCTCCTGCCTCAGCCTCTCGAGTAGCTGGGACCACAGGCGCCCGCCACCTCGCCCGGCTAGTTTTTTGTATTTTTAGTAGAGACGGGGTTTCACCGTATTAGCCAGGATGGTCTCGATCTCCTGACCTTGTGATCCGCCCGTCTCGGCCTCCCAAAGTGCTGGGATTACAGGCTTGAGCCACCGCGCCCGGCCAGAAATATAAGTTAAAATGATAATGAGACATCATGTTATGTCCATTATCTGGCAAAGGTTAGAAAGACAGATAATACCAAAAGTTGGTTAAAAAAAAAAAATAGGGTAAGAGAAATGCTCAAATATTGTTGGTGACAATGCAGAATGAAGCAACTTTTCTGAAAAAGCAATCTGGCAACACTTGGTAAAACTGTGTATGCATTTTCCCTGGGCCCAGAAATTCTAATTTTTGTGGTAAACCATAGAAAAAATTATGTGCAGGTCCAGTGAAAGGCATGTAATTATAATGTTCATTGCAGCATTTTCTGTAACAGGAAGTTAGAAGCAAAATAGGCATTTATCACCAGGCAAATGAGTAAGTCAACTATGGTAACTGCCTACAGGGAATACCAGTCAACAGTCAGAAGCAAGAAACTATAGCACAGTACCATTTATATATATATATTAAATACTCACAGACACAAAACATCAGTCTGTTTACCGAAGATACACAGATATATAAGGACAAATATCAAACACATTAAAATGGGTGTCAACGGGGGGATGAGGAAATGGCTATGAAGATGAAGGATGAAGAGAAAAAAATGGACTAAAATTAGAAATGGCCCACATATGGACTCATGACGACTGTGGGGAATAATTAAATCTCCATACCTGGCACCTTCTCCCCAGTCTGTCCTTAATTATTTAATCAAATAATACATATTATTTGTAGGAAACTCGAAATTTGAAAAATTATTTTTAAAAAGAGGAGGCCTTAGCCAGGAGTGGTGGCTCATGCGTGTAATCCCAATGCTCTGTGAGGCTGAAGCAGAAGGATAATTTGAGGCCAGGAGTTGGATACCAGCCTGGGCAACATGGCAAGACTCTGTCTCCACAAAAAATAAAAACAAAAAAACCCAGGCATGATGGTGTGCACTTGTCATCCTAGCTACTCAGAAGGCTAAGGCAGGAGGATTACTCGAGCCCTGGAGGCTGAGGCTGCAGTGAACCAAGATTGCACCACCCCATTCCAGCATGGGTGACAAAGCAAGAACTTGGCTCTAAAAATAAATAAACAAAATAGGAAAAAAAGAAAAAGAAAAAGAATTGGGGCCGGGCGCGGTGGCTCAAGCCTGTAATCCCAGCACTTTGGGAGGCCGAGACGGGCGGATCACGAGGTCAGGAGATCGAGACCATCCTGGCTAACACAATGAAACCCCGTCTCCACTAAAAATACAAAAAAATTAGCCGGGCGTGGTGGCGGCGCCTGTAGTCCCAGCTACTCGGGAGGCTGAGGCAGGAGAATGGCGGGAACCCGGGAGGCAGAGCTTGCAGTGAGCCGAGATCGCGCCACTGCACTCCAGCCTGGGCGACAGAGCGAGACTCCGCCTCAAAAAAAAAAAAAAAAAAAGAATTGGGCTGGTGTAAATGTAAAATGGCACAGCCACTGTGGAAAACAGTTTGGCAGTTGCTTGAAAAGTTAAACACAGAGTTACCTTATGACTCAGCAATTCCAAACCTAGGCAAAGACCCAAGAGAAATAAAAACATACGTTCACATAAAAACTCATACATGATTTCTCACAGCAGCATTATTCATAATAGCCAAAAAGTGGAAATATCCCAAATGTCCACCAATGGATGAACGAATAAACAAAATGTGGTGTTATCCATACAATGGGATATTATACAGCCATAAAAAGGAATGGAGAGCACTAATACATGCTGTAACATGAATGAATCTCACAAATATTATGCTAAATGAACAAAGGCAAAAAGAAAAAGTCACCTACTATATACTTTCATTTTAATAGGCAAATCTGTACAGACAGAAAGTAGAATAGTGGTTGCCAAGGGTTGGGGGAAGACAGAATTTGGAGGTAAAGTTTCTTTTTTAGGGGGATGAAAATGTTAGATTAGCTTTGAGGTGATAGAATTAGTGATGACGGTTGTAAAGCATCATGAATATACTAAAAACTACTGGGCTGGGTGCAGTGGCTCACACCTGTAATTCCAGCACTTTGGGAGGCCAAGGCAGGCGGATCAAGAGGTAAGGAGTTCAAGACTAGCCTGGCCAACATAGGGAAATCCTGTGTCTACTGAAAAGACAAAAAATTGCCAGGTGTGGTGGCACGCACCTGTAGTCCCAGCTACTCAGGAGACTGAGGCAGGAGAATCTCTTGAACCTGGGAGGTGGAGGTTGCAGTGAGCCGAGATGGCACCATTGCACTCCAGCCTGGGTGACAGAGCAAAACTCTGTCTCAAAAAAAACCAAAAAACAAAAAACTACTGAATTATATACACTTTAGAATAATTTAAATGGTGAATTTTTAACTTAATAAAAAAGGTTTATAAAATGTAGGGGTGGGGATTTTCAGTCTTACCACATAGAAGCAACCACTGTTAACATTTTGGCATATTTTATTTCAGTCTTTTTCTCTGCACATTTAAGATCACAATATATTTAAAATTTCACTTTAAAATTACATCATAAACATTTCCCTGTTTTGTTAAAAACTTTGTAAACAATCACTTTTGATAGATGCATGATATATAACATGAATGTAGTAAAAATTACTCAATGATTCTTCCACCTGAGGGTATGACTTCCAACTTTTCATTACCATAAACAATGCTGCAGTTGACAATCTTTGTGCATAGTATCAGAACTCTACGACTTTCAGAATAGATTTTTAAAAATAAAATTACTCGTCTGAATTATAAACCATTTTACAGTATTAAACAAATACAGTTTGTAAGACTGATTTCCAGAGCAGTTGTACCAATTTATACTCTTCTAGCAGTATATGAACATCCTGAAGACTCTCAGGCTTGATTTGCATTAAATGTTACATTTTATATTAACATCTTGGATAATTTGATGTGCAAAACTGTATTTTAAAGAGGAACTACTCAGTATCACTTTCAGTAAAAAGTGAAATGCAAAATTAAAGCAACAGTAAGATACCATTACCCACTCACCAGAATGGCTAAAATGGAAGACTAACAATACTAAGTGTTAATGAGGTAAGCAACATGATTTCATATGCTCATGGAAAATGTACAACGGGTAAATCACTTTGCAAAACTATTTTGCATTATCCACTAAAGTTAAACATATACATACTCTACAACCCACAAGTTCTACTCCAAGATACATCAGAAATGTTGGCACATGTGCACCAAAAGGTATGTTAATGGCAGTATTATTTATAATAGTCAGAAAATAGGAATATTAGTATCTCAAATGCCCATCAACAGTAGAATGAATCAACTGTGGTATACTCATACAATGGAACATTATACAACAATGGAAATGAACAAACTATAGCTACATGCAACAACATGGATGACTCTCACATTGCTGGGAAATAAGCCAGACAGAGAACACATATTGTATGATTCCATTTATATAAAGCTCAAAAACAGGGAACACACTAATCTATTTTGTTAAAAGTTAGGCTGATAGTTACCTTTGGGAAGGAAGAAAGAAAGAGAGACTGAAAGAGGATGTGTAAGAGATCTCAGGGGTGTTCATAATATTTTCTTTTTTGGCCTGGGGGGATGATATAATTCAGTTATGTTTATTTCTCATAATTTATTGAGCTATACAGTCCTGATCTGGGCACTTTTCTCTTTGTTATACTCAATAAAATTAAAATAAGGTATTTCTGCTTCCATTTCATTTCTTAAATACATAAGGAAATGTTTAGTTTCTCTGACAATAAGCCATTTCTGTGTCCTTCTTTGTGAACCATTCAATGTGCTTTGTCCTGTTTTTTTTTTTTTTTTTGGTGTCTTAAGTGTTTGCATGGGCTCTTTCTATGTTAAATGTATTTATCTATCATCCTTTATCATGGAAAGCTTTTTCTGTATTTTTGGTTTTCAATTTTACTTACTTATGATTTGCGGGTTCAAAAGTTTTGCTTTGTTTTTTTGCTTTTGCTGTTTTAGAGATGGGTCTCACTCTGCCACCCAGGTTGGACTGCAGTGGGATAATCACGGCTCACTGCAGCCTGGATCTCCTGGGCTCGGGTGATCATCCTACCTTACTACCTCAGCCTCCTGAGCAGCTGAGACTACCAGCACATGCCACCATGACAGGCTGATTTTTTGCATCTTTTCTGTAGAGAGGGTTTGGCATGCTGCATGGGTTGGTCTTGAACTCCTGGACTCAAGTGATCTGCCTGCCTTGGCCTCCCAGAGTGCTGGGAGTATAGGCATGAGCCACCGTGTGCAAAGTTTTTATTAGTCAAATTTTTCATTGTTTTACTCAGTGATAATGTCATGCACTGACAATATGCTCAGAAAACCCTTTTTCATCCAGAGATGAGAGAAATACTAACATTTTATTCTAGTTTGAAAATGATTTTAAAATGTTTTTAATAAAGTCATCTTAAAAATCAGCTTTTCAGGCCGGGCGTGGTGGCTCACACCTACAATCCCAGCACTTCAGGAGGCCGAGACGGGAGATAACTTGAGGTCAGGAGGTCGAAACCAGCCTGGCTAACATGGGGAAACCCCGTCTCCATTAAAAATACAAAAATTAGCGGGTGTGCTGGCACACGCTGTGGTCCTAGCTACTTGGGAGGCTGAGGCAGGAAAACTGCCTGAACCTGGGAGGCAGAGGCTGTAGTAAGCAGAGATCATGCCACTCTACACCAGCCTGGGCGACAGAGTGAAATTCCATTTTTAAAAAAAAAAAAAAAAAAAGCTTTTCTCTCTACTGAACAAAAGTTTTTTTTGGTTTTTTTTTTTTTTTTTTTTTTTTTTGAGATGAGTCTTGCTCTGTCGCCAGGCTGGAGTACAGTGGCATGATCTCGGCTCACTGCAACCTCTGCCTCCCAGGTTCAGGCGATTCTCCAGCCTCAGCCTCCCAAGTAGCTGGGACCACAGGCACGCGCCACCACGCCCGGCTAATTTTTGTACTTTTAGTAGAGATGGGTGACACCACATTGGCCAGGATGGTCTCAATCTCTTGACCTCATGATCCACCTGCCTTGGCCTCCCAAAGTGTTGAGGTTACAGGCATGAGCCACTGTGCCTGGCCAGAAGAAAAGCTATTTTTAAAGTGTATTTCCTGCTGGGCACAGTGGCTCATGCCTGTAATCCCAGCACTTTGGGAGGCAGATCATCTGAGGTTAGGAGTTCCAACCCAGCCTGGCCTGTTGATGAAACCCCATCTCAACTAAAAATACAAAAATTAGCTGGGTGTGGGGGCGCACACCTGTAATTCCAGCTACTCAGGAGGCTGAGGTGAGAGAATTGCTTCAGCCCGGGGAGTGGAGGTTGCAGTGAGCTGAGATCACACCACTGCACTCCAGCCTGGGTGACAGAGCAAGACGCTGTCTCAAAAACGTAAAAAATAAAAATAAAAAATAAAGTACATTTCCTTAACAGTAATAACAGGTACACAGGAGGGGCTCAAGATATACTTGCTGACTGGCTTCTCTTCTTGCTCTCTTAAATTTCTACTATTTTAAGAACAGCTTGGCTGGGCGCGGTGGCTCAAGCCTGTAATCCCAGCACTTTGGGAGGCCGAGACGGGCAGATCACGAGGTCAGGAGATTGAGACCATCCTGGCTAACACAGTGAAACCCCGTCTCTACTAAAAAATACAAAAACTAGCCGGGCGAGGTGGCGGGCGCCTGTAGTCCCAGCTACTCGGGAGGCTGAGGCAGGAGAATGGCGTAAATCCGGGAGGCGGAGCTTGCAGTGAGCCGAGATCTGGCCACTGCACTCCAGCCTGGGTGACAGAGCGAGACTCCGCCTCAAAAAAAAAAAAAAAAAAAAAAAAAGAACAGCTTGATGTTCAAATGAAGAGCATGAAAATTAAAAGTTCTGTTAACAACAGAAAAGATCTAGAAAATAGGAAATGTGGGCCAGGTGCAGTGGCTCATGCCTGTAATCCCAGCACATTGGGAGGCTGAGGCAGGCAGATCACGAAGTCAGGAGATTGAGACCAACCTGACCAACATGGTGAAATACCGTCTCTATTAAAAATACAAAAATTAGCTGGGTGTGGTGGCACACACCTGTAATCCCAGCTACTTGGAAGGGTGAGGCAGGAGAATCGCTTGAACCTGGGAGGCAGAGATTGCAGTGAGCTGAGATTCTGCCACTGCACTGCAGCCTGGGTGACAGAGCAAGACTCTGCCTCAAAAAAAAAAAGGAAACGTCACATTTTGCTAAAAAGATAATGTCAGTTAAAAAATTAAGCTTATCACACCTGTAATCCCACCACTTTGGGAGGCTGAGGTGGGCAGATCACGAGGTCAGGAGATTGAGACCATCCTAACACTGTGAAACCCCGTTTCTACTAAAAAAAAAAAAAACAAAAAAAAATTAGCCGGGCGTGGTAGGACACCCTGTAGTCCCAGCTACTGGGGAGGCTGAGGCAGAAGAATGGTGTGAACCCAGGAGGCGGAGTTTGCAGTGAGCTGAGATCACACCACTGCATTCCAGCCTGGGTGACAGAGTGAGACTCCTTTAAAAACAAAACAAAACAAAACAAAAAAACCAGTTTAAAAGACTCTTGGCTATTTTTGGGGTGCTGGAAATATCTTTTATCATGAATGGAATGGTGATGGTTACAGGGTGTATATATATTTCAAACTCCATTGAATTGTATACTTAAGAATTGTGTATTTCACAGTATAAGGTTTTGGAAACTGGCAATTTAAAATAATCCAATTGCTTTTAGTTGAATTTTAATGCAAAATATAACATACTTATAATACTGCATGTCAAGATTCAGAATGAATACTTAGTATTTATTATATAGTCTTAGGGGTTCTGAATAACTTAAAATACTAGGAGAAGTAATAACCACTACCATTTATTGCATACTTATTCCATGCCAGCTCTGTCAAAGGAAGAGACAAATTCAAGCTTTGAATGCATGACTTACATTTCACACAAGCCAGTAATATGCCAATTCAAAGTAATCTCCAGTGTATATAGCAATAATTAGAGATTAGAAGGGTGGGTCTAAGGTGAAGGCAGCATAGCGCATATCCCCAGGAAAAGGCATAACGTTTAAGAAAATAATTAAATAAAAAGCCAAATAAAAAGACTTTTTACTGAGGAACAGACTAGACAAGGGAACTGTGAGTTCAGGTATCCTACCAAATTTCATGCCCTTCTGCCACCTGCCAGAGGATATCTGTTCTTACTGCACTGCCTAATGCTGGTGTGACCACAGCTGTGAGACCTGCTTGACCCTTGCCCTACCTGGGAGCATCAGGGGAAATCCCTGACCAGAAGACCTTGTCAGAGGAAATCCAGTTTTAGCATTTTAGTAATTTAGTAAATTCAATTAAGTAAATTTAAAAAGCAGGTCAGAGGGCCTGTTCAGAATAGTAGAAGGCCTCTGTGAGCTATAAAGAACCATATAAATGATAATCATTTTTAGAACAATTATTCAAAAATACAGTTCTTCAGTGTTGTGGTTCTGAAAAGACTGTTAAAGTGTGTCATATTTACACCATTGCCCATAGGCAACCTTTAGTTTACAGATAGGTGAGCTGCGGAAAAGCTCTCCAAATATTTATCCTCTTCATTTCCTCTTAGAGAACTTTATACACACAAGTATTATAACATAAATTACAAAACACAATAAATGTAATGAATACTCATAAAACAACCACCAGACTCAAAAATGAAAACACAAGCCAAACCACAGATCTACCAGTGTTTTTGTAGGTATTTCTGATACAACCCTCCACCTTCCCAGCTGGCAGCTACTGGCCTACAGAAAGAAGTTTAAACCTGTCAGCATGAGACACCCACAGGGCTGGGAAAGCGCCTTTATCTTAATGGCTGCTGGAATACTGTGTTGAGAAAGAATGGAGGCCTCATGTGGGTCAACAGAACACTGCCCCAAGTGGAACAGAAATGGTGGCACGTGTGCCCAACCCCAGACAACTCCTTCAACTTCGTCTTCTTTCCCAAAATCTACTCAGCTCCAGTCACCATGAAATGTTAAGTGTCCTGACGGTTCAGGCTTTCTGTATCCTTTTACGCCTGGAATGCATTCTCTTTCTTTCTCGAATGATTACACATCCTTTAAGTTGCAGGAAGCCTTCCTTGACCTCCTCAAGAAGAGACGCCTACACCTTTCTCTGCTATCTTCTAGCACCTGTATCATAAAAATTATCCAGCTTCAATTTCTTGTTTATTAATATATGCCTGTCTCTCCCACTACACTGGGAGCCTGCGCCTCTGGAAGGTAGGGATGACACTTAGCTTTATATTCCCAATGCAACTAGCAGGTACTTAAATGCTTTTTGAAGGTATAGATAAAATATAATACCAAATAATTAGCAAGATGCTTTATTATGCTAATTCATTTCAAGTTTAATCTATAAAACTAATGCAAGTACAAAAGGAAAAAAGAAAATAAGATGAAGAGAAAAGGGGAGAAAGAGTATCAGGGAGAAAATGCTCAAGGAAGATTTTACAAACATATATAGCACAGTAATGTTTCATAGAACAAACAAAATTTATGTAAGGATTATTCGGTATTCTTAGGTTTGGTGTGAGTGTCCCTTTAGAACACAACAAAAATTACTTACTGGTTATAAAGTTCTGGATGCCTAACAAGGTTCTGAATGAATTCATTTAGTCCTGCTCTTCTTTGTTTAATAAAATCTGGAAGAGAAATATAAACTATTAGGATTATTTGTATCAGACTATGCAATTATCATCAACAGTTATATAATAGACAAGCACAAGATAGTAAATTTTGATTAAGAAACTATTTTTAAATACATGTTACTTGTCACACAAAGAATACATACTTAGAAATTATATATTGTATGAATCATTGTATTTATATAATATATAATTATATATTACATATTACATATATGTAATTATATACTAAAATTAAAACTAAGCGGACAATTTATCTCCAAAAAGAAAGTTCTCAAAAACTGCCTATTATGGACTCTAAATAGACTAATTACAAAAATTGGAGAAGCACATAGATTTGTCCAACTCCTCATGTACTACCAGACAAGGAATAAAAACTAACACTATGACACTGATGACTGAAAATCACACAAATTAAAAAAAATAAAGATTTCTGGAAATCCTTTGCAACTGGGAAATAATGATTAATTGGTTAACTGAATATCACCAAAACTCTAGTTTAACTTCCACTGTGAAAAACAAACAAACAAAAAACTTAAAAAAATGCACAGGCATACTTTCCTAACAAGTAATTGTCCAGTATTTTCTTTTTTTAAATTTTTCTTTTTTGGTTGAGACAGGGTCTTGTTCTGTTGCCCAGGCTGAAGTGCGGTAGTGTGATCTAGGCTCACTGCAACCGCTGCATCCTGGGCTCAAGCAACCGTCCCGTCTCAGCCTGCTGAGTAGCTGGGACTATAAGCATACACCACCATGCCTGGCTAATTTTTGTATTTTTTGTGGAGACAGGGTCTCACTATGTTGCCCAGGCTGATCTTGAACTCCTGGGCTCAAGCAATCCACCGTCCTCAGCCTCCCAAAGTGCTGGGATTACAGGCATGAGCCATTGCGCCCAGCCTGTCCAGTATTTTTGAAGTGTTTTGTTTGTTGATAATTGAAGCTCATGCAATAGCAGTTTAGGAATAAATATTAAGCACAAACCTTTACTTTGAAATACACACTTACACACTTTTCTTGGAATTAGAAAACTTTATTCAAATATCTTTGTCTCTCCCATTTCCTAACCTTGAACTTTTCCAAGATTTAAATTTTTACTTGTAAAATGTGGATAGTAACAATATTTATAACTCATAATGCTGTTATAGGATTAAATGAGATAATGTATATAAGTTTATAGTAGGATGTCTGGCAGATGGTAAGAGCATTACTTATAGCTAATAATTATTAGATACTGTTACTTTTGTTGTTATTATTATTAGTGGTTGTGGGGTCTAAAAGCCATTTTCCTAAACTCTTTTTTTTTAATTTAAGACAAAGTCTTGCTCTGTCACCCAGGCTGGAGTGCGGTGGCGTGATCTTGGCTCACTGCAACCTTCACCTCCTGAGTTCAAGCGATTCTCCTGCCTCAGCCTCCAAAGTAGCTGGGATTACAGGCCCGCACCACCACACCTGGCTAATTTTTGTATTTTTAGTAGAGACGGGGTTTCACCATGTTGGCCAGGCTGGTCTCGAACTCCTGACCTCGTGATCTGTCTGCCTCGGCCTCCCAAAGTGCTGGGATTATAGGCATGAGCCACAGCACCCAGCCAATTCTGAAGAAATATGCTCTAAAAATTAAACACATGTCATTTGAGAAACTGTCTCCTAAATGGCGAATCTCTGGATAAAAACCCATAAAAAATATTCCACTTGATAATGAGTTTTGGTTTAGTAAACTGATTTCTACTGAATAAAGGTATAATGTATAGTGTTTGTCACCAAAATGATGGGTCATTTTCAGGTTTATTTCCATTTCTTAAATGGAAGGTATGGCTTCATACAAATATAAACAAATATAAAATCAGGTCTGGTCTTTGGGAGCCAGATGCATGTACTTGGTACTTTTTTCTTATTCGTCTAAGAATTCCTTGAAGAATTTCAGGTAGGTATCTTATTAAACTCTTTTTTTTTTTTTTTTTTTTTGAGACTGAGTCTGGCTCTGTCGCCCAGGCTGGAGTGCAGTGGCCGGATCTCAGCTCACTGCAAGCTCCGCCTCCCGGGTTTACGCCATTCTCCTGCCTCAGCCTCCCAAGTAGCTGGGACCACAGGCGCCCGCCACTTCGCCCGGCTAGTTTTTTGTATTTTTTAGTAGAGATGGGGTTTCACCGTGTTAGCCAGGATGGTCGCGATCTCCTGACCTCGTGATCCGCCCGTCTCGGCCTCCCAAAGTGCTGGGATTACAGGCTTGAGCCACCGCGCCCGGCCTTATTAAACTCTTTCAAGGACATTCATAATGTTACCAGGTAGCAAAGCATATGTGAGGTTTACATTAAAAACTATAATTGAAACACAGATATTTCTTGAGAACTGAACTTAGTAACACATGAAGAACTAAAATGAATGACTACATTTAGGATATTCAGAGAAAACCTAATAACTATATGGAAGCAGCTTTAAATTGTTCTGTGGATGCTTACTGAAGATATATTGGTTTCTTCAATATATCTTATATGGTTTCCTCTGGGTGTATCCTATTAAAAAATCTTTAAATTCATAATAAAATGTTAACAAAAAGTACAGGCAGAGATCATTCTTAAAATCAGCCTTCAAGTATGTAAGATGTATCTTATAGAGGTTGACAAACACTAGAATAAAGAAGTAGAAAAAAGAAAAAGAAGACATAGGCTTAAGCTGCAGGATAAGAACTCAAAAAGATAAGCAAAAATCCCATAAAATGGCTACCAACCATGAGATAAGTTAAAAAGGGAATTTCAGAATGTTTTTCTTAGGTATTATTTTATTTATTTATTTATTTTTGTTGTTGAAACGGAGTTTTGCTCTTGTTGCCCAGGCTAGAGTGCAATGGCGTGATTCCGGCTCACGGCAACCTCCGCCTCCCAGGTTCAAGCAATTCTCCTGACTCAGCCTCCAGAGTAGCTGGGATTACAGGCGCGTGCCACCACGCCCGGCTAATTTTTGTATTTTCAGTAGAGATGAGGTTTCACCATGTTGGCCAGGCTGGTCTAGAACTCCTGACCTCAGGTGATCCACCCACCTCGGCCTCCCAAAGTGCTGGGATTACAGGTGTGAGCCACTGTGCCCAGCCAACTTTATTTTTAACTTTTTATTATGAAAAATTTCACAAGTACACAAAAGATGAGAACCTTATTCGCCTACTTTAAAATTTATCAACATTCTGCTATTCCAATTTCATTCATTTATCCTCATTCCTCACTTTTTATTTTTTTTCTGGAGTATTTTAAAGCAATTCTCAGGCAGTTTTTTGTTTTGTTTTGGTGGAGGGGGGAATAAATCAGTATTTCTAAATGGTAATATCTTTAAAAAAAATAGTAAAGCCATGAAATCACTCTCTCATAATGTCTATAAATTCTTTTATTTCCCTCCAATAAACAGGTAGAACTAATTCTTCTCTCTTGAATGGGGGTTGGACTTAATGACTACCTTCTAATGAGAGGAATATGGTGGATGCGATGGCATGTGCCTTCTAAGACTAAGTCAGAGAAGGCAACGAGGCTTCCTCCTTGCTAGCTCTCTTGGATCACTCACTCTGGGGAAGCCAGCTGCCATGTTGTAAGGACACTCAAGGCCCCTTAAGAAGAGGCCCACTCACAAGGAACCAAGGCTTTCTACCAGAAACTATATGAGTGAGCCATCTTAGAAGCAGATCCTTCTGCCCCAGTAAAGACTTCAAATCACTGATGGTCTTTGCCTAGAACTATTAATTCATCAGAAGTTGTATAAGGATTTTCCAGTTCTATCATTCTGTGATTCTTCTATTTATGAACTGTGATTCCACTACCAAGTATTTTCCAACATTATCTCTTTGGTACAAAGAAATTACATTTCATACAACAAAGGCAAGATAAATCCTTGATTTTTTAATTTATTGATTTGGCAAATAAATTTACTCTAGTAACCTCTACAGCATTTCATGAGGTTTTTTTTTCCCCTAAACAAGCAAAGTAAATTGGAAAGTCTTTATACTGACGTGCTCTAACCTGCTACAATAATTACTTTCTCCATGCCGTCTAATCTTTACTCAGTAAAAGCCCCAACAGCTAGGCTCCTGTGTTCTTTTGATAAAACTCCAGTCATCCTAAATAGCTTCCTTGCTTTCAGGCAAGCTGTCCTGAGATCACTGTGTACATTTCCTGTGCCAGATCTGGGATCACCATTTATCCATGGAACTCTGGTTTCTTTGAGAGGGAAATGGTACTTAGAGATCACAATCTGAATGCTAGGGGTGTTGGTTACTACTTGTTATTGCTTTTAGGCATTTCCAAAAGAGAGTGCTAGAAAATATTTTTACAAAGCTAAAAAAATAAATTATGGGTCAGGTGCAGTGGCTCATGCCTGTAATCCCAGCTACTCGGGTGGCTGAGACAGGAGAATCGCTTGAACCTATGAGGTGGAGGTTGTGGTGAGCTGAGATCATGCCATTGCACTCCAGCCTGGGCAACAAGGGCGAAACTCTGTCTCAAAAAATAAATAAATAAAATAAATAAATATTTCAAACTATATCTCCAAATTAAGTTACAAATTACAGGATTCTGCTGGGTGTGGTGGCTCACGCCTATAATCGTAGCACTTTGGAAGGCCAAGGCGGGCAGATCACCTGAGGTTGGGAGTTCGAGACCAGCCTGACCAACATGGAGAAACCCCAGCTCTACTAAAAATACAAAATTAACCAGGCGTGGTGGTGCATGCCTGTAACCCCAGCTACTTGGGAGGCTGAGGCAGGAGAATCATCTGAACTCAGGAGGTGGAGGTTGCGGTGAGCCAAGACCACACCACTGCACTGCAGCCTGGGCAACAAGAATGAAACTCTGTCTCAAAAAAAAAAAAAAGAAAATTGGCCGGGCGCGGTGGCTGAAGCCTGTAATCCCAGCACTTTGGGAGGCCGAGACGGGCAGATCACGAGGTCAGGAGATCAAGACCATCCTGGCTAACACGGTGAAACCCCGTCGCTACTAAAAAAATACAAAAAACTAGCCAGGCGAGGTGTCGGGCGCCTGTAGTCCCAGCTATTCGGGAGGCTGAGGCAGGAGAATGGCATAAACCCAGGAGGCGGAGCTTGCAGTGAGCTGAGATCCGGCCACTGCACTCCAGCCCGGGCGACAGAGCGAGACTCTGTCTCAAAAAAAAAAAAAAAAAGAAAGAAAATTACAGGATTTTTACTTAAAATCTTTGATTTTGTTTGTATCACTTTCCTCTCCTGTTTAAAATCTTGGTTTCCATGATAGTAACATTAATGACAGAATAACAACTCCATATAACTAACATTAACACTACTGAATGCAGTGTAAAATTTGTCCATGGGTTTTTGTTTTTATCCTTAGCAATATATCCCATGAAGAATATACAGTCAAAATCCCATGTTTTAAAGTTATTTAAATTAAGTTGTTTTTTCCTTCAGTTTATTTTCAGTTGTTAGAGGCTGCTTTGTTATTGCATTTTTATTTTTGTTTTTAAATTGTTTAAAATGTGTACATGGTTCCAAAGTCAAAGGTACAAACAAAATTCATTCAAGGGCATCTAACTTCCACCCCTTTTGCCTTTCCTGATCTCTCCTTCACCCTTAAAGTCACTAGTTTTATTAGTTTTTCATTTATTCTTCCATTATTTCTTTTTGAATCCCCATACCTTTTCCTACACAAAAAATAAACACCATACAAATTCATTTGCTATATTGTGATTTTTTTTTTTCCATTTAATGGTATATTCTGGAGATCACACCATAGCAAAATACATAAAGAGCTTTTTTGTTCCTTTTTACAAGTATGTCATATCCAGCTCCATCAGAAAAGTATTTCCATTGTTTCCCGTTTTTCTGTTAATAATTGTGTCACAATACACAGTCTTGTGTGTACATATCATATGCAGTTTATTTTATGGACAGATTCCTAGAAATGTGATTTCTTGGCCAAAATGGAAAATGCATTCACAGGTTTTCTAAACATTACCAAATTCCCCTCAACATGGATTGTACCACTTTTTATTCCATCAGAAAAATATGGGAATGCCTGTATCCCCAAAGTGTAACCAAATGAGCATCTTATCCATCTCTGTTTTTCTGAATTTGACTTAGATCTGATTTCCCCAATGCAGGACTTTCTAATACCTCTGTGATATATGATCCCTTTCACTGTATGCAGTGAACAGAAGTCTTATGGAAATGTAATATTACGCATATTCGATATACGCAGGATAGACAAACAGTTCTTCAAAAAAATCAATTTTTAGTGTCAATTAATTCATCAAAACAAAGTACCAAAGAGCATGCAGCTTGGTATCTTGCTTTTAACAATGACTTCTTTGCTTTCTTTCCTTGATTAAATAATTGTCTTAAGTAATTAGTTAAGGGCTCTACAGAACTCCAACCCAAGTTCCAGTCTCATATTATCACTAGTAGTTTCTTAATATTTTTCTGCCACTTCTAATTAGTTAATTCTCTCAGTCACCCAGGCCAGACCCTCCAATTATCTCTCATTCTCTTCTCTATATGTCTGTTACCTAAGCAATCATCAAGATGTATTCCAGATTTTTCATTAAAGGAGTTCTCGTACATTGCTCATTTTTAAACTCTACTTCTACCCTAGTCCCCATACTCATTATCTAATGCCAGGGCTACTGGACTATTACCTTAACCAGTCTCCCAGTCTCTACTCTGCTGTGCCCACCATAAATTACCCACTGTCAGTTTCACATATTGATCAAATGCCACTAAGGCCAACACGCTACCCACGAAGATGCTTTTCAACCTGTGCTCCAAGGAGATACTTCACTGTTATATCAACAAAACAGGTCTATTTAAATTTTTTTTCACATATTACATTTCCATAAGATTTTGTGTGTGTGTGTGTGTGTGTGTGTTTTTGGGGGACAGAATCTCACTCTGTTGCCCAGGCTGGAGTGCAATGGCGTGATCTTGGCTCACTTGCAACCTCCGACTCCTGGATTCAAGTGATTATCCTGCCCCAGCCTCCCGAGTAGCTGAGACTACAGACACACACCACTATGCCCGGCTAATTTTTCTATTTTTAGTAGAGACGCGGTTTCACCATGTTGCCGCTGGTCTTGAACTCCTGGCCTCAAGTGATCCGCCCACCTTGGCCTCCCAAAGTGCTGGGATTACAGGCGTAGCCACCATATCTGGCCTCCATAAGATTTCAATTGGGAAAAAAGAGTTCTGCTGCTGAAAACAAAGCACGAGTACAAAAGCCACAGGTCTACAGAATATAATCCGGCTTTGTTGTGCCAACTCAATTTTCTCTTGCTTCTCTTTATTAATGGGTTCATATATTTAGTAATACTTTAAAACCTAGTATTTGCCAGTTTTAAAATAATAAAGTAATACTTTAAAACCAGTATATTGCCATTGTCAACCAATAAAAAAAGACATGTCTGCACCTTCAGAAAATCTACAGCCTACTATAAGACAGATTAGCAATTACAATGAAATGTGCTATATATTCCTGAGAGAAAAAAAAAAAACTCTGTATGTAACCAGGGAAGTGAGAACATTCTCCAATCCTGAGTTTCATAAAAAGTGTAAATAATAATAAGCCTCTTTATTATTCTATAGAGCTATAGGCAAAGCAGCCTCTGGGGAAAAAAAAGTTTTAATTAAAGGAAGAATGTGGAAGAAATGTGAAACAGATGCAGGATAAAGAGCAGTCTGTTAATGGTGGGTAGAATTCTATAGGATACAGTGATATGGTCTGGGAGGAAAATGAATGGTATGAAGTTAGGATGGAGAGAGAAAGCACAGTCAAGATAAGGGACCTTAGAGCTTTTATCTTGAGTAGTGACCAAGATCTCTCTTTCTTTCTTTTCTTACACAGACATGTAAGGTATTAATTTAACTGGTTACAAGCAAATTAGTTGCAGGAGGGCAATCCATTTGGGATTCATCCGTGGCAGACAGATGACTCTTCTGATAGAATTCCTGGTGGATAAGAAGACTTCTGTTTCCCTATAAGTAGACACCTGTGACCTCTATTAATCTCTTGGGTTCTAGGGGAAAATTCCATGCACATAGCTTTAGTCATACAGGTGCTAGATGCTGAGACCCTGTGTGTCAATGGGCTCCCCACGGGTGAGCAATAGGATATCTTTTTTTTTGAGATGACGTCTCGCTCTGTTGCCTAGGCTGGAGTGCAGTGGTGCCGATCTCAGCTCGCTGCAACCTCTGCCTCCTGGGTTCAAGTGATTCTCCTGCCTCAGCTTCCCAAGTAGCTGGGACTACAGGCGCATGCCACCACGCCTGGCTAATTTTTTGTAGTTTTAGTAGAGACGGGGTTTCACCATGTTAGCCAGGATGGTCTTGATCTCCTGACTTCGTGATCCACCCGCCTTGGCCTCCCAAAGTGCTGGGATTACAGGCGTGAGCCACCGCACCCGGCCTAGGATATCTTTTTGGTATCCCCATTCAGAGGTCTGCAAGTTGCTATGTACACAGTATATATTTAATGTTTCTGAATATAAAAGTGAATATTCTTCATGACACTGATTTAAAGTCAGTAAAGTTTCCCAAATTAACTTGAAGGATCAATAAAAAAAAATTTTAATAGGGTCTCCCTCTGTCACCCAGCCTGGAATGCAATGGCACAATGACAGCTCACTGCAGCCTTGAACTACTGACCTCAAGCAATCCTCTCACCTCAGCCTCCTGAGTAGCTGGGACTACAGGTTCATGCCACCATGCCCAGCTAAACTTTAAATTTTTGTAGGGATGAGGTTGCCCAGGCTGATCTCGAAACTCCTGGCCTGAAGTGATCCTCCTGCCTCGCACTCCCAAAGTACTTTGATTACAGGTGTGAGCCACTACACCCAGCCCATAGACAGATAAATTTATCTGAAGTCTTGAATTTAGCTTCCAAATCTGCCCTTTACTATCTGTATGTGGTCCTGGGCAAATTAATGTGTCTTAGTTTCCTTATCTATAAAAATAGTGATAACAACAATAACACCCAACTCACAAAATTGTGAGGATCGAATAAATTAAAACACATGAAGTACTTAAAACAATGCCTAGTAGACCGTAAGCACCTTCCTGAAGCATTATTTTCATAGGGCATGAGATCTTTTAAAGTCTTGCACTGCTATACAGTGCAATGAATATGTTAATTTACTTCTTCAAATTTCAACGATCACTTCATGGCTGGCCTATGAAGTTGTTTCTTACCTGGATCAAAATTATCACCAAATATTCTCTTGGCAGGAATCTTCAGAGCCATAGCAGGAAACTGTTTTTTTAACTAAAATTTTTAAAAATAACATTATATGAACTACTTTTATAAGTCTTCTAGTTATGTATACATCAAAGCCAAATACAATCTGATTTTAAAGAAAATCCATCATAAGACATACTTTTGAATTTATGATCATCCAAAGTACAATATAAATTATACCAATAAAATGTCACAAACTAGTCATCTTTTTTGGTCCCAATAAAATACCTGGTATCTGTGTGACCTAGAATAAAATACTCAACATCTGCATCTCATTTTCCTGCCTGTAAAGTGAGGATAATTTTAACAACTACCTTACAGATTTGTTGTTTTAAAGGAGATTATGTATGGCAAGTGCTTAGGCTAGAACCTGGTGTTACAGTTCCGAATATGTATTACTCACTTATTATCTTAGTGTTTTCTCTACATGGACTGACAATAGATTTCTAACAAAGTAGATGAATTTTGCTTTCAATATCCTTTCTGCTCTAACCTTCCCCTTACTAATATTCTAATAAGTGAGACCTCATCTCTACAAAAATAAAATTAAAAAAAATACCTAGTCATGGTGGCACATGTCTGTGGTCCCAGCACCTTCTAAGGCTGAGGTGGGAGGATTGTTTGAGCCTGGAAGGTTGAGGCTGCAGTGAGCCATGATTATGCCACTGCACTTCAGCCTGGGCAACAGAGTGAGACCACGTCTCAAATATATATATATTTTTTCTAATACATTTGTTTATCAGATATGCTTGTCTTCAGAGAAGGAAAACTTGGCCCTGAGGAAATTAAATTTGGGGCAGTTAAGTCACAAAAATGGGTTATATTTTCATTATAAGTTTGATGTCAAAAATACACACACACATGTAAAAACTGTATCTCAGCTGGGCATGATGGCTCACTGAGGCCTGTAATCCCAGCACTTTGGGAGGTTGATGTGGTAGGATTGCTTGAGCTCAGGAGTTTGAGACCAGCCTGGGCAACATAGCAAGGCCTTATTTCTACCAAAAAAAAAAAAAAAAAAAAAATCAGCTGGGTGTAGTCCAGCTATACAGTATGCAGGAGGCTGAGGTGGGAGGATCACTTGAACCAGGGAGGTCAAGGTTGCAGTGCACCGTATCACGCCATTGCACTCCAGCCTGGGTGACAGAGCAACAACCCGTCTCACCAAAAACAAACAAACAAAAAAAACACCCCAAAACGATACCTCTAACTACCAACTGATAGGAAATACAAAGAACAGAGGAATGCACTAATCACTTTACAGCATGGGGCATGCTGTCAGTAAAATGCAGACTGAAAAATATGTAAACAAATGATCTTGTTTTTTTTCATACACACACACAAAAAAAATGTGTAAAGGAAAGAAAAGAAACGCAGAGGGGGAACCTAGTGATTAAATGACACTTAACAGACTTATCAACCAGTCACATAAACCCTAACTGGATATCTGATATTAAGGCATTACTGTTCATTTATTTTTAGATGTGGTAATGATACTGTGTATACGTTTTGTTTTTAAGAATTTTTATCTTTTAGAGATGTATACTAAAATATTTACAGATGAAAAGATATGATGTCTGAAATTTGTGTTGAAATTATGATGAGCTGGCTAGGGATAGAGATGAACCAGGAATGGCCATGTATCAGTAATTATTGAAGCTGGATGGTAACATATTATTATTTTCTGAATTGGTACTAGTATGTCTACTTCTGTATGTGTTTGACAATTTCCTTCCTTCCTTCCTTCCTTCCTTCCTTCCTTCCTTCCTCCCTCCCTCCCTCCACTTCCTTTCCCTTCTCTTTCCCCTTCCCTTCCCTTCCCCTCCCCCTCTCCCTCTCTCTTTCTTTTTTCCCTTAAGATAGTCTATAGCTCTATCAACCAGGCTGGAATGCAGTGCTGACCTTCTGGGCTCAAGTGATCCTCCCCTCAGCCTCCTGAGTAGCTGGGACCACAGGGCACACACCACCACACCTAGCAAGTTGTTTTATTTTTTGTAGAGACAGTCTCATTAAGTCATTGCCCGGGCTGGTCTTGCACTCCTGAGCTCAAGCAATCCTCCTGCCTCAGCCTTGCAAAGTGCTGGGATTATAGGTGTGAGCCACTGTTCCTCGCCTGTGTTTGACAATTTCTATAATAAAAAGTTTAAAATATACACTAGTCATAAAGGACACATTGAAGTTGACAAAATGCCTAGAGATTTTTTCTTTTCTTTTATTCTAAAAAGAGTACAGGAAAATAATTTGTGTTTTTGAACTTAGGGAAATCCAGACCAGGTTCAACCTGATTTCTGTAGTTTCAAATAATTCAACCAATAACTATTTTCCTATTTTTTTCTTTGCCCCTCACTACAGGAGGCAGAATTACAAGGAGTTACATAAAAAGAGACACAGAAAGTGATGAAATAAGAACAATGAAAAAAGGGTGAAAAGAAATACAAAAGAAATTAGGGAGACGAATGATAAAACCTGAACTACAAGTTAAGGAAACTCTTCTGCAAAAAGTCGAAAGATGGGATGTTTCACAGAAGAGAGAATGAAAGTGATCATGGATGGAGGTACCCCAAACAAGCTTTCCTATTTTATTTTTACGCTTACAGATACTCAAATATTAACAATTTAATTAATCACCTGCTATTAAAATCATGATGACACACTACCAGTGTGGATCTCCACAATGTTGAGTTTTTAGATGACATTCCCTACACCCCTTCCTCTTATGAAGAGTTTCACAAAAGACAACATCTTTAGAAGGTAAATTTAGCCTACGAAATATTTTAAGCAAAAGACAGAAAGAAGCCTCAAATGTATGTGGTGTATGCGGGGTGTATGTGTGTGTGTGTGTGAGTGTGAGAGAGAGAGAGAGAGAGAGAAAGAAAGAGAGAGAGACAGACACTACAGTCATGTTATTTTTACCCGAGCATAACCCAGGCATCCTGATGGGTACAGGTGGATTTACACACTCCTCAAAGACATGCTGAACATATAGATAATGCGTATTCAAGAGTTTCAAAATGAGCTAACATTTCAACCCGCACTCAGCCTCCAATATAAGCCATTTTTTAAAAAATCACTAAAAACTAATGGAAGATATTTCCATGTACAAACTCTTATTGACTATTGTTTCAACAGTATAACTTTAATTACAGGAAAAAAAAACCTATCTCAATATCCTTTGATGAAGCAAATATCTAAAACTACACAGGTTGAATATCACAAATCTGAAAATCTGAAATGCTGTAAAACCAGTAACTTTTTGAGTGCTCAAAGGAAATGCTCACTGGGGCATTTCAGATTTCAGATTTTCAGATTTGGGATGGTTAACTGGTAAGTACAACTTAAATATTCCAAAATTTGAAAAAAATTTGAAATCCAAATCACTCTGGTTCCAAGTATTTCAGATAAGGGATACTCAACCTGTATTTAGTGAGTGCAGTTGCATATGCATTAAAGAAAAACTGAAGAACAGAAGAAACGTAAAATGTTAAGTTATTTCTGAGCAGCAACATTACAGGTGTTTGGTTCTAGTTTTTGTTTTGAGACAGGGTATCAAGAGTGCAGTGGCATGGTCATGGCTCATTGCAGCCTCAACCACCCAGGCTCAAGTGGTCCTCCTACCACAGCCTCTGAAGTAGCCAGAACTATGGGTATGTGCCACTACACTAACTTCTTATTTTTATTTTTTTTGTAGAGATGGAGTCTCCCTATTAATTTTACATAGGAAAAAATAAATATTTTTAAATTGCAGTATTATCTTCAGAAATTCAATTTCAAGTAGCAAGTGATCTGAGTATTAGGAACAAATATACACATAGTGAAATGCTAAATAAAGATGAATCAGAAGTGTAATTTTCATGACTTAACAAAACACAGGAAGTGGTACAGCTAGACATTGTTTGATTCATTCTGACCCATTTAGGAATTTGTTTCTTAATTGATATATGTGTAACTTTCCTCATATTCAAAAATATCTTACAAATAATAACCCACAGGCATATATTTATTCCTATGTTTAAAATCAAGAGACAGGGTTAAGAAATTTTAAAATTCCCTTCTTTTTTTTTTTTTTTTTTTGAGATAAGAGTCTCGCTCTGTGGCCCAGGCTGGAGGGCAGTGGCACAATCTTGGCTCACTGCAACCTCTGCCTTCTGGGTTCACGCCATTCTCCTCCCTTAGCCTCCCAAGTAGCTGAGACTACAGGTGCCCACCACCATGCCCAGCTAATTTTTTGTATTTTTAGTAGAGATGGGGTTTCACCATGTTAGCCACGATGGTCTCGATCTCCTGACCTCGTGATCCGCCCGCCTCAGCCTCCTAAAGTGCTGGGATTACAGGCGTGAGCCACGTGCCCAGCCCAAAATTCTGTTCTTAAATATATAACAAGAGTTTTTCCAGAGGATGCCTAGTAATCTACCATTCATTAAACAATGACACTGGGAGATCCCTATTTATTAATACATGAGAGCAGAGGAATTTCAATTTGGGACTTGAGGCCAACGACAGTGGCTCATAGCTGTAATCTCTGCACGTTAGGAGACCGAAGTGGGCGGATCACATGAGGCCAGGACTTTGAGACCAGCCTGGCCAACATGGCAAAACCCCATCTCTACTAAAACTACAAAAACACTAGCCAGGCGTGGTAACTCATGCTTGTAATCCCAGCTACCTGGGAGGCTGAGGCATGAGAATCGCTTGCACATGGGAGGCAGAGTACGTTGTAGTGAGCCAAGATTGTGCCACTGCACTCCGGCCTGGGTGACAGAGCAAGACCATCTCTCAAAAATAAATAAATAAACAAACAAATAAATAAATAAACAAACAAACTGAGGATTTGAGGCACAATTGCTTTTGTTCTTAACTGAAGCAAAACTTTAAATTCAGGACTGTCTTAATGACCTGGAGTTCCACAATAGCTATTAATAACTCAAGAGGTATGCTTTAGTTTCTATGTATGATCTTCACAAACACTGCTACCTGTGGAAGATATGGACTGATGTATGACAGTGACCGTGGTGGTCTTGCTGCCTTTATTTTTTTAGATGGGGTCTTGCTATATTGCCCAGACGGCCGTGCAGTGGGGCAATCATGCCTCACTGTACCCTCTGAACTCCTAAGCTCAAATGTTCCTTCTGCCTCAGCCTCCCAAAGTGCTGGAATTACAGATGTGAACCATCATGCCTGGCTCTTTGCTGCCTACTTTAGCAAGTATGTACTGTATATACTGTAAACACTAGATTATGAATACTATTTAATATCTGAGTTATGAAAATATAAAAACAGGTTTTAGTAATTTAAATAGCTAATGGTCTCTTAGATCTCACCACTTAGGTAGCTGTCAGAACTCTAAAAGTCAACAGTCATTTCAGTTGCGTTAGCTACTTAAAATCTGGAACCTAAGACGTATCTTTAAGAATGGAAACAAACTATGGAAGGGAGATAGGTTCGTGACAGACTTTCAAACATAAAGCTTACAGTAGGCAGTTTAACCAGAAATACCATGATGATTAACACTTATCAGAGAGGTAGGTACAAAGAACTGACTTCTAATTTTTTATGACATTAAAAGGTATTTTATCTAGTTCTCATATTTTTAATGGTTTATTTGGAATTGTTCAGCAGTCCTCTCTCTACCCTTTCTTTGTAAGCATTCCAAAGTTAGGATGTTTTTGAAGAATCTCTTACCTTTGTCTGCTTGTCTGACATATTAATATGTCAGTATCAACTTAATCATTCAAATACATTTCTCTTAATTTGGGGTTTTCTCAGGTGCTTTCTTTTAATTAGAAATCTTGTAGACTATTACTTACAGTGTTGTAAAGTTTATCAAACTCTGCATATCTCCTGAAGACAAACCATTCACTCCTTCCCACTGAAACCAGAACTTTATAAACCTGTGGAAATAAAAAAAAAACAATGTAACAAAATTTAATTGCAAAAAACCCATTAGCTACTTAAATACATTAAACCTGTTTTCATATATATATATTTTTTGAAACAGTCTGTCTCTTTCAATAAGGCTATTTTCATATTCTGAAACTGATACTAACATTAACATTTTTATATGATTCTCCAAGATACATAAACATACCAATTAAAGCACTTATTGAATCTTGTCAAATGGTATTCTTGGCTGGGCTCAGTGGGTCATGCCTGTAATCTCAGCACTTTGTGAGGCTGAGGTGGGAGGATCACTTGAGTGTAGGAGCTGGAGACCAGCCTGGGCAACAGGGAGACCCCGTCTTTACAAAAAACTTAAAAATTAGCCAGGCATGGTGTACACGCCTGTAGTCCCAGCTACGCAGGAGGCTGAGCTCTAGGACTGCTTGAGCCCAGGTAAGTCGAGGCTGTAGTGAGCTGAGATCACACCACTGCACTCCAGCCTGAGTGTCAAAAGCGAGATCATGACTTGAGGGAAAAAAAAAAAGGTGATTTCTTGTGATGGGAAGAATATGAGGTCAGGAAAAAAAACAGGAGATATTTTATTTTTCACATGTTACAAAATATTTCTGTAATTTTCAGGGAATAACATAGTCAACACCCACGTGCTCATTATTTGGATCTACTGAATTTCTAACATTTTGCCATTCTTGCTTCAGATTTTTTGGCCAAAGAATAAAATACTATAGATTCAATTGTTGCCACTTTCCTCTCTTCTTCCCTAGCAGTAATTAATACCTTGAACTTACAAAGTATTTTCAAAAGTGATACTTGCTTCATAAAAAACCTTCAATTATTAGTTCTCTTCATCTTTCACATAGTAGTTTTAGGTCACCTTTCACATAGTAGTTTTCAAACTATTAATAAGAATTTATTCTCAGATTTCCTAGTATTATCTTCCATATTCAGTATTTTCAAGTATACATAACCTCATATAATCATAATCCAACAACCCTATGAAGTAAGCAGAACAAATATTATAACCCCCCCACTATACATGAGACACCCTACATGAGCTGCAGGATGGTAATCTGGCTCTCTTGGTCTTAACCGAAAAGGAATCTGGTTGTCTTAGAGGAAGCTATTGTGTGTAAGATGTTAGAATTAATTTGATACCCCCCCGCCACCATGGACAGTATGCAGAAGTAGAGGGCAAAAAACTTAGCCAAGGTTCCAGTGACGTTGAGTAAGACTAGACAAGAGATTTACCTCACATGGCACTCAGGATCAGACAAGCCTAGAAGCAGAACTGCTGTAAGAGAATAAAACACTTAAGTTTATATGATTGTGAGTTTCTTGAATTATTTGTGCTGACTTGGTGAGAAGAATGGACCTTAGAAAGTTCAAGTGGCCTCCCCTGGCTACCCAAATACAGCCAAGACCAGGAGCAAGTCTAGGTTCCAAGCTGGAGCAGCTCTGCGGCAAATATATTTACAGAAGGCAAGATAAAGCCTTGTGAAATTATGAATTAACAGTATGATTTATAAACAAGTGCTTATTAAATATGTACTAATAAAATAGTAGACAAAAACAAAAACTAATCAAATCCTTAAAAATACTTCCATTGGTAAAAAGCAAAACAAGGCCGGGCGCGGTGGCTCAAGCCTGTAATCCCAGCACTTTGGGAGGCCGAGACGGGTGGATCACGAGGTCAGGAGATCGAGACCATCCTGGCTAACACGGTGAAACCCCGTCTCCACTAAAAAATACAAAAAACTAGCCGGGCTAAGTGGCGGGCGCCTGTAGTCCCAGCTACTCGGGAGGCTGAGGCGGGAGAAAGGCGTGAACCTGGGAGGCGGAGCTTGCAGTGAGCTGAGATCCGGCCACGGCACTCCAGCCTGGGCGACAGAGCAAGACTCCGTCTCAAAAAAAAAAAAAAAAAAAGCAAAACAAGATTAGATTCCCTGTGAAATCTAACAGAATTTCACAGGAAACAGTACAATACTTAATACAATATGAAATTATCTTATTTGCATATTTCCTTATTGTCTGTCTTGCCCCAGTTAATGAAAGTTCCTTGAGAGCTAGGGCTAATGTCACTCTTGTTCCACTGTATCCACAGTGCCTAGAATATGACATAGAAGCTCACAATTTCTCAAGTGGATAAATGAAAATATAATTTAGACTTGGCTTAAGTCAAGACACCTACAATGCAACACATTTCCCTGTTAGAAGCTTCATGGCATAGAACTATATAAACTACCTATGCAAACTAGAGTATAAAAATATTATCAAGGCTGGGCGTGGTGGCTCATTTCTGTAATCCCAAAACATCGGGAGGCTGAGACAGTAGAACCACTTGAGCCCAGGAGTTCAAGACCAACCTATTCAACATAGCAAGACCTGTCTCTATTAAATTTAAATTCAGGCTGGGCGTGGTGGCTCACGCCTGTAATTCCAGCACTTTTGGAGGCCAAGGCAGGTGGATCACGCAAGAGATAGAGACCTTGCCAACATGGTGAAACCCCGTCCCTACTAAAAAAAAAAAAGGAATATATATATATATATATATATATATATACACACACACACACACAAAAAAAATTAGCTGGGCATGGTGGCATGCACCTGTAGTCCCAGCTACTCGGGAGGCTGAGGCAGGAGAATCGCTTGAACCCAGGAAGTGGAGGTTGCAGTGAGCCTAGATTGCGCCACTGCACTCCAGCCTGGCAACAGAGTGAGATTCTGTCTCAAAAAAAATAATTAATTAATTAATTAATTAAAAAAATAAAAATATGATCGATAACACGGGTACCTAGGCTGAACAGAGCATCTGTGTTGGGAATGATGGGGTCTATCTGCACTGAGAGAACCCAGTTTCTTGAGGATTGAGGACTACACTGTAGTAATCAGCAAATAACAGACGAACAATTCAACAAATACTTATTTGAATTCCTACTATCTTTGTTCTAGGGGCTGGTGAAACGATAATGAAGAAGTCCTTGCTTCAAAGAACCTTGCATTCTACTCAAAGGCGGCACATATAAACAAACACGAAATGTGGCAGGAGGGAAAGCAAGACAGAGTGAGAGGGGTAGCGTGGGGTGTGAAGGTGCTGTTTTTTATAGGGTGGTCAGAATATGCCTCTCTAATAAGGCAATATTTGAGAATCTGAAGGAAGTAAATGAATAAGGTGATTTAGTTAGGGCCTTTGAGAACTCAGTGCACAGCATAAAAACAGCTGAGTAAGAGAAATGTTACAGGTCTCCTCAACCATCCTACAGAAGACATGGAAATACCTCCAGCCTGGAAAATCAAAGGACACATGAGATAATCTGCTGACATTTGCTATGTGTGAACTTCCATCAAACTTGGCAGGAGGTATCCTCTCGAGGAAAGAATGACCCAAAGGCAAAAATAAGGAGGGGGAAGGAAGGAAGAAAAACTTTCACACACTCTACCATTTTATTCTAGGTATATCAACCTTTGTTTACCTTCAATGTGATACTGCTAAAAATTTTGCTTATACAAATGTGCAACAAATGCCTACTGTTTAAGATATTCCTGCAATCTAGAGGCTCAGAAGGGGTATATGGTCGGAAACACATTGCAATTTATCTGCTCTGGGATGTGGTGCCAAGTGTGGCAGGTGTGTCTGTTAAGGAAGAGAGGACAGAGGGACTGCTTTCCCTGCTCCTTGTCTGAGACCTTGAGAGAAAACCATCATTTTCTAGCACCCAGCCCCACCTAGTTAAGAAGGCAGAGAGATTTAGTTTAACTCCTCAGCTTTCCTCAACTGCCCTATGACAGGGACTCTGAGTTGAAAGTCACCTATCATGGGACTCAACTGGCAGTGACCAGGTAACCCCCTTTTTAGAGGCTGGGTTGGACCACTGAGCCAGGAGCAGGTGAAGGACATGTCAGAGCCTCAGGGGGCTCTACAGCTATCAAGGGCCAAGGTACTGAGTCAGTGGAGAGCTGCCGCAAGACCCTGGGGTCAAGTCAACAAAGAGATCACAAGCTAGTTCATCAACTGAAGGTGCCAGCAATGGATGCCAGCAAAATGCCCAGGTTATCAGGTCAGTCATAGCTGGCTATCTGCCAGACCAGCCACTTTACAGCTCAAAAAACAAAGATCTAGAGGGACGACAAGAACTCAAGAGGCTTCACCAGGCTACCATGAGGTCATTCACCAACTCAACAATATTGTGAAAGGGGACACCTCTCCTCCCATAAACCATGATGCCAACCTGAGGAGGATGTGTGTTCAAGTAAGAGAAAGAAAGTAGAAGAGAGGCTAAGCATTTTATCCTGAGACCTGATTAAATTATTAGATCAGACTAAGTATTAAACAGAATTGGGCTAAATGAATTTCTTCATATTACTCATACAACATAGAAAAGATCTAGTTGGAAGTAACCAAAGTGTGGTTTTCAGACTTCCTGCATCAGGATGAACTGGTCAAGCGTGCTGAACAATTCAGATTACAGTCCTGTATAGTACATAGTTATTTACTCATTTTGCAAATAAGGCAACTGAAACAGATAGGTGAAGTAATTAATACATCCCAGATTTGAACCCAGGCCATCTGACTCCAGAGTTCCAACTCTGTAGGTGAGGAGAGAGTGGGGAGTTACGAGGAAGAGCAGATCAGTAATATACATGATAAATGGCTTTTTTTTTTCAGGGGGAGGAGGGCACAAGACCTCTGTATGTACTAATAGGACTACTGGAACTACATACAATATTGTATGTTTCAGCACACTAATTAGAAAAGTGACTATTCTCCAATAATAAAAACTGATACACAGATTGAGCAAATGTTCATTGCGCTTACTCTTTATAAAGCCCTGTAGTAGATACTACAGTGATAAATGATAAAATTAGAAATGGCTTAGCCTTTAAGGTAAAAAAAAAAAATTACTGAATTAAATATTTTAAAACTGAGAGATACTATAAACATTTCAGGACAGTAGTTAATATGAAATCGATGTCTTCAGGAGTCCATTAATTCCTGACAGTGCACGCAAAATTGTGTGTGCGTAGATCCATGTGTATGCACATGCACATTTTCTGTTAAGAAGATTAGTTAGTAGCTGGGCATGGTGGCGGGCGCCTGTAGTCCCAGCTACTCAGGAGGCTGAGGCAGGAGAATGGCGTGAACCGGGAGGCAGAGCTTGCAGTGAGCCAAGATCGAGCCACTGCACTCCAGCCTGGGTGACAGGGTCAGACTCTGTCTCAAAAATAAAAAACAAAAAAACCCAAGATGATAAGTTAGATACGGTCAGGCGTGGTGGCTCACGCTTGTAATCCCAGCACTTTGGGACGCCAAGGTGGGCGGATCATGAGGTCAAGAGATCAAGACCATCCTGACCAATATGGTAAAACCCCATCTCTACTAAAAATACAAAAATTGGCTGGGCATGGTGGCACGTGCCTGTAGTCCCAGCTACTCGGGAGGCTGAGGCAGGAGAATCGCTTGAACCCAGGAGGCAGTGAGCAGAGGTTGTACCACTGCACTCCAGCCTGGTGACAGAATGAGACTCTGTCTCAAAAAAAAAAAAAAAAAAAAAAAAAAAAAAAAAAAAAGGATTAGTTAGATAGTTTCATACAATTCTCCAAGAGGATAAGTAAAGAGACTAAAAAAGGAAAATGTATTCCATTACGGTAGCCACAGAAGACTTTGTGGAGAACAGATTATGTGAAAGTAAAATCCAGGTATGTGGGAGATGGGGAAGGGGGTGTTCTAGGTTGGAGAAGAAAAGCAGAAATGAAAATATTCTCTATATTCAATTTTTTTCCACATGCTTTATGTTAAGTACTTACAGTAAACCTCTTCTTTTTCTCTCTGTGTTCATCAGAGCTGGGAATGCTTACACTTGGGCAGCTTTCCTTGTAGTCCATGGTATGATCTCTTTGCATTTAATCCCTCAAGAGCACACCAAAAAATGCGTCCGAAGAAACAGTCAGCAGAGGACAAACTCAATTAACTAATCCAAAACATAACACCTCTTGAAGTAATGTTCAAATTCCATCATGCAACCTTAACCAACAGAAAAAAAAAAAAAAAAGAAGTGATTAACAAAAACAATTTTAACATACTATGACGGTTATTCCTTAAGCATGGGACTAATTTTACATTTATTCTGGCAGGAATTTACTTTTGCTCATCAGTCTCAGCCCAGGTTAGAGATTTAGTTTCTACTGTGTTCCTACTACAACCCACAAATATCTGCAGTCCATCTACCTTCCTTACTATTAGGAAATTCCAGTAACTTACACACCTCAGTTCATGTAGACTAAGCACTAACTCTCACCTAGAAAAGATCTAGTTGGAGGTAACCAAAGTGTGGTTTTCAGACTTCCTGAATCAGGATGAACTGGTCAAGTGTGCTGAACAATTCAGATTACAATCCTGTATAGTACATAACTATTTACTCATTTTACAAATAAGGCAGCTGAAACACAGAGAGGTGAAATAATTCATACATCCCGGATTTGAATCCAGGCCATCTGACTCCAGAGTTCCAACTCTTTTTTTTTTTTTTTTTTTGAGACGGAGTCTTGCTCTGTCACCCAGGCTGGAGTGCAGTGGCCGGATCTCAGCTCACTGCAAGCTCCGCCTCCCGGGTTTACGCCATTCTCCTGCCTCAGCCTCCCGAGTAGCTGGGACTACAGGCGCCCGCCACTGCGCCCGGCTAGTTTTTTGTATTTTTAGTAGAGACGGGGTTTCACCGTGTTAGCCAGGATGGTCTCGATCTCCTGACCTCGTGATCCGCCCGCCTCGGCCTCCCAAAGTGCTGGGATTACAGGCTTGAGCCACCGTGCCCGGCCCAGAGTTCCAACTCTTAACCACTGTACTATGCTTCATTATAACTGTGGATTATTCTTTTGTACTGAACCTCTGGTCAGAGACACTACAGTAGATCTTCCTACAAAATAAATGCAGTATGTTAATATCATCCCACTCATGAATAAAGGGCTAGAGATGTCACACTGATGTCACCTTTGCTACACACAGCAGCCCATACTCTGACACCACATGACACCAAATAATACCTTTCTTTTAGAGACAGGGTGTTGCTATGTTGCCCAGGTTAGAATGCAGTAGCTATTCACAGGTACAATCATGCTGCACTGCAGCCTCAAACTCCTAGGCTCAAGTGATGTTCCTGCTTGAGCCTCCCAAGTAGCTGCGACTATAGGCACAGACCATCACGCCTGGCTCAAACAATACTTTTTTTTGTTTTTTTCTTAAGATACGGGGTCTCATTACATTGCCCAGGCTGGTCTTGAACTCCTGGGCTCAAGCATTCCTCCCAACTTAATCTCCCAAAGTGCTAGGATTACAGGCATGAGCCACCACACTCAGACTAAATAATACTTTTTAAACTGTCAGTATGCTTGGATAATTTCCCTGGATGGTCAGTTTCAGGAAGTCGCTGTAACAGATCTGGTCACTATAAATAAATTATATTCAGGTAATGACTTAAAATATATATCAGCAGGCATTGAATATTCAGGTATAATGAGTTTTAACTGATTATAAGAATGCTTCCTTTGAGATGATTCAAAGCTTCCCTTGTTGGATTTGCTGCTGGAAATGCAGTCAGAAAGATTTCTTTTTTTTTTTTTTTTTTGAGACGGAGTTTTGCTCTCGTCACCCAGGCTGGAGAGCAATGGCGCGATCTTGGCTCACTGTAACCTCCGCCTCCCGGGTTCAAGCGATTCTCCTGCCTCAGCCTCCCAAGTAGCTGGGATTACGGGTACGTGCCACCTCATCCAACTAATTTTGTATTTTTAGTAGAGACGGCGTTTCTCCATGTTGGTCAGGCTGGTCTCAAACTCCTGACCTCAGGTGATCCGTCTGCCTCGGCCTCCCAAAGTGCTGGGATTACAGGCGTGAACCACTGCGCCCAGCAGTCAGAAATATTTCTGTGTAGCTGAATTAGTTGTTAGAATATACAGACAAGTAATTGGTCCCGCCTCAACAAAGAGTACAGCATCTGTCTGTAAATTATAGCATTCTAAAGCCCCATAATAGTAGCTGCTTTGCCCCACTAAGACCAGGGAAGCACCTGACCAGAGCCTGGCCTGCCTGTCACAGCGATCTACTGCCTGAGCATGAGAGCAGGTGGAACCTATTGTACTTCTTTTATTATTATTTTTTTTTTTGAGACGGAGTCTCGCTCTGTCGCCCAGACTGGAGTGCAGTGGCGCGATCTCCACTCACTGCAAGCTCCGCCTTCCCGGGTTCCCGCCATTCTCCTGCCTCAGCCTCCCGAGTAGCTGGGACTACAGGCACCCGCCACTGCGCCCGGCTCATTTTTGTATTTTTAGTAGAGACGGGGTTTCACCGTGTTAGTCAGGATGGTCTTGATCTCCTGACCTCGTGATCCGCCCGTTCGGCCTCCCAAAGTGCTGGGATTACAGGCGTGAGCCACCGTGCCCGGCCGGAACCTATTGTACTTCTAAGGCAGACTGGCCCTGTCCTGGAACCTTAGAAGCCACATTAACCCATGCTTCTCCTCCTGCAGCAGAGACACTGAGAAGGTGAAGGTTATGAGCTACACTTTCCACACCTCTCCCTTGAGAATGTGGGGCTCAGGGTGGCAGGTACTGCTGTTACTTTATATGAGTGCCCTGCTGTGCTATAGCCCAAAGAAGCAGAATTCCTCAGGTCCTCCTTTTGGAAGGGACAGTAAGGTATCACATTAAGTGGCATCAGGAATAAAGGAGAAGGAAAGAGATGGTAGGCAGGACAACTTGTTTCCTGCAAGGTACCCAGGGGACATCTAAGAGAACAGGCACAGCTGGCACTTAAGTGTAGAAGTCTACACTCAAGAAGCACACTCAAACCTGAGCCAAAGGTTCCAGTTTGGCAATTGCACTTGACAGTCTCTATCTGCCCTTCCAGACCCAAATGCCACTCTTTCTCCACCCAGCCACATGTCCAGAAGTCTGAGCTCTACGGACTGCACACTGTTTTGCCTTTGCCCTCTGGCTGGATGCAGCCATGAGAGTCACTAACAAATTACAGGGTAAGAGAAGCATGGCGCTAAGATATTTGTTCCCCTGGTCCCTTTCTGACATCAGTGGTTTACCCACCTAAGCCCACAGTTCCTAGCAGGCAGCCCCTCTTCCACAGCTACAGCTGAAGGGCCTGGGAATAATAACAGCTTCCTGACTTTGCTAGTAAAGAGGTGCTTCAACAAGCCATGATGGTTCCTCTAATCCTGCCCACAACATCTTAGTTAACAGTCCCTTTGTTAAACTCCCTTCAACTACATTTGAGTGTGTCATATGACTGATGCAGTTAACTGGTACCAAGAAGACCGCAGGAAACACAGCCTCAAAAATGGAATGTGTACTTGACAAGTGTCCTGAAAATCTTCCTGTGGGGGGAGGGGATGGCACACAGTGACATCATGATCGCTCAAACTACTACCTGTGCATGGTGTCACAGGATGGAGTGCAGGTGGAGAGTGCTCAAAGTCCAAGTAGCAGCTAAAAACACTGACTTCAGAGACTGCGATGTGGGCTGGGGCTGCTTCTGGCTGTCCTTGAGAATGTGCCTAAAGCAAATGACAAAGTCAAAGCTGTGAATTCCCAAAGAGATGGGTAGAAAATCCGTGGCTGTTTTATTAGAGTCCTTCATCTCTTATAGTTGCCGAGCTGAGAAGATCAAGCCCAGGGTTTGATGGCTAGGGTTGCAGAGCCAATTCAATATACAATCCTGCAAAGTCTAATGTGTTAACATACGGCACTGGCTGGAAAGGAGAATTACTTGAATCATAGATGCAGGCATTTGGGTAGGCATAGATGAGGCTAAGAATGCTGAACCCCAAATTCAGCTGAACTGCCTTGCTGAAAGCAGCTGTCTGTATCTCTCAGAGAATACCCTGCATCCAAACGCCTCCTTCTCAATAAAACTCTTTTCAAGTTGTTTCACAAGGGATGCTAATTCTCTTCACTATCTACTCCCACCATCTTTCATTGTCTCGTAACCCAAAAGACCCCAGAAAGAAGTTCCAAGTCTATTCTGGGAGAAAACTGCCTTTATAACAAAATATTTTAGGATCTCAACAATTTATTTACCAGTGGGAGTGTGGAGAGCACATACAGGAATAAATTCAAAGGATCTTAGATCAAGGAAGACTAATAAGATTATTGTGACCTTTTTTTTCTTTTTTTTTTTGAGATGGGGTCTCATTCTGTCGCCTAGGCTGCAGTGCAGGGCGCAATCTTGGGTCACTGTAACCTCCACCTCCAGGGTTCAAGCAATCCTCTCACCTCAGCCTCTCAAGTAGCTGGGACTACAGGCATGTACCACCATGCCTGGCTAATTTTTGTATTTTTGGTAGAGATGGGGTTTCGTCATGTTGGCCAGGCTGGTCTCAAACTCCAGAGCTCAAGCAAACTGCCCATATCGGCCTCCCAAAGTGCTGGGATTGTAGGCATGAGCCACCACACCCAGCGTATTGTGACCCTTTAAACGGCCACAGGCATATACTGTTGATCTTTCTCCAGGCCTTTCCTGAGAAGGACCTGTAGCAATTCCCCAGGATGATTGTCCACTACAGAAATGGGAATATATAATCCTCCCAAGCGTTAGTAGATACTAGCTCTGAAATAACACTAATCTCCTAGAGACCCAGAACATGGTCTACAAGTCAGAGTGGGACTTCCAGAGGTAAGGTCAGAGAGTAAGTCTGTCTCCCAGTGGGTCCAGTGGGACGACAGGCCCATCCTGTGCTTATTTCCCTAGTAACAGAATTGTAGTGGAAACTGATATACTTAGTAACTGGCCAAATTCCCATATTGGTTCCCTGTCCCATGTCATAAAAGCTATAATGAGAGAAAAGGCTATGAAGAAGCCTCTGGAACTGTCTCCCCTTTTCCTACTAAGAAAGTAATCAAAAAGTATACCACATCCATGGGAAAAGCTCAGAAATCAGTACCACTATCAAAAACTAAAAGGATGCAGGGCTGTTAAAACTTCTTATATCCCCATTTAACTTGGCCATTTACCTAGATCAAAGCTGGAAAGAACTGGGAACATAACAATGGATTACCATAAATTTAATCAGATGGTGACACCAATTTCAAACGGGATTCTGAGATTCTAAATGTAGTGTTTCTGTTTTTGTTTTCTGAAGAAAATTAGTATAACCCCAGACATCTGGTATGCCTACTGACCTGGCAAATGCTTTCTTTTCTATCACCATCAGTAAGGACAATGAGATGCAAATTGCATGAAGTGGCAGAAAGGCAGTGTATCTTCATTGTCTCACCTGAGGACTATGTCTGAATCGCCATAATATAGTCTGGAGAGTCCTTGATCATCTTGACAGCCCACAGATCACCATACTGGTCCATCACATGGATGCCATTTTCTTAACTGGACCTGGTGAACAAAAACTAGCAAGCACTTTGGACACCTGCGTAAGACACATACACAATCCAGAGGATGGAAAAAAACTCATGAAAGTTCAGGGACTCACCACACTAGGATTTCCCTGGTCTGAGCCAGGATATCCCGTCTCAAGTGAGAGAAATTACTACACCTTGCACCACTTGCACTGAGAGAGGTAAAACAAATAGTGAGTTTCAATACTTGGATATGCTGTTCTGACCCATTTACTGGGTAACCTATGAGCCTGCCAGTTTTTATTGAAGCCCATTCCAAGAGAAGGTTCTAGAGCAATGAAAGCTGCTCTAACCCTTGAGCCTATGCCTCAGCATACCCAGTAGTACTGGAAATGACATGGCAAGCAGGAATGAACTAGGGACCCCTCTCTCTGACAAGCACCAAGGAAAGAGTAAGAGTTTCAGACCCCTTAGGGTTTGCCAGCAACCACTGTCTGTGGTTCCTGGCTTGTTACTAGGCCCAGGAAGAGATGCAATGACCGCCTATGGAAAATGAAGAGACTGTGTCAAAAGAACAGCCCATCGTGAACAGAGTATTATCGGGTTCACTGAATCATAAAACTAGACATGTACAGCACTAATCCACTTGGTACGGTAAAAGCAAGACTAGGCTTAAGCAAGTCTGGATGGCACAAGTAAACTGCAGGGATCGGCAGCCCGGACTCCCCTACTGTTTGTTCCTCCTTCCTTGTAAGTTTTCTAGACCCACATTTAAGGCCCCATGGGGAGGATCCTCAGGCCAGTTAGCAGGGCAGGAAAAAGGCATGCTTGTTTATGGATGGACATGCAGTGTGCTGACACCAGCCAGAAGTGAGAAAAGGCAGCCCCACTCAGGGATGGCCTGAAAGAGAGTGGTGAAGGGAAATCTTCCCAGTGGGCAGAACTCTGAGCAGCACACGTGGTGGTTTACCTGTCAGGAGGAGTGCCAAAGGGACGTATCTATGATGATCTTGGGCAGTGGCTAATGGATGGCCTGCTGGTCAGTGACTAGGAAAGAACAAGATTGGGAAATTATATATTTTTTAAAGGGAGGTGTGCAGAAGTACGTATACGAACCTTTCACTATAGCACAGAATGTGAGCGTATTTGTGTCTCACATCAATGCCCACTACAGACAGGCTCTCAATAATCATGTGGTCAAGATGACTTGTCTTATGGATGTCAGTCAGCCTCTTTCCCAATCGTCCCATTGCTTGCTCAATGGACCGATGACAAAGTGGCCAAAGCAGTAGGTGTGGAGGCTATATAGGGACAATATGGCCTTCCCCTCACCAAGATGGATTCAGTGCTGCCAGTGCTAAGTGCCCGACCACAACACAAAAGACCAACACTAAGGCCCACTATCCCACCATCCCACACGGGGTATTAGAGAGCCCTTAGGGAAAAATCTGTCTTCACAGAAGCAAGACTGACTTCATATGGGTTGCTTTAAGGATTTGAGATAGCGTAAAAGACCTAGCACTGTAAAAGTAACCAATAAATCAGATCTAAAGTATAACAATTTCTTTTGAATTCATTTTTATTCCTTCATTCAACGAACACTTATTGAGTGCTCATCATGCACTAGGCAATAAAAAAGACAAAATGAAGTCCGTGTGCGGTGGCTCACACCTGCAATCCCAGCACTTTGGGAGGCTGAGGAGGGTGGATCATGAGGTCAGGAGTTCAAGACCAGCCTGGCCAACATGGTGAAACTCCATCTCTACTAAAAATACAAAAATTAGCTGGGCATGGTGGTACGTGCCTGCAATCCCAGCTACTCGGGAGGCTGAAGGAGGAGAATTGCTTGAACTGGGACACAGGAGGCAGAGGTTGCAGTGAGCCAAGATTGTGCTACTGCACTACAGCCTGGGTTACAGAGTGAAACTCTGTCTCAAAAAAACAAAACAAAAAAAAGACAAAGAGAAAATCCTACTCTCACAGAACTTACCTAACGGGGAAGACAGGGAAGACTGACAAGCAACATACAAATTTGTAAGTATGATGTTATGTGTATGCATGGTATACTGAGAGGGTACAGAGAAGGGACATAGCCGCAAACCGTACAGCTTAGCTAAAAATAAAGCCAGGCAGGTATGGAAGCAGAGGTTTGAAAGAGATTCCACCCATTTGCCTCAATCATATTTGGAAAAAGAAGTCAAAATTATATGTTAGGAATAAAGATGTTGCTCTGAAGAAAAACATAAACAGGTTAAATCACTTGCCCAAGTTAATATGCGACTAACAGGCAATAGAGCTAGAATTCAAACGCAAATCTGTCCAACTCCAAAATCTATATGTGCATGTTTGCTGTACCACATCAACTCTTCTTAAATAAGATTTTGCTTTCCTTCAAGCTAAATTGAACTGGCAGCCTAATACGTACTGATTAGTGGCTAAACTTATTACAAGCCAGACTGTGCTTTACATGTGTGAATCTGGTTGCTCCTCACAACAGCCCTAACTAGAAGAAATTGAGGAGAAACTGAAGCATGAAAGGATGAAGGACCCTGCCCCAGAGGCAGAGGCAGGATTTGAACCCAGGTGGTCTGACTTCAGGGCTTCTATCCATTATACTACCCTGCCTCCACAACATGTACATGCTTTACAGAGTCCTCTGGGGACCAATGAAGAAAGTTCACAAATTTATTTTAAGTGATTAAAAGTAAAATGAAAAAGCAAGCCTGCTATTACTATACATGTAGTACCTATTTATGCTATAAAACTGAAGCAATTAAAATTCCGCAAAATCATCTTCTGGCCAGGCAGCTAAATAAAACAGAGTAAGAAGGGGATTGACATAAAAACCCACAACTAAGAAAGAACAGAACAAAAAGCTATGTCATTTATGTGGGATTAAAACTGGGACTTTTTTGGGAGATTCATATACATGCAGGGCTTTTCAAAAGAGGAACAGGAAAAGGATCTGCCTTCACTCTGCTAGACAGTCAGAAGATAATTTTGTAGTCTGGTGCTCAGGGGCAGCTGGCTTGCCAGGGGTAGGTAACAGCTCTTCCAAAGAGGCTTAAGATGATGGCAAAACTTTTCAAGGCCAGCCAATTCTTAGGTGAATCTGCAAGGGTAATATAACAGCTAGTAAAGATTAGACAATGGTTCTCATCTGGGGCCAATTTTGCCTGGAGGATATTTGGCAATGTCCGGAGACATTTTTGATTGTCACAACTTGCCAGGGTCGGGGTGGGAGTGGGGGTGGGCGGTGGTCGTCAGGGATGATGTTAAGCATCTACAATATGCACAGTACTGCCCTACAACAAAAAATGATTTGACCCAAAACGTCAACAGGGCTGAAGGTTGAGAAATAAATATTTACTGAGCACTAATGCCAGGGCTGGTTTAAGCGCTCACATCTAACACATCAATGAGCCCTCATAGCAACCTCTGAGGTAAATATCATTATCCTCATTTTACAGATGAAGAAGAAACCTAAGCACAAAGAATACTTCCACACAGTCACGCGGCTGTGGGTGAAAGCACTCTCACGTGAGCCCAGCTCACATACCATAACCCTCAACTTACTATGCTGTTACATGCATCCTTTTCTAAATCATCTTTGGAGATACAGAGTTGAAGAGAAGAGAGCACCAGGGATCCACTAGGCAACTGCGTTAAGGAAAGAAAGTCATGCACAGGAAAAGCAGATTTCTGATTCTGCCACCAGGAGGGGTCAAAGTCTGGACAGCACTTTGTCAGGAGCCCGGCTTAGCTTTCTTAAAAAACGTCACATGTAAACATCTAACTGAGAGCTTGGTCCACAGCAGGCTCTGAGTGTTGGCCCCATCACAATGACAACCAAGGGCTAATTATGAAATAGGAAGGACACAGGAAAAGACACTATCAAGGATACAGTTTTTTTAAAAGGAGGGGGAAAATTCATCTTTTTTAAAAAAGCATCCATAGACTTAAAATTTTTTTGTTTGGGGTCTGTAAAAAAATACCAATATGGGTGAAACTCTATGATAAAAAATTGCCCAAATTCTTGTTATGTTAAAATGTTACTGATTCAAATATTGCTTACAATAGGTGACCATTAAAACTTTTCTTAAAAAGGATGTTTTCCTTCATCATTGTGTCCATCTTTTTGTCTATTATATGCTAATTACCGTCCTTGGGTCTTGCCTATCTTTGTTTCAGGGCAGTGAAAAAAAAATTTTTTATAAAAAAAGTCAAAAGATTCTTCTGCTTTCACCTGTAAAAAATAGAGAGAATTTCTGAACCATATTTCCTTAACCCATCATAAAGATTGTTTGATATTGACTAGAGGACCCTACTCAGATTAGAAGGTAGATACACTCGTAAGTATCATTTCCCATTCTTACCCAATACAGCATGGAGGGTGAGTTGGTGATTCACACCAAGGCATAAAGGGAAGTAAGAACAAACATGTCCCAAAAGGAAGGAATTTGGCCTGTGAAGAGCTACAAGTTTTCCTCAGCAGGGGAACAGGGTACCGGGTGTTTAGAAACGATGGCACCTAAAGGAGGGCACTAACAAGGCTGGTCAAGGAAGATACAAAAGAAAAGCCATGCACATAAATTGCAAAAGTAGGCCGGGTGATGGCTGATGCCTGTAATCCCAGCACTTTGGGAGGCTAATAAAGCGGGAAGATCCCTGGAGCCTAGGAGTTTGATATCAGCCTGGGAAATATAGTGAGATCCTGTCTCCACAAAAAAAATTTAAAAATTAGCCAGGCATGGTGGCATGTACCTGTAGTCCTGGCTACTTGAGAGTCTGAGACCAGAGGATCACTTGAGCCCAAGAGGCAGAAGTGGAGAGTGCAGTTAGCCTCGAGACTGCACCACTACACTCCAGCCTAGGCAACAGAGCAACACTGTGTCTCAAAAACAAACAAACAAACAACAACAACAACAAAACTATAAAATTCCTACACACACACACACACACACACACACACACACACACACACTAGCCTAGCATGATGGTATGCACCTGTAATCCCAGCCACTCAGGAGGCTGAGGTGGGAGAATCGCTTGAGCCCAGGAGGTGAAGGTTGCAGTGAGTCAAGATCGCATCACTGCACTCCAGGCCGGGTGCCAGAGCAAGACCCTATCTTAAAAAACAAAAATAGGCCAGGCATCGTGGCTCACACCTGTAATCCCAGCACTCTGGGAGGCCGAGGCGGGTGGATCTTAAGGTCAGGAGGTCGAGACCATCCTGGCTAACACGGTGAAACCCCGTCTCTACTAAAAATACAAAAAAATTAGCTGGACATGGTGGGGGGTGCCTGTAGTCCCAGCTACTCCAGAGGCTGAGGCAGGAGAATGGCGTGAACCCGGGAGGCAGAGCCTGCAGTAACCTGAGATCGCACTACTGCACTCCAGCCTTGACAGAGCGAGACTCCTTCTCAAAAAAAAAAAAAAAAAAAAAAAAAAAGAAAACACTTGCAAAAGATTCAGCCAATAAAGGACTGTTATCTAAAATATACAAAGAACTCTTTAAAAAACAAGAAAACAATCTGATTAAAATATGGACAAAATACCTTAACAGACACCTCACCAAAGAAGATATACAGATGGCAAATGCAAATAAGCATATTCCACATCATGTCACCAGGAAATGCAAATTAAAATGAGATACCATTACATACTTTTCAGAAATGGTCAGAATCCAGACCACTGACAACATCACATGCTGGTGAGGATAGGGAACAGCAGGAACTCTCATTCACTGTTGGTAGGAATCAAAAATGGTACAGCCACTCTGGCAGTTTGGCCGTTTCTTACAAAACTAAACATATTCTTACTATACAATCCAGAAGTTGCACTCCTTGATATTTACCCAAAGAAGCTAAACACTACGTGCACACAAAAACCTGTAAATGGATGTCTCTAGCAACTTTATTCATAATTGCCAAAACTTGGAAGCAACCAAGATGCCCTACTATAGGTGAATAGATTAATACACTGTAGTATATCCAGACAATGAAATATTTTTCAGTGCTAAAAAGAAATAAGCTATCCAGCCATACGAAGACATGCAGAAATCTTAAATGTGTATCATTATGTGAAAGACGCCAATCTGAAAAGGCTGCATACTGCATGATTCCAATTATACGATATTCTAGAAAAGGCAAAACTATGAAAACAGTAAAAAGATCAACAGCTGCCAGGGGCTGGGACACAGGGTGAAACGATGACTAGACAGAGGATTTTTAAGGCAGTGAAAATACTCTGTGACAATGTAATGATGGACACATGTCATTATACATTTGTCCAAACCCACAGAATGTACAACACCAAGAGTGAACCCTAATGGAATCTATGGACTTTGGGTTATTACGATGTGTTAACGTAGGTTCACCGATTATAACATATGTACCACTCTGGTGGGGGATATTGACAACTGGGGGTGCTGTACATGTGTGGCGACACAGATATATGGGGAACTCTGTACTTTCCTAATTTAGCTATGAAAAAAAAGTAAAAAAAAAAAAAACCATACACAAACCCTAGGCGTGGCAAGGGGAACTGACCCAATAAATAAAAAAAGGAATTGGGATGGGACTATTTCTGAGAAGGGAA